TATTGTTTATTAATATATATTATTTAAAACTCAAGATTACCAGTAGATTGTGCGTAAATACAACTTATTAAAGCTTTATATCTGAATTCGTGTAACTAATTGTAGATAAACATAATCAAATACATGATAAACATCTCATTTTAAATATAAAAATCTAAAATATAATTAGGATAATCATTGAGTTCTAACAGAATACTTAATTATGATCTTCATAAAATGTTATATTATTAAACCAAAAGTAATTTATTTCGTTATTAAACTTAAATTAAATTGTAATAAAATAAATAAATGAAAGAAATTACATCAAAAATGTGAACTTTTAAATAGTTTATTTGATATTAACATTGATATATATATTTTTTCAAAATTTTATGATATCTCCAAATTTATATTTTATTCAAAATAATAAAATCATTATTGTTTTCTTAAAAACACATAAAATCGTAATATAATATCGACAGAGACAAATAATATATATATATATATATATATATATATATAAACATACACTAGAACAATAATGCCAAATCAAATTACATTAATAAAATGCCCTCAATTGATTTTATAAGCAGAAATTTTCATTATTTGAAGTTTTATAATTAAAATACACATGTATTAAATTAAGTAGAAATTTTTATTAAATTAGAAAAAATAGCTTATATCTAATATTCTTTTATTAAATTAAAAAATAGTTGTTAATATGTCAATACAAACCACTTTATAAATCATTTTTATTTACATGAGTAATTGTGGAAATGGGTGTATGTAATAATCAAAATATGAATATAACTAGAAGAATATGAATGGTCTCAAACACATAAATGAAAAAGCTTGTATTCTTTTCATACCCTTTTTTTATATAAGCGTAATATGTAAAGTGAATATTATTCATATCTTCTTCTTAAGTTTATTAGCAGTTTAATGAGCTTATTTGATCAGCTATACATGACTGTTTGATAATACATTAATGATATTTTTTAAAGGACAACTTTATGCAGAATGAGTAACATTCTATATTATTAAATCACTAACAAAGAGTCATGTATAAAAAATTGGTTTGCAAGCATAAAATGGCCACCACACTATGTTGCTTTGTGCTTTTGTTATGCCCTTTGATTGATTTATTATCTCATTTTAGCATACAACAAGTTTAATTTATAGAAAACGTGATGATTTTGAACACAAAACCCAATCTTTCTTTTTTTCGAAATTTGAAAATAGAGCTTTTTGAAAAGTATTAGTACATACGTCCATGTTTTGACCTATTTTTCAAGTACCCAGTTTTAAAAGTGGTTAAGTATGTGGAATTTTTGATATACCAAAAAAAAAAAAACTTGTTAAAGAATTTTATTTTTGTACAAGTTGTATGGAGACTTTTCTAATCCCCATGTCATCCTCCTTTTTAAGATTAAAAAGGTGACATCTCCTTTTATATGTTTTAAATATACTATTTCAACTTTTGATTTATGAATAAAACAAATTATCTTTTATATATGTAACCTTTTTATACATCTTGTATTAAAAATAGATTCCAAAGAAGACCGTAAATTTATTATGAAATCGGTACACTGTAAGGTTGTCTTGCTGTTTTTTTAAATGGATGGATTGTTTTATTTCAAGATGTAGTATTTCACATAAAACTTTGTCTTGAAGAAACAAATGCATTCCATTCCTACAACAGAAAAATTAAAAGGGAGACCATCCATATCCATTCTCAAGTTGTATTGTAGCTGATTCTTGCAAGGAAAACAAGACTGAAAAGTGGGGGTGGGGGGTATTCTAGTAATTTGGCTCTACTCCACAAGAATGGGTTTCTTTCTTTCTTTCTTTCTTTGACTTGTTCCACTACCCCCAGCTTTTAGGTTGGTTACCTCACAACTTCCAACTATATTTCCTACTTACATTCACCCATTCTTTATTATCTACCTTTCAACAATATTCTTTTCTTTTCTTTTCACATAGATTTATGTCAAAGGCTTAATTTAGTGGAAAGAAATTGTGGCTATTTTCATTCTATATACTTGAAACACATTTGTCTATAATGGAATCAGGTGGCTTATTGGGACTTTTTCAACATAAGCTTAATTGGATGTTGGCTTAATTTGTTCTTTTTCTACAAAAAAGATTTTCTTTAAGAACCAAAACTCAAAAAGGATAGATGGGGTATGGTATGTATGTATGACACATTGAACACAAGAAAATCTTTGCAGAAAGTTAAAATCAAAATCACAGAAAACTGAGACAGCTGGTGATTGATTTGATAAATCCTAGTTCAACTTCTTCAATATATTCCTAGTACATTTGCAGATGACATCATCATGCCATCATCCCTATTACCCAACAAAAGAAAAAGAAAAGGCCATTTTGGAACTTTCTTTTGCATGTCATCAACAAAATTCAACACATAAACCTCTAAAACACTTCAAAAAAGTAACCAATGCTTCAAGAACACACAAGTTGGTTTCTTCTGTAGCTACTAATTCTAATGAAAGAACTTCATAAAATCACTAAAAACAACTAACCCATGTTTGAATTGTATGATGAAGAAGCATACCCAGTTCCACCTCCGCCTCCACCTTCATCTTCCATCATTGCAGCTGGAGGAACCTCGTTCAGATCAAAATCAAGAATTCTCCGGCGACCACCTCCGCTCTGGCTAGCTGCTTCTCCGGTAGAGGTAACCTGACTCGAAGGAGCTTGTGCTTCAATGGCTCCAGTCCAGTGACACCTCTTGTGCCCACCCAAAGCTTGTCCTGTCGGGAAAATCTTGTCACAAATCTTGCATTGGTGTAACCCACTCGCCGCCACCATAGCATCACCCGCAAATTCAACTTCTTTCTCCACATTGTCGCTGGTTTGATTCATCACAGAGCTGTCGTAATCATCTTCTTGATCAATCTGATGATGATCGGTTGGCGTAATCTTGGATTTGTTGTGGCTGGACCTATGCCCACCAAGTGCTTGATGGCTAGTAAAAGATTTGTTGCAGGTGGTGCATTTGTACTTACTTTCCGGCTGTTCATGTCGTGACGCCATCGACGACGTCAGCGGCAGCGGCGGATGTCCGCCAACCGTCTCCTGAGTAAATCCCTGTTCCAATTCCATCATCAGCTTCATCTTCTTCCTCTTCTTGATCTTGTTTGGATTATTGGATAAATTCTTCTTATATTTGCAACTAATCATCATCTGTTCATTGGTGTTCCGACTATCGGATTCGTTATCTGAGAAATTCTTGATGATCATATTCATACCACCACCACCATCAACCTCCACTTTTGCCACCGGTTTCCCCTCGATTTCTTCCTCCATAAACGCCTTTCCGTTGTTGCTATCGCCCGGCGACTTCTCGTCGATTTTATTATCCTTGTTCGTCGGAGAATTACTATTGGTACCTTCAAACACCTCCGCCCGTAACTGCCGCTGTGAAACATCGGATTCCGCCATAGTTGGATGATCACCATGAGCTAAGCTCATAAGATCCTCCACCGCTTCCCGTAAAACCTCATCTTCATCAGCTGCTTTCAACGCCCGACGGCCTCTCCTTTCCGTCACCGTCCACCCCCGTAAAAACTTAGTCAAATCAACCACCTCATCACCATCATCATCAACGATGTTGCTTCTTTCTTCATAATTAACATTCAAACCATTTTCAGACGATGAAGAAGGAGGAGAAACAGAAGCAGATGAGCTTGGTTTAAGGCTACGGCGGTATAGGGCGGTTGTGGGGGTGTCGGGTGGAGGTACAATACCTCGCCATAGACGTTCAGGATGACACCTCATATGACCAAAAAGAGATTTCATCGATGGAAAAATCTTGCCACAAATAGAACATATAGGTTTACCTTCACCATTCACACTGTTCTTATAATTAGGTTTGCTTCCATGATCGCCATTGTTGAAATCTTGACCAGATTTCTTAAACTTAGTGGTTTTCGAGGGTTTCAGAAAAGTGTTTCGATTAGCAGCTTGAACATGAATCCTCATGTGACCACCCAATGCTTTCCCTGAGCTGAACTCCTTTTTACATTCTAAACAAACCCTTTTCGTCGTCTCACCTTCTTTCAGCGTTTTCGAGCTCGACGTCGATAAGGTTCCGATCACATCCTCCTGCTTCATAACTTCCGACGATCTTTCATCTTCCATGGCCGCCGTGAGCTTTGGAATCCTTAGCTTTATCACCATCTTTCCTTCACTCAATGGCGATCCGATCATTGTATGATCTCCTTGACGATCTTCATCCCCCGTGATTTTCTCCATCAATCAAAAACAAACACTGACCAGCTGTGACAGAAACCGATTCCGACGGCGGAGATCAAATGAAGAGTGAAGAAAACCCTAAACCACTAGGAACACAAGATAAGGAAGAGACGATTTCATAGCAAAAAAGGGGATATTCTTTTCTTTCTTTCTCTCTCTCTCTCTAAATCGATACAACTGGTCATATCTTTGAAACCCAGCTCCAAGAATCAGCTGGAAGATCTGGGAAGTGAGAAAAGACGATGAAGAAGAAAGAAAACAAAGGTCTTGAGTCGACTCGCAACTGCCATGTATGTGTGTTGAGGGAAATTGACCATCACGTTCGCCCTCCGCTTCCCTCTTATTCCGGTTTCTTCTCTCCCTCTCTCTCTCTCTCTCTCTCACACACACACACACACACACACACTAATATCTCTCTAACTCCTCACAGAAGATATATATTATACACACACACACGTCTTAAGAATTTAATTTAAATTGCTTGACTACCCACCTCAAACCAAAAATATTCTTACTCAAAATACGAATTTAGCCCTTTCACTTTCATAATCAACAAATTCAGTCCCTGTACTCGTTAACTTATACTTTTCACATTTGTACTAGATCCATCATTTCATATTCTTTTGATGCTCTTTTGGTTGGAGGATTGTGTTGCTTTCTCTTAATTTCAACATAAAGAGAACGTAACCGTATTCCAAAAAGTTAAAAGAAAATATTTTACATATCAAAATCAACGTTAATTAATGACTTACAATCCAAACTAAATTTGCCAAAAAAGGAGAATCTTTTTTTTTTTTTTTTTTTTGTATTTGTAGGGTTTCTGAGCCAGCTTATGCGTACTAACTAATCCTCCGACCGACCATGAACACCGTGGGTGAACCTCCTAACTATAAGAGCTTTGACAGCGTCTGAATTTGAACTGAGATTTTCCATTACATCCCTGTATATGAGACTTACATATGTGATTAGTTAAAGTAATTGATTTTTATCACAAATTACCTTTCTAAGTCGAACACAAAAACCATTATTTTAATACTTAGTTTAAGCTTGTTAAGAAAATAAAAACACTCAATATAAGAAACAGTGAAAATGCAAAATTTTATAAGTATCCTAAAAACCTACAACATGTATCTTTTTGAGAAGTTTTTATGTTAACTTTATCTTAAAATTCTTTATGCAAGATTGATTATTTGTTATCAATTAAGGTTTACATGATTTTTATTGAAAATTAGTTATTACAAATGTTATTTAGCTTATCAGCTAACAGTTAACTTATTAATCAACTGTTATATCATCAATTACTGTGTCAAGTATTTTATTTTTTTTCAAAATCAAGTAATAAATAAGATATTATAGTTCATAAGAAGATATATGTTTTATTTTTCTCACACAATGCAACAACTACATAAGAATTTTTATTTATTTATTTTCAAGAAAATTAATATATAAGTTTATTAGTTATTGCATAAGGAATGGTATTATGTTTGTTGTAGATTGAAACATTTGCATTCTTGGAAAATGGAAAATGGAAAATGCTTGACTTAAAAGAGTTGAAGGTTCAAATAGAAAATATTCAAATAGTGTAGGGGCTAAATATGTTTGGTGTGATTTCTATATATCTGAGTGAATCCTTATATTTTTAATTTATTTAGTATTATGTATATAAGGTTTAAGATATAAATTATTTTCCAATTAAAACAACCCAATATCTTTCATATCTCCATTCAATTAAAAATATATCGTTTTATTCTAAATATATAATATTCATAATTACCCAAAAATTTGGTATTTTTGTTATCATAATAACAAAAAAAAAAAAAAAATTGGTTTAATTTTTTTTTAATTAACATGCTAAAAAGATTATTAAAAAAATTTAATAAACGTTTCTCTCTCTCTCTTTCTATATACATATATATATATATATATATATATATAACTAAAGCATTTGAACATAAAATCTGTTATTTTAATTTATAATATAGTAATGATACATGAAATCATTTCTATAGATAAAAGAAAAATGGAATTGATGATTTCCTTGTTGTTGTAATTGATGGATTATTATCTCCAAATAGTTTCCTAATTTTTGTCTAAATTAGAGTCAAACATCCAATCAAATTTAATTATTATCCTCCTATTATCTCAGTAGATCATCGCAATTTGATTTTTTTATGCTTATCTTTTTATTTATATATTTAAGAAAACAATATTATATACTTTACAATTATATTTTAATTTCAGAAAAACTATTTATTCGTTAATTTTTTTTATATATATTGATGAAAATAAAAAATGAATAGTGTCAACACTATTAAAATCTATAAAAGCTATTATACTTTAATTTTAAATATCCAATCAAAATATTTTTAATTTTAAAATTGATATACATACATATGTAATATCAAATTTTGCTAATTGTATTCCAAGTTACAAAAAAAAAAAAAAAAAATCAAAACAAAGGTTAAGAGTTAGACGATAACATGTTTATATAGAGTCAAGTTTATGTCTTCTTATTCGGTTATTCTTCTCATTTAAACTTCTTTTAATATATATATATATATATATATATATATATATATAGAGAGAGAGAGAGAGAAAGGTTCAAAAAGAAAAAACCCTAAATAAATGAAAAAATAGAAAACATTTTATCAACTCTCAGATTAATTGAGCTAATGGATGTGATTAAATGAACATTTTTTAAACTAGACAGATAGGGGGGTTAATTTGCAAGAAGTACCAGAAATGTCAAATCACATGTAATACAAACACATCATGTTGATCAACAATCGTACGGACGACTTTGTGCATGAGCTTAGTCCCATTGACCAAGTACCTGCATGCATACCGACCCTTCTCGCATTACTTGCAAATTGAAGGATATTTCGCATCCTTCCACACATGTACGTGTACGTCTTATTTTACAGTCTGGATCACTTATGTTAAATAGACTATAAAGATTGTTGCTACAACTTGAACGAAAGAATGATTGAGGGATTAAAGTTGCATGAAGACTAAAAATCCATGGACTTGAAGTTCATATATTTGATATTTAAAGTGAAGGCCATAACTAGTATGGAAGTGAGGTCTTATTTGATGAATTAATTGTCATGATCCAACGGTGGTGATCATAATACTCATCCTTTTAATCAATGCCTTCATTAATTCTCTTAATCAACTCATTTTAATTACTATCCTTCTCTCACACGCCAATTTTATGTTTCATTTTAATTCCCTTTTCCATTTTTACCCCTCGCAGTTATATATCACACATTTTTATGGTAATGGGATTATTATTCTAGAAAAATCATTATGTATTTTAAATTTGAGCAAAAAAATGTCAACTTATACGCTAAATACATTTAAATCGAGCAAATTAAACATATAAATCAAATATATTTCTATAATATATGTTTCAGTTCAACAAAATTATGATACACATCAAGAATTGATGGAGAGACAATTGTGTTCTTTGGGTTTCTTTTTCTTATAACAAGTATTGATGACAAGTTATGAATTCAATCTCTTGGTATCCAAAAGTTATATTGTTGACATGTTTTATGTAAGAAATTGGAATTTATGAAGCATAACAAGTTACAAAAAGCCTTCATTTAATATGGTTGGTATTAATTAAATTTCTATACGTATATTGTTTTAAGAACCAATCTTAAAGAATACAAACGGTTTTCGGTTTGATACATAACTCATTCATTTGTTAATGGACGTTATATAAGTTCGTCAAATGTTTAGACCAATAAACGAGTACGTTTTGGTAAAACGAAAAATGAGTTGGGTTTGTATTAAACCAGTTTTAAATTGAATCTTTTAAGATTATGAAATAAGACGTAAATTTGGATTTATTTAAAAGAAAAGGCAAAAACAATAATATGTTTATAAAGATTGTCATGTGATGAGAGTGATGTAGAAATAATGGGTTTGCATTTGTTTGTTTAAACCCACAAAAAGCAATTCAAAAGCCTTGGATATCATGTGACATGACATGGGATGGCTTTTTTTCCTAACAATTTTTTTGGAATTTATTCTCTTTTCTAAATAATATAGAAATTATTTTATAAAAATAATATCTTTTCCCAAACAAAACTTAAAGATAAGTATCGAGAGCGGTGGTCAAAGTTCAAGAATTCTAGAGATTGAATTGAACGAAGACCATCCAAAGAAACTTCTCTTCCAAATTACAACAAACCAAATCAACCTCATATATCCTCTGTTCCCATTTGAAAAGTGAGACCCCACACTTCATTATCGGTCTCATGACTCGACCTGCTTTGCATTTAGTGGTAGTCTGCAAAACACAAACCAGCTCAAGTCATTTGACTCGATTACGGGTCTCAGACAACAAGATTGTGTCATTTCACCTGTTCCAACGACTTCAAACTTGCTCCTATCAACACCAAGATTCAGTGATGAGACGTTATAAACTTCAGCAAAAAAACCCACCATTTTTTTTTTTTGGCAAATTTCGCACATCGTGATTGGAGAAAACAAACCCTTTCTCCGGCGATCTAAACTACAACAAACCGAAAGGGTCGGAAACAAAGAAAGTACAACAACAAACCCAGAGTCTACTACAAAAGAGAGGAGAAGAAGAAGATTGCCCGCAGCCTACCAAGCACTAGCTCGATGCGAGTCAAGAGTCTTTGGCGTGATCTATCTTTCCTTGCCTCTTGATCCCTTTTCCTGATAAACCTACAACACAAAAGAAGGTTCTTGAAAACATTGGTTTACTCAAGTTTCCGATACACATCTTTTGATCATTAAAGAAAATTAGTGAAAAAAGTCAAAACTGTCCAACTGTCCTAATAAATTGTTTTATAAGATCCAACAATTGTGCGTCACATATAAATTTACTACAATAAATTGACAAGACCGTTTCTGGGCGTTCTAAGAGCATCTCCAATGCTCCTTTTTGCACTTTTTGTCGTCACCTCATCTCCAACTCTCATCAAATCAAGAACTATCCTAAAAATCCACAATAATAGTTTTTATAAGAACCTCCTTTTGTGGGTCCTATTGATTTTTTCAACATCACTAATAATTATAAAGTCAAGAAAATAAAATAAAAACTAGGAAATGTCACTTCTTGCAAACTTCATGGTAAGAACCAAGGTTCATGTACAAGAACCTAAAGAGGATAAGCTTCTTATAAGAACTCTCCACAATGATTAGTTCCTACCAGCCACTTCACTTTTTGCTAATAACAACCTAAAGTTATTGGTTCTTACCTTGAATTTTGTATGGAATCATGTATTATTAGGTTTTTAGATATTTTTTGATTTTTATATCCATATTATTGATGTTGAAATAATATATGGGACCCACAGAAGGAAGATCTTATTAGTCAGTGTCATTGTCGAGTTTTATGCTAGTTCTTAAATTGTTGAGTTGGCAACGATGTGACTAAAAAGAAGTGGAAAAAAAAGGTTCTCATAAGTCACTCTATCGGAGATGCTCTAACAAGTTCCTTAAGACGATTTTAGAAAAATAAATCCTTATATTAGTCTTTTTATATGACATTATTTAAAAATGTGTCTTATAAAAAACAAGTGTCGTGTAAAAAGAAGACACCTCTGTAAAAAAAACTAATAGGACACTGTATTTCAAAAGTGTGCTTAAAAACTTGCTTGGATGCCCAAATACGTAGCAACTTCCTATTGTAACACCTTTAATAGGATGCATAGTTGTTTGATCATTTAAACTGAAGTCCTGTAAAGTAGTCTATTAGAACATTTAGACAAATGATTGAGGTGATCGGGCATTTACCTGTTTCTCCTCTTCTGTCAGAGTGCTCCATAAAACTTGAATTCTTTTGCGGATGACATTCTCCTGCCCGTGGTACAAAGGCTTTAACCTGATATAGTGCTCGGTGAAAAACACGTCGTAGCCGCTCGTGTCCGGCTCAGGTGAAGGTTCCCTTAGTGCAAGCTGATACATATTGTGGGTCCCATGAGAAGGAGCCGGAGAATCGGATGGAAGATGATACAGAAAGCCTGAAAGCTTCTCAGAACCCATATCCACAGTAACTACATAACCATGATCGAATCTTTTATCAATGGTTCCAGTTACTTGTCCACCAACCTCAACCATTCGCCTTCCTGCACCACATAAACAACAACCATCCTTCGTTTCAGTGACACACTATCAACACATCAAGCGTTTTCTACCGTGTTCTCGAAATATTTGTTTGAGGGAAAGGAAAGGGAGGAAAAGGAGCGAAAAACAAAAAAAATCATGTGTTCTCTTAACTTCTTAGGAGGAAAAGGAAATGAACACAGATAGAAAATATCATTTATGTTTCCTCCCAAATATGGAAGAAACGGATCGAAAGAAAATAAGGGAGTCTACAATCTTTTATGACAAAAATACCCTCATAAAAAAGTGAGAAAAACAAATATAACGGGTATATTCCTATCATTTCTCTCTGGTTCAAGAACATGAAAAACGGTTTCCTCTTCATTCCGTCCCTTCCATTTCAAGAACACAAATAAAAAACTTCCTTCCCGTTCCATTCTTTATGACAAGCATACCCTCATAAGAAAAAGTGAAAAAAACAAATATAAAGGGTATATTTGTAAATATGACATCTTTCCTTTCATTTCTATCCGGTTTAAGAACCTGATAAATTGTTTCTTTTTCATTCCTCTCCTTCCATTTCAAGAACAAAAATAAAAAACTTCCTTCCCATTCCATTCTTTATGACAAACATACCCTCATAAGAAAAAGTGAGAAAGCAATTATAAAGGGTATATTTGTAAAAAATGACATCTTTCCTTTCATTGCTCTTCAAGGACATGAAAAATTGTTTCTTTTTCATTCCTTCCCTTCCATTTCAAGAACACAAATAAGAAACTTTCTTCTCATTCCATTCTTTTCCCTCCCTTTTCGTTTCCTTTCTTTTCGTCTCAAATTCACAAACACGGTATTATGGGATGTCCCAATGAAATTGCAATATTTCTCTCTACGGTAGCTTTCTAAGTCCAAAATTACTTATTTGCCCACCACCAGTATTACAAGGAATCCACAGTTCTCCCCTATTTTTTCATTTTTGAGGGGTATTTAAGAAATTTGGTTGATAGTCAGTGATTTATGAAAGATCAAAAAGTTGCAATTTTCATGGGACAGAACAAATACATGAACCACATAGTAACCTGACCAGAAAACAGGTTCTTGACAGAACCAGATCCACCGGAGAGCCTGTTTGTAGCATCTGTCGGGAAAGGGCAATAAAGTCATAAAGCTTTTTATGTTAAATAAAATTTAAAGAAACATAAGATAAAAGGATGTTCAAGAATGAGTACCAGCAGGAACGATAGTGGGGGTCTTCTTGCGGAAGTAATAAACCTGCTCAAAATGATAGAGCAACGAGAGATAGTATTTTCGCAAGACAAAAGACGCGTTGGTGATTGTAGGACCAAATTTGAAGACAGCCATAACTTCCTTCCATCTTCGGTCACTCACAATCTGTAAAACAACTTGACAGGAAATGTATGCCGAGTTATATTTGTTATAAAAAGTCCGATAATTTGTTTGTTTTACCATTTTTTCAAACGGGCCTGAGCTGAAACGGACCGGCTTAGACTTCTAAGTTATGAAAAATTATCATTCACTATTCCACTTGCGATTCACAAAGAAAGAAAAAAGATGCCCGATCTTTACGCTGTTTGTTCTGGTATATGAATAAAAATCATACCTTTTCAATGCCACCTCGTGAAGTGACCTCTATAAATAGCCGGTGTAGATCTAACGACTTCCCTCCAATGATCGGGATCCTATGTACATTAAGAAAAAAAATTCAAATCTTATCATACGACCCACAAAATTAAAGCAATATCAGAACATATCATAGTACCCATAGAGGCATACCATGAAGATTTAAAGAAGAATAAGTTCATGATTACTTGGTGGTAGAAGATGAAACTATAGATTGTGGTTATTATATTTATTCTTTAACATTTAATATCCGTATCAACGTATGCAAATTGAGCGGGTATGGATGATACCCGTTTTGACTAGTACATGTAAAAAATTGATTTACCCCGATAGCCTTTTTCTCAAACAATACATTTTGCAGCCTGAATCATTAAATGATTTCAATTATTTTTTGAATCTAAACAAAGCATCACTAGCATGAAACTAGACCCTCTTCATGATAAAACTGAACAAAGTTTAACAACTAAGCTGATTAAAAGAAGAGCATAACATGATCTTTCATATATACACAACTTCCTTGATCTCAATCTTGAAAAGAAGCTACATATGGTGCGAAAGTTTACAGCATGACAGAACAGACAAAAGCAGCAAAAGCAGAACAATCTTTCAAGAAAGTTACGGTTCCTTGATTTGGTCCATTCCAAAATGAGTCACTTTCCAAACCAAATGAGCCCAGTATATCCCACCCGGCGGTGGGGTTAGGACGGGTGTTAAGATGTACGTGGACTTGAACTCTACCCTGAAGACTAGAGTACCCGTTTCCAAGAAGACCCCCAGCTAGTGAGAATCGTGTGAAAGTGAAAAAAGAACAAATAAGCTAAGATTTGAAAAGCTAGATATGAGTAAGCAATAGCAATATAAATAGAAAGACAGATATGAGTAGCCTCACCCCTAGTCTGCTATCCTAGTCTTGCATATCCAAGAACTCCTAATGAGAAGTATGAAAATGAAAAGAAGGAAAAAAATAACAGATGAGCTGAAATGAGTCACTCAATAGGGACAATGGCAACTTTCAGTGGCAATTTTAAAGAAAAAGAAGTCTTCATTCAAGGACAGCAATTCAATAAAAACATACTAAATAACTTGAAAAACAGTCCAAGTCCCTTCATCTGCCTATGCGATTAGTAAACCTACAGGTTATCATAGATCTTTTGGGCTCATTTGACCAGGTTAACTAAATCTTTGCCACCAGTCGCAAAGCCTGTTGCAACTTTCCTTCGTTACCAGGACCTTAACTATTTCACCATTCTATTAAATTTTTATGGGGTCCATTTCTAGCCATCCCCAACTAGTTTATGAAAAAAAGATCGTTGTTCATCATCATCCAGAGTCTACTTTTACAATACAAAATATAAAGTGTTAATCTTGCAGTTTAACAAGAGTTTGCTATATTGGATGGGTAACTAGTTACCAAATAACCAGTTTCATCTAACTTGTGGTGGTACGTAGTCTTGGTTGGAAAATATGAAAGGATGTTGTATATTGAAGTATTACAATGCAATGTACTATAGGTGCTTGTGTCTCGGTATACACACATATCTAATGAAATATCCCATCTAATATATTTCAAAACAAAGAACTTACTTTTAATTATGTTTGAATTTCACCTGAGACGGATGAATTTACCCTAGTCCTCTTAAGAGTGTTATTTTTCTTTCCTATATAGAGATCCAATAATAGAGATTTAAAAAGTAGCACATTTTCTAACAACTTCAGTATAAATATTGCATATGTTTCTTACCCATAACTCTCTCTCTCTCTCTCTCTCTCTCTCTCTCACTTCATGCTCTCAAAGAATGGATTGATGGCTGCAACCACAAGGATCGACGAAATCTCACAATGATATACACAATGGTACGAATTCAAGTATCAATGTGCATAAAACCTTTTTTTTTCTCTTACCATTGTTCAAAAATAGCAAGACTGGCCTTAACTTATTGTACCTTACATTCTCCGCTGCCTTTTTCCTTTCTATAGCTGCTTCCAAGCCTAATTTGTTGTCCAAACAACCACATCTTGGGTCATACAGTCTTGATTGCATTGCAGAGGGTTACTAAACTAAGTAAGAAAAAGATAAATCACTCCATAAATGACCAAGCTTTCTATATTATAAATGTAGACCAACCCTACCCAATTTCATTTCAATATGACTTTAGCACTGCAGGTCACATAAATGACCAAGCCTGAACCTATGGCACCAGAAACTTTCTAAATTGTATTTCAGATAGCTAGTGTCAAAATCAACTATCAAAATAACACATAAGATGAGTGTAGGCGTGTAGCACAAATGCAAAAACTAAGTCTAGTGCCCACACGTGACGGGTGGATTAGAAACAATTATATAAAGGTAACATCTATTATAGTGCACGTTGATGAGGAAAACAAGGAGAACCTGCTTGAGACATCTTGATCATCTCCAATTCACAACAATTGGGATATAATCATGTCAAACTTGAACCAAAAGGAGATCTTTAAGCCATAGATTGACATTTGGGATAAGTAGTTCACATGTCCAAGAATCCAAAGTTTTCAACTCATAATAAATTCTATCAACGCATTAGTTTATAGCTTACCCTACTTAATTTGAGATAAAAGATTAATAATGGGTTACACATCAAAAACACTAAAAGGTATTCAAAAACTTTGACCATATATACTAAATGACAGTGTGATGAGACTTCACATTCTTAAACTCTTTTAAGACAATCAAATCAAATAGTGATCTAAAACTGCACATTTATGTCCTACAACACTCCAATAACAATACCAAAATCAAATTCACCTCAATCCATGCTTCAGAACCCTGCCAATTTGGTTTTCCCAGATTTTGACACAGATTTCCCCAAATTAAATTACAAGGCTTTCTCAAATCATCAAGGAAATACACACATAAATTGCAAGTACATAGTTAACCATCAAACCTACTACAATGAAAGATCAAATACCCAGAAAAATCCCTCATCATTCAAGAAAAAAGAAATGAATATTGGGAAGAAGGGTGAAACTAGAAATTCAAAGAAATCTTTGAAACAAAAATAGCAAAATATGATTAAAATAAAATAAAAAGGTAGACAATAAATAATGTATGTGTACTTACTTGAACTTGGTACCGAAAACCGAGTGAAATATTTGAAGTTTTTCCAAGAAAAATTGAGGGTTTTGAGTGATTTCTTCATAAGAAGCCTCTGGTGAAGGGTATGAGGTCGTGGGTGTACCGTAACCATTGGTAAAGACGGCCGTTTTTGGGCCGTATGAGAGATGAGGGGCCGACATTTTTAATCGGAGGTTAACCAAGATTCGATTATATGTGTAATCATACACAATAACACTAAGAGGTGAAGAAATTTCGATTAAATAGAAAAATATAAACAGCGTGACTCACTGACTGTAGATTTATTTCAGTTTTTTTTTTCCTTCTCATATATACAAGACGATGAAGCCTTCTTTATTGGATACCGTGATTAATATCATCAAACCTACCTTCTTTAAAATAATCTTTTTTTTACTTTTTAATTTATAAATTAATAAAAAGATCCAAACTTTCATCACCAAAATGGAGTTTACACTCAATGTCATAATTTTAAAAGAAAATGAGGATTAATTCATTAAATTAAAGATTATTTTTTGTGATTATTATCGGTCAAACCTATCCCTCTTATATTTAGAATATTTAAGGTTTCTTTTGCTTTACTCTGATGTGGACTTTTGATGTTTCCATTTTTTTTTTCCTTATTTTCTTTCAAAAACATCAAACAAATAATTCTTTTCTTGTATTTTTTTTTTTTTTGAAATATATGGTTTTAACTCTGTGTTTAAATTATATTGTATGTCTTTGAATATTGTTCTATACTTATACTTAAACCATTACTTCTTTAATTAGATACAAATGGAGTCGCGTTCGTTCGTAAGTAATTCTTTTTTTTTTTTCTGGTTGCCAATATTTGCTCGAATAGATATTCAATTTTGTTGACCAATAGTTACCATGTGACTGTATTTAATGATATCCTAAAAAGTTAACGGCTTTCGGTTTCCCATTTTTGTTCCCGTGGTCAGCATGCATATGAATTTTATTTAATTCGCTTGAAACCCTTAATGTTTTAATGATGATGTTTGCTCTTTCTTTTATCGTTTTTCAGATTTATTATCAACTCTTGATTTTTATTTCTACTGTTTGTATTGCTTTTCTTTGACGAATCAAAAAAAGACGCATTCTTAACAATGCTTTGATCTAAAATAAGGGGAGAGTTTATAGTATAAGAAAACCTCCATACTTTAATCAAAAACATCTCTTTTAAGCCAGTATTTTTTATAGTGGAGGGTACAATAAAAATTTCGTTCATGATTTAAAATAATTATCATAATATGAAATAAAATATTATAGTACATAAAATATCAATGGGGAATGGGCCACCATGGATTTTCTTAGCGGGCCCATCCATGATCTTATGTGTGGAAAAAATGAATCGTGTGACTTGGTGGTTGAGGTTTTAGGGGATGTCGTGTGATATCTCATTTGTCAGGGTTTGATTTCAGATGTACACAACAATTGTGTCACTGAATTTATCAAGACTGACTTTTACTGTCACAGTTTATCATAATTAGTTCAAGCATAACCTAAGATACCCTACTAAAAAGATAAATCACATCATTTTCTATCGTAAAATGTAAACCAAAAACACCAAAAAGACAACGATAATTTAGCCTTTGACTATCAAAGTAATAATACAAACCATCCAAGTACTTGCATGTGGTTGTTATCATGATTGATCATAAGTCTAGTTTGCGACATTTAAACAGTCCAACTTAATCACGGTTGTTTGGAAAAAAATTAACTCAACCTAAACCACTAGACATTGCAACTCTACGATAATCCTTCAAAAGTATAATGGAATGACAACAAAGTAATGTCTAATTACAGACAAAATGTTACCAATAGTTTATCAACATGTATATTTTTCAATGACTCTATTGTCGTACTATGAGTGCACAATTACATATTAGACCACGATTTATCAACCACATACCAATGGTAACCTGACTCAACTTTCCAACTAATTACTAAGGGATCGTCAAAATTTTGGAATTCAAGACTTTTTTTTATTATAGTTTTTCCGAAAAACGTTTTCATTGAAAAACAACATTTAAGATTTTGGAAATACATGTAGACTACTGTACACATGCATATACTATAGGTGATCATGATGTGCACATAGACTATACATACATGATACATATGCACCATAGATAATTACACACACACACACTATATTTCATATATACAAGTAGCTATACACTACATGTAAATCTGAACTATATATGAAACCTCAAATGACCCAACACACTATACATTATATGTATTGAAGACCATAACAACACATTAAAAGATCCATGACAATTCATTACTATATATTAAAGCATATTGTGAGGAACCGGTTCATTATTAAGTTTTGTACGAATAAAGTTATCTGTTTGGATTAATGTGTCTGTAAAGATTGATAAATTTTTTGTTTGAAAGAGTTTTTTCATACATGAAATGAGCATGATTTTATTTGAGAGAGACATGTTTCGACAAAACTTGGATTTTTGCATAAAGCTACCCTCGAAAAGCTTAATGAATACTATTAAGAAGTAAACAAAAGCTTAATAAAGTTATCCATAATTGTTTTTTTTTCCAAGCAAAATCTTGATTCAGGATGCCTTTGAATGAAACTATTAAGAGGTAAACAAAACCGCTACTCTTTTTATTTATATTTATGAAATTTCAATACTTTTGGATGCTTATGAAGTGAATTTTGAATCATACGGAATCTTTCAAATTCGTTTAAATTTTGATTAGAAAGGGTTTTGCAATTTGAGTGACATCTATTTAGTTTTTCTTTCTTTCAAATGTAATTTGTGTTTATAGACTATGAAAATATTGGTGGTTGGGATACCAGTTTGTTCAATTGCTTAGTTTGTAAACAATTCACAAGATTTTCTTGGAGAGGGAAAAGTAGTAAAAGGTATATCAATCCACTGTCAGCTTTTATCTATACAGGATTTAATGGAAAACCATCAGTCATGAGACGGTTCATGTGATCGCTTCTCTAGTTCTTTGACACTGTATCAGTTTTAGATACTCTTAGGACATGTTTGTTGGTGTTGAGAATGATACGTATTTCCTCCTGAATGGTAACTGCTTTTTGGCATAAATTCTGGAAGACTAATCGGAAGCAATTAATAGGGGAAGACAAAAGTCTTCTAATATTWCGGTTATTATCTCAATTCATGGAGAATAGTTGTTTTTACCTTCAAATATATATTCTCCATTCATTCATAAGAAAAAGGAGTATTGAAGGAGAGCCAGAGAAGAGACTATAGAAAGATTGAGATACTTATAAACTCTTGTAACTTCCTCATTTTTCTCATATAGTGATATCATCGGTTGTGCCTGTGGTTTTTTCCCGCAAGGGTTTTTCCACRTAAAATCTTGGTGTTCTCGTTTTATTTCCTTTATTATCGTCGATTAATTATTACAGTTGGCAACTTAATAAGCTTAATGAAACTCAAAGCTTATTCAGTCAATTATGCATTTTAGTAGCGGCTTAATAATATAGAAAGTTTATTCAGAGCTTTATGCAGAATGCCAAGCTTTTCTTCTTTCCAAAGTTTGGTAATATATAATGACCCTGACAGTGACATACTTGAATTGTGATTGTATAGGAAATCCTCGTCGTCATATGCTATCATTTATGCATATATAGGGTCAACGACTACAATCCCCTGGAGCTATATATGGTTATTGCAAAATTGGTTGGAGCAAGTACGGTTCTCCATCTCGGTTGGCTACATATGTGGTAAGTGATTGCTTTAGTAGACCATTTAAGACATCACAATACAAGCATAGAACTTGATTTATGACTTGTCTGTTCCAATTACGCTAATCATTTGCTACTTACTGTGACCAAGTATTTGTTGTTGATCTGCTTACGGTGTCAAAAGGAATGTTTTCTATTCTATCACCATAACGTATGTACAGAATCTATTAAGGTTCAAAATGAAAATACTTCTCTCTTATTCCCCTAACATGGTTGTTGCATGACTTGCACCCAACTCTAACTTTATTTGCATCAAGAAGAACAAGCGGAATCTAAACAACAGCTTTTAGCTTGCTTCTTGATTGTGGCGATCCCCTTCTTCTATTCTTGACTCGTACCTGAAGCTAAGCTAGACTCAAGAAGGCTTCAAAGCCAGATCTTCGTCTTTCATATAGAAAGGAGACCTCTCCTTCTCAAGTTATCCTTTTTTTTGCTTGAATCTGGCCGTCAACTTCTTCAACTGCTGACCTATATGGTGTGCTTTTCGTTCCTTTTGCTTCGAGCGCCCTTTCCCCTCCTCCGCACTCAAGTTGTTGTTCACCTTACTTTCAAGCGTCAATCATTTTTAAGTCAACACCAAAATGACACATGCAACTCACATAGTCTTTTCCTGACGGCTATCTAATAGAAGTCAATCTGAGAGTTTTATTTGAGATGAGCGTGTTCATCATGTGAAATAGGAGCTGAAACTTGAAAGTGTTGCTACAGATCCACCGAACATTAGACTTTAGAAGGAGCTTAATGATGTATCCTTGGTATATTGAAAATCTCTGTTTCCTACAACCCATTCAAGACTTCAATAATATGTCCATGTGTAACAACTTGTCCCACATGGATAGAAAATTATATCTGTGAGTTTCTCATAAGCTCAAAGTTGTCGGCTACCAATAATTTTTACCATGGTTTTAAGTTGATTTAGAGGTTATTGGGTTGGCCTATTGTTTTGGCCTTTGGGCTATGGGTCGTTACACCACGCATTACTCCCATAGCATGAGCACATCCAAATAAAATTTTCATAAATGTTGCTTAATAAGCTTCTACATCATCACTCCCTCCAATGACTAAATGGATAAAAGATCTCACCCAGTTGAGCAGATCATATATTCATATTGATTGGGTTACTTTGCATGTAGAATCTTTGTTATGTGACTTTGGACTATTTGTCTGAATTCCGGAAGGATACAGAAGCATCACAAAGAGTTGGTTCCGAGGGTTTGTATTCATCTTCATTGGAGCTTTTTTGTAGTAGTCGTGACCAACAGCCATCAGCTGTCGGCTCGTTGGTAAGGTGAGAGCTTCAAGCCCGATTTCTGGTGGCGCACCCCCCACACAAGGACCGCCCGACGAAGGGGGGACGAGTAAAGCTACAGGCCCAAAAACTTCGGCTCCTCCTTCTAAATGAGGGTGCCCAGGGCACCTAATCTTGTCATTTTGTCCTTGCTCATTCCCGTTAGGCTGAAGTATTTTCTCTCAAGAAAAAGCGTTTCCAAACAGGAGAGATTCTATTTAAGCCACATATTGCAGGAAGGTATGTAGACATACCTTTGAACCTATCATCTCTACATCATTTGTCTCTGTGATTTTGTTTTTCCATCATGGTATTTCAAGTCATTTTTTATTATTTATGTAAAGGGCTTGCATCGAGTAGTGGCCCATTGCATTGACCATTGCCAATATGTCAAACCAAAGACTGGTCGTAATTGGTACAAGACTATTGTCTTGGCTGGGGGCACTGCAAGTTTACCAGGTATACATTCGTGTTTTATGTAGACACATCTAATTCTTGACGATTGGCCGAACTTTGATGTTTGAACTATCTTCCAACTTGCAGAAGGAACTACACGATCTTCTACCCTCCTCCATATCCCATGGAATCCGTGTTATTCCGTCGCCATATGGTGCAGATGCTGCATGGCATGTTGGGTTTTTTGTTAGTGGGTCATGTTTGAATAAGTCTTTGCTTTGCAGGGGAAGTTTATTTTGTTTTTGAAATTTTCCAGCTTTCCAATAGAATAGGGAGTTTGTTGTTTTCAGCGTTTGTTATTTTCTGTGGTGTATTTAAGAAGCCAATTGGCAGCATGGATAAGTAGAGAGGCTTTTGAGCATCAATACTGAGTATTACTATGTGTGTGGTACCATAACATTTGGTATCAAAGCCAGTGGAAGAGCTCTTTACTGTCAAAAGGTGAGGAAGAAAGGAAGATATGGAAAACTCTGATAAGTTTGTGCAACCATCAATTCCAAAGTTCGATGGTCATTTTGATCATTGGGCTTTGCTAATGGAGAATTTCCTAAGGAGTAAGGAGATGTGGAACCTGGTGGAAAATGGCGTTCCCGCACAAACGACCAATCTAAGTGAAGCACAGAGGAAGGCTTTGGTTGAAGCCAAGTTGAAGGACTAGAAAGTGAAGAACTATCTGTTCCAAGCAATTGAAAGGGAAATCTTGGAAACTATCTTGGATAAGAGCTCTTCAAAGGGAATTTGGGACTCCATGAGACAGAAGTATGAGGGCTCTACAAAGGTGAAGAGAGCTCAACTGCAGGCTTTGAGAAGAGAATATGAACTTCTCACAATGAAGGATGGTGAAAAGGTCGACACTTACCTTGCCCGAACCCTGACGATTGTGAACAAGATGGAGGCAAATGGTGACCCTTTGACCTTAGGTACGGTTGTTGCCAAAATACTACGATTTTTGAGCCCAAAGTTCAATTACGTTGTTTGTTCGATTAAAGAATCAAACAATCTCGACACTATGACGATAGATGAATTACATGGTAGCCTATTGGTTCATGAGCAGCGCATGATCGGGCAACAAGAAGATGAGCAAGCTTTGAAGATAACAACTAGTTCACCCTCTCGAGGTTGGGGAAGGGGACGTGGTGGTTCAAGCAGAGATAGAGGACGTGGCAGATCTTCCTTCAACAAGAGTACTATTGAATGTTACAAATGTCACAAACTTTGACACTTTCAAAGTGAGTGTCCAGATTGGGAGAAGGATGTTAACTATGTCGAGCATGACGATACGGAGGAAATGGTGTTGGTGGCTCAAGATGGTGGTTCAACAAAACAGTGTGTTTGGTTTGGATTCGGGTTGCTCGAATCACATGACGGGAGAGAAGAAATGGTTTTGTTCGTTGGATGATACCTACCGTAATAACGTGCGTCTTGGAAATAATGTACGTATGGTTGTTTTGGGAAAAGGAAGTGTACGTCTCGATATTGAAGGGATCGTTCATACGTTAACCAATGTGTACTTTGTTCCCGATCTCATGAATAATTTAGTAAGTATCGGTCAAGTTCAAGAAAGGGGTTGGAGATATTAATAAAGAAAGGAACTTGCAGCATGTTCCATCCAAAAAGAGGCCTGATCATACGCATCCAAATGAGCTCAAATAGGATGTTCATGATCAAAGCTAAACCAAGTTGTAATGAGGAATGTCACAAAGCAGAAACTGATGATGTTACTCTTCTTTGGCATCAAAGGTTTGGACACATCAACAATAGGAGTTTAAAGGTGCTACATGACAAAGAATTGGTGAAGGGGCTGCCGGCTATCAATACTGAAGTGGGTACTTGTGCAGATTGCTTGGTGTGAAAGCAAACTAGAGAGCCATTTCCAAAAGCATGTTCGTGGAGGGCAACCCAACGATTACAACTCGTTTATTCCGACATTTGTGGACCTATCACCCCCCAGTCGAGTAGTCTAAAGAGGTACATTCTTAATTTCATTGATGATTTCTCAAGGAAATGTTGGAGCTATTTTCTTACAGAAAAGTCACAAGCTTTAGAAACTTTTAAGAAGTTTAAAGCCTTGGTTGAGAGAGAAGCAGGAACGGTGATCAAGTGTCTGAGAACCGATAGAGGAGGGGGGTTTAATTCCAGGGAGTTTAAGCTATTTTGTGAAGACAATGGGATACAACGACAACTTATCGCAAGCTATACGCCACACCAAGATGGTGTGGCTGAGAGGAAGAACCGAACCGTGATGATATGGTCCGAAGTGTGATGAGTGCTAGAAAGGTTCCAAAGATATTTTGGCCGGAAGCCACCAACTGGTGTATACATGTCATTAACCGAAGTCCTACTGCAGCTCTCGAAAACAACACACCTGAAGAAAAGTGGAGCAATCGAAAACCCTTTGTAAGTTATTTTAGGGTATTCGGTTGTATTGCTCATGTTCATGTGCCTAGAGAAAAAAGATTAAAATTGGATGATAGAAGCTTTAAATGTGTTCTATTTGGGGTTAGTGAAGAAGCCAAGGCATATCGACTCTATGATCCAACTACCAATAAGATTATTGTTAGCAATGATGTTGTATTCGAAGAAGAAGCCACGTGGAACTAGTCTCAAGAATTTGGAATTAAGGTTTCAGATTTAGAATGGGAAGATAATAATGACGATGGGTCAGGTTCATCTGACGTTACAAACGAGTTATTCAATGACTCAACTGGGCCTCACAATTCTGACGGGACTGGCAATTTGGATGGTCCATCAAGTGGGACTGAAAGTGGGTCTTCAGATGTGAATCCGGTTACAACTACAACCAATGAAAGGGGAAGAAGGCAAACGAGAGCACCTGCTTGGATGCATGATTACGTCAGCGGAGAGGGGGTTCTTAGTGATGAAAATCAGGAGGAGAATGTCGCTATGTTCTCTTTTTTATCGGAGCCTACAAATTACCATGATGCAGCGCAAGAGGAGTGTTGGAGACATGCTATGAAGCTTGAAATTGAGGTGATCGAGAGGAATAACACCTGGGAACTTTGTGATTTACCCCCGGGTGCGACAGCAATCGGAGTAAAGTGGGTGTTCAAGACCAAGTTAGACAAGGGTTAGACTACTCAGAGGTCTTTGCTCCGGTGGCTTGGTGGGATACGATCAGAACTGTCTTCGCTTTTGCTGCACAAAGAGGTATGAAAATTCACCAGTTAGACGTTAAAAGTGCCTTTTTGTATAGCATGCTAGAAGAAATTGTCTTTGTAGGGCAGCCCCAAGGTTTTGAAGTGCATGGTAAGGAGGAAAAAGTATACCGACTAAGAAAGGCCCTATACGGTTTGAACCAGGCTCTGAGGGCCTGATACGGGAGGATAGAAAGCTACTTTCTTAAGGAAGGGTTCAAGAAATGTCCTTATGAACCAACACTATTTGTTAAGTCGGTCAAGGAGAATGATGATTTTCTAATTGTTTCAATTTATGTAGATGACTTGATTATAACAGGAACCACACTTGCATTAATTGAGAAATTCAARACCTCGATGAAGTCTGAATTTGAAATGTCATACATGGGGGAGATGAGTYATTTTTTGGGTGTGGAAGTTAATCAAGGTGAAGATGGAATTCACCTAAGTCAGCAAAAWTATGCTCGTGAAATTCTTCAAAGGTTCAACATGAAGGATTGCAATAGTGTAAAGAATCCTATAGTTCCCGGTTGCACGCTGGTAAAGAACGATCAAAGTGGCTTCGTTGATGCAACCGTGTATAAACAAATGGTGGGGGTGCATTATGTACTTGGCTGCAACCAGGCCAGACATAATGTTTTTTGCAGGTAAGCTTTGTCGACACATGGAAGCTCCTACCGAGCAACATGTGACAGCAATGAAGAAGATATTCCGTTATGTCCAGGGAACTAAAGAGCTTGGAATTTTCTATAAGAAAGGGGGTAGTAATCGGTTGATCGCATACTCCGATAGTGATTACGCAGGTGATTATGATAATYGAAGGAGTACATCGGGTTACGTTTGTTTTCTAAGTGGGGCTGCAATTGCATGGTCATCAAAATGACAACCGATTGTGACTCTTTCCACCACATAAGCGGAGTTTGTGGCTGCCACAGCTTATGCATGTCAAGTGCTGTGGTTAAGGATGATGTTTGAGCATATTGGTCTTATTCAAGAGGAAGGTACTATTATTAATTGTGACAACATGTCAACCATCAAGCTTTCAAAGAATCCGGTAATGCATAATCGAAGCAAACACACAGATGTGAGGTACTTTTTTCTTCGTGATTTAGTGAATGAAGGTACAATCAAATTGAAGTACTGCAACACACAAGCTCAAGTTGCAGATATTATGACAAAGCCACTGAAGGTTGATCAATTTGAGAAATTGTCAGGTATGCTTGGTATGTGCAACACATCAGAGCTAAACTAAAGCTGGAAGTGTTTAGTTTAGGAGAAGGTATGTTGGGTTTTTTGTTAGTGGGTCATGTTTGAATAAGTCTCTGCTTTGCAGGGGAAGTTTGTTTTGTTTTTGAAATTTTCCAGTTTTCCAATAGAATAGGGAGTTTGTTGTTTTCAACGTTTGTTATTTTTTGTGCTGTATTTAAGAAGCCAATTGACAGCATGAATAAGTAGAGAGGCTTTTGAGCACCAATACTGAGTATTACTGTGTGTGTGGTACCATAACATGGCATGGGGCAAAGATGGTCGGTAATGTAAGTTCTTATTTACTCTTCCCCCCAATGCCCACTAAGTACCCTTCTGGGTTTCTTCACTGAAACTTTAGTGTCGAGACAAAGTCCGCATATTTCATACCCCGATCCTGTCTCTGTGTGGGATATACTAGGATTGTTTGGTTTACCAGATACGCACATTTGGTCAAATCGATCGTGGTCCCTTTTTTGTTCATTATATGTGTAACCATTTCATTTTTAACCAAATTCCGTAACATACATGTACACTTTTTATGGTGCAGTTGAGCTCCTTTCAAAAGTCTTGGTGCTTATCTGGGGTCAACCGTCAACGTCTAATGATCTTTGGAGGGTTGTATAGATACATAGTTCTTGAAGATCCCTAGAAAGAAGTTGATTGTTTCGAATTTTCCGTTTTTAAGATCACATACCGCTTGAGAAGGAGAACAAACGTTACTTTATTGTAAAACTTATATATCAAATACATTTTAAAACCCCAAGTCCAAATGTAGATAAAACAGATAATATTTGGTACAATTGATCGAGATGATGTTAATCTCTCATGTTATCTACCCCAAAGGGTATTAATTTCTTTATTGGTACAAGAGTAAATCACATGTTTCGTGTTTTTAACCGTCATTGTCCCTTTTTTAAAGTTCAACAAAACATGTTCTTATAATTGCGTTTTTTAATGAGTTATATCCACGTAGTTGCATTTTTTTAAGAGTTGGGTCGCAATGATTGCAATTGAGTCTAATACCTAAAGATATCAAGGACCCAGCTCCTTGTAAATATTCAACTACAAGGACACGATCCATTGAATTCTCATAAAAAGAGACAAGTTTTGTTAAGGGCATATAACTACATATAATTTACTCTTGGATTAATTCAAATTTGAAAGTTATAATAATTAACACAAGTTTAGAGCTATGACAGACTCAATTACGTTGAAATAATAAATACAAGGACTAAAAATAACAATTGTTACACTATAGGGACTATAAGTGTACCTAAATCTTAAGTAAAGGGACATATAACGAAACTAACATCATCCCAAGTGCCAACAACTTCCTTTACCAAAAAATGACCCAAACGGGAAATCGTCCCCGTTTCTGTTAAAACCTCGCCGGAGAACCACTAGTCAGTTCCGACTTCCGATGGCGCAGCTGTTGAAGAAGGTTTGGGAATCAATTTCTAATGATTGGTATTCGAGTCATTCTAGTTTAAACTCGTTATACAATTTGGACTACAGAGCTCTAGTTCATGGATCCCTATCCGATCAGATTATCATCTGTTCGTCATCTATTGGAGCATTCGATCGATTGCCTCTAGATATATTTATGCAAATACTCAAGCTTCTCGGACCTAAAGAGGCGGCTAGGCTCACCTCCGTTTGCAAATCGTGGAAATTTATGGTCTCCGATAACACGTTGTGGATATACTTTCTCCAGAACCAACAGGATCCGTGGGATTCTATTTTCTTTGCTGAAACTAACTTACGATCTGGTTTTCCTCTTCGGTACGCTTCTTTTTCTTAGTTTAGTCATTCAATTATTTTTATGAACTTTCAATTATCTTTTGTTAGTTAGGGCAGCTTAACGAGGTTAATGAGATTCACAATTTACTCAGTCGACTTTAAGTAGTGATTTAATAATATAGAGATCGGCTTATTCAATAATACTTTTTCCAAACCTGCCCCTCTCATGCTCTCCCTTCTATGAAAAAAAAATTCTCTCAAACAAAAAATTTCCCCACACGCACCAGTTCTATCTATACAGGACTTATATCTAGTTGGTTTTCCATTAAGAGGTTGTTTGATTGGTTTTCATTAAGTCCTGTACGAATAAAGTTGTTTGTATGGATTGATCTGTCTGTCAAGAGATTGAGAAATTTTTTGTTTGAGAGGGTTTTCATAGATGGAATGGAAGGAGCGTGTTTCTTTTGTTAGAAGAGACATTTTTAGAAGGAAAAAAACTTGGCTTTCTGCATAAAGCCCTCCTAAAAGCTTACTGAATAGGCCACTTTATATATCATTAAATCACTATCAAACAATCATGTATAGCTGACCAAATAAGTTGCAAGTCTTATCAAACTGCTAACAAACAGACTCACTGTACGTAATGAAGCACCATCATTTCAATTTTTTTTTTGGGTTGAAAATTATCTTAGTTTATCAAGAGTACTTTGCAGTGGTCATGCAATAAAATGTTGTTTATTTGCTATGTTATGTCACCTGTGCCGATCTGTACTATGGTTTAGCTATAACTTGACGAGCCTGACATAGTTGAATTGTGATTGTAGAACATATCGTCGTCAGATGCAATCTTTTATGCATATTTATGGTGAACGAGCAGAAGTGCCTGGAGCTGTTATCATTGACGGTGTGTGCTCATAATTCTACCCAATGCTGTCATGCCAATTTCGGGCGTCTTCTTTCTTGCTTTGTGCCATAGTTCTTATCGTATTTACTGTTCCTTGTTTACCTAATTGTTTCTGCATGAGGAAGATAATTGTATGATTCTTTCTACATTAACCAAAATGGTTCTATGCTGAAATTTTTAGGAGTCAAAAAAGTCGGTTCCCTTTTTATGGGCTTATGAAGTTCAACTGTTAATTAGGGGCTGATTGGCTGGTTTTCCATCAAGTCCTGTATGATAAAGTTGTCTGTGTGGATTAATCTGCCCGCATAGATTGGGAAGGTTTATTTTGGGAGAGTTTTTTCATAGATGGGAGAATGTTTTTTAATTGGGAAGGACAGTTTGGAAAAAACTTGACCTTACGAGCCACTTTATAGCTTAGCCGAATAAGCTGTGAATCCCATTAAGCTCATTAAGTTGTTAACAAACAGCCCCAGTCTAAAAGATGTGCTACATATGTACGCTTCCACTACATCTACTGTTATTACCATGTCAATTAATTGTTGTTCCCTTGATGCTCATTGTAAATTATTTGGTTTACTGTATCCTTCATTAAAGGTGGTGCTGGCTATTGCAAATTTGGTTGGAGCAAGTATGATTCTCCATCTGGGCGATCGGCAACATTTGTGGTAAGTGATTGCTTTAGTGGATGACTTAAACATCATAATATAAGCATAAAACTCGATTTTGATTTGCATTTGTTATTGCACTTCATTGACTGTGCTAAAAGTTTGACTTCATGTGTAGGAATTTGGTAACATTGAGTCTCCATTGTATTCTAGGCTTCGTCATTTTTTTGCGACAATCTATAGCAGGTTTTTCTTACATTTGCAGCTGCACTTACCCGGCACTTTAAATATAGGTGCCTTTTACTTTCCCTTCATCTTATCCTGAAAGATTTCTCATAGTTACGACTTTAATCATTCAGGATGCAGTTGAAATCATCTACACAGCCAATTATTGTCTCAATTCCAATCTCCCATTATGAAGGTATCATCCGAGTTGCAATCTATTTTTGTCTTTATGCAGATTAGTTCATGTGGATTTTGTTTCATAGTCTCCTTTAATGATCGGGTTCTTTAATGTTCTCTGAATTTACTTTAGATAACGGAGCTGCTAAAGCTTTTAGAAGCGAACTAGAAGAAGCCGTCTACTCAGCATTGTTTGGAATGAAGGTTCCCGCTGTTTGTGCAGTCAGCCAGGTATGAGGTACTTATTTCTTGTTCATTCCTTTAACATTCAAATCAGATGTCCTTATTTTCCACTGAGGTTTAGGTTAAATATATCTTATTTCCAATTTAGTTGATAGCAAGGAAAGATGAGAAGATTACAAAAAAGTAGGGATGGATTTTTAACATGATCTATGACTTGTCTATTCCAGTTACATCCTGCTACTTGTTAGAAGGAAGTATTTGTTATTGATCTGCATACAATGTCAAAAGGGACTGCTCCCTGTTCCATCACAATAACATATGTACAAAAACAATTAAATTCCAAAATGGAAATACAATTGATAGGTACACGTAATTGATGAATAAAGTCTGTATTTTTATATGTCACTCCCCTAATGTTGCTGTCACATGATGTGCAGGCAACTTTAGCATTGTTTTCAGCAAGAAGAACATCAGGAATTCTTGTCAACATTGGTTTTCATCAAACTTCTGTTGTTCCAAGTACGTTATTCAGTTAGGATTTCATCCTCCTACCTTAGGCATAATAGACTGAAATCATGTTACAGGCTTTATATTATACCCTGGGCGCTAAATGATGTTATGTTGGACCAAATGCAAATCAAATTTCATCTATGTGGAGGAACCAAGTTTGAGGTCCCCTTGTTTGAGCACTTTTGACATATAAGGTTTGTGCTATGTTTCCAGTTTTACATGGTAAGGTAATGCATAAAGTTGGCGTGGTAACCGTGGGTGTTGGAGCTGTAAAACTTACTGAATACCTCAGGGAGCAACTGCGGCAGAGAAATCTACATATTTCTTCATTATACACAGTGCGCTCGTTGAAAGAGGTATTGATGACATTCCACATACCGCTTTACTCTTACGAAATTTGTTGGTGGACATAGAACTATAAAAGATAAACATGTTCCACTCAATGCAAATAAAAGAACCCCTTATCTTTCACTTGTATTGAACACGAGAATCTCACATTCCCTGATAGCTGTCTAGCAGGAAGTTAAGCTGAAAGTTCTATTCAAGAACAACCAACCCATCATGTGAGTTTAGGACTTGAAGTGTCACTACAAATCCCAAAGTGAATATTAGAGGGAGTTTATGATATATAGCTTAATGATGCATCCATGGGAACTGGGATCAAGATCTCCAGTTACCTACACCCATTCAGACGAGGGCCGTCTAATTGTGCAGAATACCAAGTGATCCATGATTTAAGCATTCTTTTTTCAAATTCAATTATGATTAGTGGCGATGATGAACTGCAAGGCCTTAAAATAATGTGTCCATGTGTCTCTCACCTAGCATGAGAATCTCTAACTATGTATTTTCATATATGTTGCTTGATTCTGTCTGGTTCAATTCACATGCAGAACCTTTGTTATGTTTCTTTGGACTATGAGGCTGAATTACAGAAGGATACAGAAGCATCATACGAAGTTGCTTCTGAGGGTTGGTTTACTCTTAAGCAAGAGCGTTTCCAAACAGGAGAGATTCTATTCCAGCCACATATTGCAGGAATGTATGTCCATGTACCCTTGAACCTGTCATCTCTACGTTATTCACATAATTCTTTGTCACTGATACTGTTCTCTCATTATTGTTTATCAAGTTATATTTGCCCTTTTTGGTACAGGCATGCAATGGGTCTGCATCAGGCGGTGGCGCACTGTGTTGACCGTTGCCGTGCTGCCAAAGTGACGACTGATCATACTTGGTTCAACACCATTGTCTTGGCCGGGGGCACTGCATGTTTACCAGGGTTAGCAGGTATAAAATAGTATTTTATGTAATGTACATCTAACGCTTCATGCCAAAATTTATTGGCCAAATCTTGATGTTTAAAGTGTCTTTCCATCTTGTAGAAAGATTGAATAAGGAACTACATGATCTTCTCCCTCCCTCCCTGTCCAGTGGTTTGCGTGTTATCTCGTCTCCTTATGGTGCAGATTCTGCATGGTATGGAGCAAAGCTTGTCGGCAATGTAAGTTCTTAATATGCCGTTCTCTCTTGCCGCCTCCTCCGACCCCCTTAAAATAAATCCCTTCTAATTGCCAACCATTTGGTTTACCATATGACAAAGGGCCATGTATTAGCATGTTAAATATGAGTTCTTGAACAGCGCCCCCAAAATTTTGGGGTTCAATCTTACTTTTGTTCGGGGCCTGATTTATATAGACTTGTGAATCAACCTCAATTAAGACCTATCTAATTCATTTCAAAAGCAAAAGCGGCTCTTTAATTTCAGAATTTGCTGGTCAAAACAAAAATGACTACGAAATTCTTTTCATTTTGTCATTTTAACCATTTTAGATGATCAATAGTTCTAGTACAGGTGTACCAGGGCCTCCAAAAAGATTGGGGAGGCCCTCACGCACACTTCATCTTAAAAGCATTGTGGTCCTTGTTTCTGCGTTAATTGTCTAGTCATCATTTTAACCAAATTTCATGGACTACCTTCTCTAAATAACATCTGTATATATTTTTATCTGTGCAGTTGAGCACCTTTCCGAATTCCTGGTGCATCACAGAGGAGTCTTGGTCAAAGTCCAAACGAACCATCTTATGGTGAACCTCATAGTCGAGTATGCTAATGATCTTTCAAGGTTGTATTTGTCGGGATATATACTTTGGATTCCTAAACATCATAATCCACCGTTAAGTGATAGGGGTCGTGTTATATTGTCTGGTTTTGTACATCTTGTGTAATTATATACCTGATATAGGATATGAAACACTATTATGTGTTATAAAGATGAAGTAAAACCGCAGCTTTCATAGGAATCAAAGACAAATGAATAAGTTTCGATATTGTGCAATGAAATATTAAAAACTGAGTTCTAGTGTACCATTTTATTTGTTGTTTCTTTCTTACGTTGATGCAGTATCAGGATCCAGGGGTCACCCCAATCTTTCTGAATATATGCCCTCTTGTTCTCTATCATCAACAGGTATGGAAAATTCTTTCGCTGCCGCATTAGAATCATTAATTCATGCGCCACACACAGTGGCACAAGAAACATCATATAGCACATACATATTTAACTTCCTTAATAAACTTATCAACTGTTTCCTAGAAAAAACTCGCATTTCCCCATTTGAAATCACCTTATTGGTGTAATGTTTCATTGGTTAAACAACAATGTATTCAAAAGAGACCAACCATATGTGTTGTTTCATTGGTGAACCAACACTATATTATCAAAACGGATCAACACAGATCAACCATATTGTGTTGTTTCATTGGTGAAGCAACACCGCATTAGTAAAATGGATCAATACAAATCAACCTATGTATTATTTCATTGGTGAAACAACACTCCTTGTTTCAAAAGCAAAAAAAAAAAAAATGAGTTTTTTAGGAAACGATGATAAGATAATAAAGATAATTATGGAAGTTAAATATTAGTGGTTAATATTGGTTCATAGACTTTCTAACTTATAGGAGTTTTTTATGAGTTTGGCCCTATATATCAACACAATCTAGAACATAACCTTGAACCTTGAAACTCACCAAAAAAACAAGATTAGGAATCCTGTAGTTAGAATTGTTTACTGATATAAAAATATTTATATGTATATCAACACAATCTAGAACATATTGAAACTCACTAGAAGAACAAGATTAGGAATCCTGTGGTTAGAATTAGCAGTGAGGATGGATTGCAGATAGTCGGGGTGTGGTTAGAATCATCTGTCACCCCACCCCGGCCCACCCCTGGTGGTACTGCATCACAAGGTAGCCCAACATTGTCACCATGACACAAACTAGAAAAAAGTCCAGGTGGATAATTCCCGTAGCGGTTGATGTAGCTGAACATTACCGTCGAACAATCGTTTGACAAGTCGTCCAATTCGCTAGTGAAAGGACAGGCAAAGTCTTTGAGAGCTTGACAACAGATATTAGCAGAGTATTTTGGACCTTTGCAACTGCTAGTGATGATTGTATAATTCATAGACTCTAAGTTTACTGGGCATGCTGCAGATAGAAACAAACCAAGATCACATAAAACACTGTTGAACACCAAGATTTAAGGTTCTTATAAGCAAAAAATGTAGCTTCTCATAAGAATCAATATTGTTGAAGTTGATGTCAAATAACAATTTGCAGTTTTTTTTATATGTTTTAAATTAAATATCTGATATTCGTTTATAAATGTATAATAGCTATTGATGTTTAAAAAATACATGGTACCCATAAAAGAGGTGGTAGTGAATGGAAGCGAACTTAATGAAAGGGATGTATGAATTGAAATTTGTAGATGAGAGAAGAGGGAGAGAGATACGTTTGGCAGCCTGAAGAAGGTTTCGTCTGATTGAAGGTTGAGAGGTGAAGACGACATTATCTGGTAAACATACACAAATAACCATTAACCAAGATGCGATAAGATTAAGAAGGTGATGGCATTGGAATGTGGGAAAACCCTAATTGACGAACCTGAAAGGGAAATTGGAGATGAGAAACAGCAGGAGGATAGAAGCAGCAGCAGCAGAAAGCAGCGAATTGCGATCTTCATAGCAGATGGTGGGTAGGGTTTTGATTGAGATGGTGTTTAGTGAGTAAATTAGTATTTGGGTTCAGATGCTGATTTGTCCAAACAGTAACACTACATTTTCGCTTCTTACGTGTTGTATATTTATTTCTCATCTACAATCTAGTGGTATTATGGACAAGTTTTAAAAAGGAGCGAGGCGTGACGGCACCGACACGTTTTTTTATGTCACATAAGGATGTAAATTTTTATATTATATATAAATATATGTTTTGTATATATTATTTAAATCAATTAATGATATTAAAAAATATACATTCATATTCATATTAGAAGAATAAAAATCATATATATTATTATTATCATAGGTTTTTTATTAAATATTTAAAATAAAATTTATCAATTTGATCATGAGTTTGTAACATTTATGAATTTGTGAAACTGTCAGTGATGTGATTAGTTGTATCTCTAAAAATGTAAAATCTAAAGTTAAAAGTGTAAAAAAAACAAAAAAAATATTCTTTTTGGAAAAATAAATCATGTCTTGGAAAAAAAAGTACGCTATGGCATAAACCATGCCTTACAAAAACGTTATGGGTCATTTTATAACGGCATTAAAAGTTGAAACGTTTTGTCACCACCTTTTTAAACATTGATTATGACTAAAAATAGGAACATTCTTCATCAACAATAATAATCAAAATTCAAATTTATTACAATATTATTTATATTATTAAAATATTTTTATGTATTTTTTGTTCGGAAACGTATAATTTTAAGGTTTATTTATTAGTGGAAACATAAAAATATTTCTTTTATGGTAATTAACTTTTGTTGTTTTGGAGAATTTCATGGAACGAAAATCTGATCAAAATTCTTAAAATCTCAATTTTTTCAATTTTAAAAATTTGTTCGAAGTCATGCATGATAGCAATACCAAATCAAATAAGACAAAAATGTGTTCCTCGTCTATATAGATTCTCAAGATGGCCTCTTCATTTTAAATGCCGGTGAAATAATAATAAAAAAAACTCGATATCTTATTGATGAGATTTTTATAAAAGCTATCATTTTTTTTAAATCTTACTTCAATAAAAAGGTATGGATGTTGTTTAAGTTGTGTAATAAAAGTTATGCGTTAAACGAATATATTTTGAGAATTTTCGGATTGATTAGTCTGAAAATTATAGTTTCTTGACATGGTACTTTTAAATGATTTAAAAAAATTAAGAATCTAAAACACAAATATCTTCTATTTAAATTAGAGGGATTACTATTCATACTCCTCTTCACTCACATATCATCTTATTTCTTACCTCTTTTCAAGTCATACAAATAGAATACACCAAATTAGAAGTCTTGATTGAGACTTTATTCATAACAATCTAATTAACATTCAAGAAAAGTAACCAAAAGAACAAATTTGATTCGAAAAAAGTAACCACCTTTTTTTCTTTCCGTTTAACGCTTTGTTCTCGAAACCCCTTTTTACGAAAGAAAGGAAAGGAGAAGGAGAAGAAAAAAAAGACGGGTGTTCACGAAACTTTTTTAGGAGAGAGAGAAAAGAAAAATAATTTCCTTCCAAACATGAGAGGAAAGAAATTAAAACCCTTTCAAAATATTATTAAAATTATAAAACTATCCAAACTTTTATCATAAATAATATATTTTTAAATTTTTTTTCCCTAAATTCGAGAACACATTCACATTGAATTTGGATGGATAGAGGAGAAGGTAGCAAAGCAAGAATATTTTGAAAGCATGTATTCACATCTCATTTCAAGAAACTTTATTATTATTAGTATTCAGTCAACATAATATAAGCCTTTGATTGTAACTTCACTATACCTTCTCAGACACAATTAGCATAACAGAGAACAGAAAAAAAGGGTGCTCACTGTCTCTAACATAACTTTCACCTCTTTCCAGTTTCTCCACTCTACACCAACTTTCAACACATCGTTCGCCGCTGCAAAACATATACTACATCACAAAGTTGTTGCAAATCCATCTGAAGTTCCAATTTTAAAGAGACTCGTGTGTTTGGTATGCAAATAATACTAACAAAACAAGAACTTGTTGCCTCATGTTTGGTATGAAAATTTAAGGAAAATAAAATACAATAAACAAAATTTAAAGAATGGATCAAATTTATAGATGGAGACATAGTTGATGTTTTAAAATAGAATAAGTTTTACTTTAAGAGTATATTGGTTAAATATAGGCTTGTTTCGCCTTGTTTAATGCACACAAAAGTCGTGCCAAACGTGAAACAATGATCTCAATTCTGTTCTGTCCTGGTCAATGTACCAAACATACCCTAATAGACCAAACAAGATGAGAGAAAGTAACTTACACAGAATTTATACTGCTGCAGCCTTTCCATCAATTCTGAAATCTCAAGTTGCTTCACCACAGTGGCATGTAATACCTGTGTGCAATGATTGGTGAGGAGCTCAAGTCAAGAAAAGCAATAGTGATTATCCAGAAAAGTGGAAAACTGACCAAAACAGTCAATTCCCTTACCAATTTCACTTTTTAATCTCAAATTTTTATTTTAACCGAAAATTCACTTTTTAATCTCAAATTTTTATTTTAACGGAAGTTTACAAGCATTTGCCTAAAGTCTATTTTCAGATTAAAGAAAAGTAAAAAAAATCTTTTTCCCAAATGAGATCCTTACTCAAATTCTTTAAGCGAATCACGCAAATTTGTGTAAAGATTTTTTATTTTTATTTTTATCTGAAAATAGGATTTATGCAAACATGTAAAGTATTTGCATAGGAATTTGATTAAAAAATGGCTAAAAAGGGAATTTGATAGAGAAGATTCACTATTTTGGTCAATTTCCAATAAAAGTTTACGAGGTTGTAAAAGGAGCCTACTTTCTTGGTTTTATGAAGATCAAGTTCTACCGACTTAATCCTATCTAAAGAATGTTCCAACATCTGCTCTTTTTCTGCAGGAATTTGGGCAGGTTTCTTTTTAAGTTCTTCCAGCATTCTTTCAAGTTTTTGTAGACGCTCCAAACACGGAAGGATTTGATCTTCTCTGATACCCTCCGTGCGAGAGGCCGAATCACTGGGTGCCACTGCATTAGAGGGGCATATGATGTTCAGTTTTCTCCAATATTCAATGGGTAGGCTGCAAACGAGCGTTTTCAGTTTTGTCGCCAATGAGACCACCGGTTTTGCTATATAATTGAAGCTTCTCTTCACAACCTTTTCCTGAATGGTGTTCAACAACTGGATACATACAGTACCTAAAAAAACGATGAAAATTAACCCACATGTCTTCATAAAAACCAAGAAAGAATCCAGTTGTTGAACGGTGTTCAACAACTAGATTCATAAAAGCAGATTAAGGGGATGTTTGGTTGGTTTTCCAATTAGGTCCTGTTGTTAGCAACTTAATGGGACTCGCAGCTTATTCGGTCATCTATATATGATTGGTTGGTAGTGGCTTAATGATATAGAAAGTGGCTTTTTCAGTAAGCTTTCAGGGGGGATCTTTATGCAGAAGGTCAAGTTTTTTCCAAAGTTACCATCCGAAAAGAGAAAAAAAGGGGTTTGATTGTCCATCTTTTTGATAAATTGGATATCTATATAACGCATTCTCTGGATAATTCAAACTCGGGGGTGGGTGCAGGGCGGATGATTTTAAAGCAGACTCCCCATTCATTAGAAAGAACCGAGTCGACCACTAGAACTTCTAGTCTTAGAGCCAGAAAAAGATCTATTTAGATACGCTCAAATGACCCCTTCTCACAATGAGAATGTACGTTAGGAGAGTCAAGGGGGGACATATTGTTTTCGGCATTAAGCTTAGGAGAAAAAAATTTATCGTCTAGACGTCATAGAGAATTGAGAATTCTAATTTCCCGTGAGGGTGAGCTAACTCCAAAAACCCATCCTTAGTTCAGATTGCAGCGTTCTTAAGGCCAAAGAGTCGGCGTAAAAGGAAGAGTGTGAAATTCTATTTCCTTTCCGCAGGGACCAAGAGATTGATTCTCTCCCAATTGGTTGGACAGTAGGTGCGATGATTTACTTCACGGGCGAGGTCTCGGGTTCAAACATTCATGATCTGGATGTGAATGAGTCGAATTGCTTCTCCCTAGCTGCCCCTCCCAATTAAAAAAACACGTTCCCTCTATCTATGAAAAACCCTCCCAAACAAAAACCTTCACAATCTATACAGACTGATTAATCCACACAGACAGCTTTATCCATACAAGACTTAATGAAAACCAACCAAACAGCCCCTAAGTCCTATATGAATAAAGTTGTCTGTGTGGATTAATATGTCTTATATAGATTGGGAACGTTTTTTGTTTGGAAGGGTTTTTCCGTAGATGGAAGGAGCATGTTTTTTAATCAGGAGGGCAGGTTTGGAAAAAACTTGGCATTCTTCATAAAACTCCCCCTAGAAGCTTACTGAATAAGCCACTTTATATATCATTAAGCAACTAACAAACAGCCATGTATAGCTAACCAAATAAGTTGCGAGTCCCATTAAGCTCATTAAGCTGCAAACAGGCCCTAAACCTAGTAAAAAGGTTCTTTTAAACTGAACAAATGTTGTAAAGTTCGAGCTTATGGATGTTTTGTAACATCTTATCAAAAACACCTTCTGAAACCTGTAAAGCCGTACCAGAAGTAATTCCCTCACTGTCTGGTGTAGGAGACCGACTGCGAGAAATTTCCAGACCTCGATCAGCGGCAATAGCTTCTTCACGTGGACTGAAATCATCATCACAACTATGATAGACGGGTGAATCAGATGCCACGGCCTGCATAAGTTACAACTCATGCTGGTAAGTATTCACATGAAAGCTATTGTTGGCTTTAGTACCCTTAAAACTACTGTATCAAGTCCTAAATTAATTAGGCCTCTGTCTCAAACTTGTTTTGAGCAGGCTGAAATAGTTCCCTTAAGAGTTTCATTATTCTAGTAAAAAATATGGTTCTTAAAAATGTAAATGTTTCATTAACCAAACCTAATGCATTTCAAAGTTGACATAATAATCATAAGCGATACTAGAGCTATGTGATGTCATAATATGAATTCATATGTGTGTAATATGTAAATGAACCATAACATACAAGTATGAATGTATGTTATCTGTATTACGGAATTAGATCCAAAATTTACTTGTGAAAAAAAGGAGAAAGGGTGGGTTGTATAATCTCACTAGTTGACACTTCATGGAGAAAAGTACCTAACAGAATTTCTTAAGACTTACTTCGTCACTAACTGATGCGAATTCTGGAATCCTAGAATTATTTGGGCTAGTTAGACAAGGGTCATCAGCATCTGATCCTGATTCAAAGATTGATGCATCACTTCTGCCCTGAAAATAGAATGCAACCATATGATAAAAGACCCCGGATAACAATCAATATTCTAAAACTTGACTTGGATACTTGCCTTCACAGGTTGTATTTGGACAGAAGAGTCAATTTTCTGTTGATCATTATAGACTCTGGTGATTTGCCTTTCAAATGTGGCTTCTGCATTATTTACAACCTGCAAAAATTACAAAGACACATAAATATAAACAAGCAAGGAGGTAATCTTACCAAATCACTGTTACATTCTACCACGATCAAGACAAAAGTCATCAACCTAGAAACAAGTGTTGTTTAACAGAATCGTACATTAAAAAAGTGGCACTTAGTTGGAATCTAGGTAGTATTTTAAGAGATAACTTATATACTAATGAGAGGAAGAAGTCAAGAATGAACAAGTTTCTGAACATTTCTGTACAAAATGAATCCGCTAGATAATACATACCTTCATTATTTCAGGGTCATTCCATGGACCCATGTTAGACCTAAGGCAACCACCCTCAGAAGGACAAGAACATGAACCACCAAGGAAGTTGGGCAATTGACTAAAACAGTGATCAAGAATCAGATGATTGTATAAGTGGAAATCGAACAGATTAATTCAAAAATCAAAACAAACAGACCTTGGGTCTATGGCTTCATGTAGTTTTCCCAATGATTTGGGTTCAAGCACCTACAATGCGAGAACATGAGTGGAACTGCCGCAAAGGAAGCTAGACATAAAGATGTAAATAGTTAACACATTTCTGTTACCTGAATTTTTGGAATCGTCTTTGCATCCAAAAACTTTTGAGCAGCAGGCCATAAATATTTCTTAAAAGTTGCACTAGCATTGATGACGAACATGTGATGTAATGTCTACTGGTAAATGCGGAAATCCATTATTGCAAACACCCTTGTTGATTTGAAAAATCTACTAAAGGAATAGGAGTTATTTACCTCTGGGTAGTAGTTACTGTCAACCTTTGTCACAGCTCCAAGAATACTTGCAGCAGTTGGAGTGAAATTCTTTAAACCCTGTATATTATATTAAGTGTATGGTTAATTGTGTTAAACGCCGGAGTAAGAGGCTGTTTGGTTGGTTTTCCATTAAGTCCTACATGGATAAAGTTGTCTGTGTGGTATGGATTAGGAATGTTTTTGTTTGGGAGGATTTTTTCATAAATGGAATGAGCATGTTTTTTAATTTGGGAGGGCAGGTGTGGAAAAAACTTGGCTCTCTGCATGAAGTTCCCCCCTAGAAGCTTACTGAATAAGCCACTTCTCATTAGCCACTACCAAACAGTCATGTATATCTACTGAATAAGCTGAGTCCCATTAAGCTGCTAATAAACGGGGCTGTTTACTTGCGGCTTAATTAGGCTTATTGGTCTATCTGGCTTATTTACACAGCTCATTTGGATTGTTTACTTACGGCTTATTCGCACAGATAGAAATGGTGTGTTGTCCCCATTCAGCCACAAAAATTACCCCTACCCCTTATTTAAAGCACCGCCTCCTTCCCATATGAGACACCCCATCTTCGGCCTCTTTATGATTTTTTGTTTTGATGTTCAAATAATTAATATTGGGGGGTAATCAGTCATTTATGTTATTCAGACTGTTGGTTCAGATAAAAAAAAAAGTAAAAACAACAACACCCATTTATCCAGACAGACAAATTTATCCATACATGACTTAATAAAAAATTTGGTTTGAAGTCTTGTATTGATAAAGTTATCTGTGTGGATTAATTTGTTTGTATAGAGTAGGAAGGTTTTTGTTTCGAAGGGTTTTTTATAGATGAAATGAGCGTGTTTTTTAATTGGGAGGGACAGGTTTGGAAAAAAACTTGGTTTTCTGCATAAAGCTCCTCCTAGAAGCTTACTGAATAACCCACTTTCTATATCATTAAGCCACTACCAAACAGTCATGTATAGCTGACTGAACAAGTTGTGAGCCCCATTAAGCTCACAAACCTCTAATGGCAATATGTCCCTTCCCCTCCCCTCCCCTCCCCTTCCATACTTAATCACGTGTCAACTCTGATATTTTCGGCCATCAACTAGTACTACTATTTGTGTACACAATTTGTAAAAAACCGATCGTATGAAGAGTGTAATAAGTATTAAATCAAGTAGTTCCCGTACCAGGCCTTGCACATCCAAGATTGTTGTAGTTGAACAAATTTGTCTCTTTGCAGCAATTGAACAAGCAGGGAACTTCTCGTTAAAAGCCCTTTCAAACTCTTGGACATGGTATTTCAGGTAACGTTCAACTGAAGTAGTTTGCATAAGCTTACTAGGGTGTGCCATCCCGAGCCTTTCAATGTAAACGGGTCTTCCTTCCCTATCAACTCCATGGTACCCTTGAGGGTACTGCTGCAAGACTTCTTCCAGCTCCGTAAATTCGTAATCCTGAGGGGGGTTCATATTAATATATAAGCAACACACCATGGATGATAAAGTTAAGATGGTTTCAACCTCAGGAAAGAAAGTGTTTGAGATACATGTAAAGAAATATTATCTACGTATGCCCAGATTATATGTGTAACATCTCAGGCTAATTGTACCAAATATTGTCCACTTTGTCCGCACACTTGGACTCATAGTTTTAGAACGCATCTGGTATAGGAGGTATCAAGCCCCTTATAAGGCAATCTTTGTTCCCCTCCCCAACCAATGTGGGATCATACAATCCCACCCCCCCTTGGGTACCTGGGGTCCTCATTGGCACACCGGTCCGATTCCTGATTCTAATACCATCCCACGCTAACCGTACCAAATATTTTCCGCATTGTTCACACAGCTGGACTCACGATTTTAAAACGCGTCTGGTAGAGGAGATATCAAGCCCCTTATAAGGCAACCTCTGTTCCCCTCCCCAACCAATGTGGGATCTTATAATATGAACTTATTTGAATACCACACATTCATGTGACTTCAAATGCAAAAATGTTGACAATTCGTACTAAGTTCAGGATGATTGTTACTACCTCCAACATTGTATCTGCTCCAAACTCTTTTCGCCAATTTAGCATTTCTTCCCACATGAGGGTTGTTCTTCCAATGTCAAAATCCCTCGCCTTCAAGAACCTAAGAGAACAAATAGACAAGTTAAACACAACTTATAAAACCAAATACGTTCTGTTTACATTCAAATGAAGACAATTTCACTCCAAGAGCTATGAATGTCCACCGAAGTCCAAAAGCCACCGACAGCAGAAGCAAAACTATCTCACTTGAAACTTCTCTGAAGAAGACAGGGCTTATCTTCTTGGATATGAAAGACTAAAGAACGACACATTCAATCAAAAGTGCAGAGACCAAACTCTCAAACTCATGCAGAAGCTCTGACCAAGATCAAAAGGATCTTGATCACAACTGAACATCTTTTTGGGTGAACTCTACACATACTCAACCTATGCACATTTGATGAGTCAAAGTATCTATGAAATGGCAATATCTCCATAACTTTGTTTATACAAAATATTTTATGTTGTCTGGTGGGTTTTCCATCAAGTCCTATATGGATAAACCTATCTGTGTGAATTAATCTGTCTATATGAATTAGGAAGGTTTTTGTTTGGGACGGTTTTTTAGTAGATGGAAGGATTGCGTATTTTAATTGGGAGGGGAAGGTTTGGAAAAAATATAGCTTTCTGCATAAAGCTCCCCTATAAAAGCTTATTGAATAAGCCACTTTATATAGCATTAAGCCACTATCAAACTGTCATGTATAGCTGACCGAATAAGCTATGAGTTTCATTAAGCTCATTAAGCAGCTAACCAACAGGCCCTAATTTGAACTTGTATTTCAATTTTTTGCAAAGATTATACTTATCATGTTTCTTGACATGTTATGTACTTATTTTTAGACTTTTGATACATAAAACATAATTTTAGCAAATGTACATGATTCTTGGTTTTCATAAAATCTTGAAATGTATTTTATAGGCACTAAGTAATCAATATAACAAGTATGCTTCTCCAATGTTTCGGCTTTGTTTAGAAGAAACATTGATATAACAGCTCGGATATAATAATGATTTTAAACTGAAAAAATTTACTCGCCTCAACAAGGTATGATAGTCATCATGTCTAGTTGGCAGTAAGTTATTGTCAAGAAGCTTTTTCCGTAATTCACAGACAGCTCTCTCCTCATTTGCATCACGTACATCTACTATGGGAACCGAAGGAACCTTGGAATTAACTTTTCGCTTTCGCCTTCTCTTGAGCGAGTGGGTAAACCTGTTAGATGCATTCAATGCCTTCTTCTTTAGGGATCTCATTCTGGATAGCCGTATCTCATCTTCAGAATTCTCAAGATCCGACTTCCTTTCTCCTGTTTCATCGAAAGCCTCATTTCCTTCTAGGCCTGATACACAAAAAATAAAAACAAAAACAGCCCAATATTGTTATTTTCTTGATCAAAAACTACAAAAAAATGGTGCGGTTATGTGCATAAAACAATGTTACTTAACGATGCAAAATGCAACTCACCTGACATTTTAGCCAGGTGCAGAAGGGTAGAGACTCAGCAGTAGGCTAGAGTGCAGGAAGATATGTCTGTCAGCACACCCATCAAAAGCCATGTTACCATAAGAACAACTCCACGTACCAAGCAACCGACCACCATGATTACATAAATAAAGCATCATACAGTATACTGCATAAAGTAAAATGTCAGGCAAGCTCTAAAATAAGAAGATTAGGGCTTCAAACAATCAAATGTCAAATTATTGATTTTGTAAGGTCCTAGACCTCATAGGAAATTGGACGACCTACGTTAAGAAGACAATCTTTAATTCCATCATGTCATGGTGGCCTTAGAGGTTGTTCAGTTGGTTTTCCATTAAGCCATGTATGGATAAAGTTGTCAGTGTGGATTAACCTGTTTGCTGTTTGCATAGATTGAAAAGGTTTTTGTTTGGGATGAATTTTTCATAGATGGAAGGAGCATTTTTTTTTTTTAATTTGGAGGGACAGGTGTGGAGAAAACTTGACCCTTTCTGCATAAAGCTCCCCTCTAGAAGCTTACCGAATAAGTCACTTTATATATATAAGCCACTTTATATATATAAGCCACTACCAAACAGTCATGTATAGCTGACCGAATAAGTTGTGAGTCCCATTAAGCTCGTTAAGCTGCTAACAAACAGGCTCTAAAGTTGGGTGAAAGGGAGTTGGATAGGTTGGGGTAGTGGGATGACTTAGGCTAAGAGATGTGTTTTTCGCCTTATTTGCTCTACATGGGTTTTCCTTTTCTTGTCTTTCCTATGTTTTCATTGTACCTTATTGTTACTTTTTCTTACTTATTTTTCTCGTGCCACATTCACCTCATATTAGTATTTATTCTTTCTAACTGTTTGCTCACAATCTTGAACAAGACAGGTTTCTTCATAAAAACAACCTCTCAACTATTTTCGGATAGATTTAAGGTCTGCGTACATCCCCCCACCCAGCCACCCTACTTTCGAGTGGGATTTATGGACCAGGTCGTTTGGTTTGGGTTGGTTAGTTCATGTCAACTGATAAAATATGTAAATACAAAGAGGGATCTTGAACCTCTTGAATGTCTAATATGTACACGATAGATAAAAACTAACAATGTAGGTTGTGTAATCACCAAAAATGGCAAAAAGATCGCATCTAATATCTTCCCTCACTTCCATTAAATTCCTAAAACCCATGATCAAGAAACTACCTATAGTGATCAATTTTTTCTTGAACATGTAAGCACATAAATGTAGCTGTACAGGCAATTATCTTAATTATGGCCTCAAGTTAATCTACAAACTTACCATACTTAATCTAACTCTTATTACATGAAACAAATGCAACAAAATTAATGATTAGTACATTCAATACAAGGGGAAAAATGGCAAATTTCAAAAATGCCAGTTGATAACCAATCATATATCGATTAGTTCAGCAACACAAATCTCATGGATTTCGTATAACACGATTGCTTCGTTCAAATAAAAACATTTGATTCGATAGAAAAACAAAATCATTATAAATCATACCAGAAACCCTATAACATACTCGTGGAAAGATTGAAATTGATAGGCGGAAATTGGGAATTTTCTTGAATGAAAAAGAAAATTTCCCAAAGAATGAAACAGAGATGATCGGGGCGCGCTGGAACCGATCAAATCAATACGTATATGTTGTATGTATAATAGGTTTCTTGATGCCTTTCTCTAATTTTTCTTCCGTTTCCTCTCTTACCTAACTTTCACAATTTACGTAATTACGTGCCTAATATATTTTCCTATGCAGCCCCCTTCTTTTAGAAAGCTGCAAAACACCCCCTTTATTTTTGAATTTATGTCACTTCATGACGTCTTTTTTTATTAACTTGGATATCCAACCCGCTATACAAGCCGACTAATCTCAGTGCAATCAACCGCTTTGTGGGTAGCCCGGAGTCACCGCATTTGAACCTCCATGGCCATAAGATAATTTTTTTTTCTCCTTGGATTTGAACCTGTGATCTTTATGCACTTTTGGCCTTTTAAGCTCAAGCTCAAACCAATCAGACACCACCCTTGTAGTTATAATTCATGAGAAAATAAATATTGTCTTGAAAAATTAAAACCGAACAAATAAACGCATTATATTCCACTTGAAATAAGGTGCAAGAGTGAAGTATATACAAACATCTTTTTTCTCAATTTGTAGAATGGTTACATCTTCTTAAACTTCCAAATTTGTGCAACGGTATGGCTGAAGTGAAAAGAAAAAAAACTAGCATATAGGAAAAGAAATATATGAGTAGAAGAATTAAAAAGTATATACACTGCAAAAAGAAAAAAAGATAGGATGAACATATAAAAAAGAAAGTACAAATGTATAAAGTCTTGTTATTCTGTTAACCCTCTAACCTTACCCTCACCCTATCCAATTTCCTCAAACTATTTGTGCTAACTACGGGTCTTTCCGCTTAGTTTGTTATCCTAGTTTTGTGTCTACAATAACTCTTATCAAGGATCATGTCCTTTAAAATGTCTAAAGTCGTTATATCCATCATCAATTGTTCATCCCACACCCTCCTCAATTTCTATCGGTGTATGCTTTCTACCCTCATCACCAGTGAAATCATCTGTATCTTATGAACGTGTTTAAACTACGCCAATCTAAACTCTCTTAAATTTATCCATCTTCTAACTTCGCTCAGAATAATACGCTCGATATTTTATCTAACATGGTTCGACCACAAGTTCATCTAAGCATCCTCGTTTATGCAAATTCCCATCCTTTTTGGCATGAACTTTCTCTTCGCCCAATAATGCAATTATGTTTTCAGTTTTGATAAAACATTATTGTCTCACAACACCTCTCTTTTTAGTCTTCTTGTTCTTATATGGTATGTTACATCATCATCGACCCTACGTCTTTCTTGATCATGAAATCAAATTACTTAAAGAAAAAAGCCCAAAAACCATAAGCAAATGAAACCAAACTGACAAATCAGAAAACATAAGACGTAGAATCTTAAAAAGCAAATTCAATTAGTTTTATGTGTGATCTTTTATAATTAATAAACATTCATCCAACAACATCATTAGAAAAAATCAAATAAAAGATTTGATTAAAAAAAACAAGAATGTGGAGATATTTTCTATTCTCCCATGGTGATAAAAAATCCGAACCCAAGTCCACGGTCTTCCCTATTAAAAACATAAAGCACTATAAGAACGTTTGTTGCAACAAAATCAACTTCACATCAAGTTCCTTTCACCGCCGACTTGGGTTGCCGGTCACCCGTAGCCACGCAATACCCATTTGCTCTAAATTTCCAATCTTTGTCTTGCCCAGAAAGAAAAAGACCACCCCCTTCTCTCTCTATATATACACACACACCCGTCCAGATATATTATACATACAATTATATATAGACCCAGAGTTTGAAATGCATCTGTATAACGCCTGGCTTCCACCTCCGGTGGCCGACGCCACCAAGAAAGAGAAAGAATCGTTCGCCGGTGTTTTATCTTCTGTGAAAGAATCGTATCTTGTGGATGATCCAGAATCTGTCTACTCCACTCTCAAATGGATATCAGTCATTAACCTGTGAGCTCCAATTTTTTGTTTATAGTATTAATTCGCTGTATTTTATGTGCATACGTATGCCAGTAACTACGATCGCTTGTTTTTATGTCTGTTTACACTTAATTTTACTGTTAATTTTTTAATTTCTCACTCGTTTTTTGATAATTGATGCCTTGAGTATTCTTTTGTTGAAATTGATGGATAAATCTTGAATTTTTTTGAGTTCTAGTGAAATCTTGATGTGTTCTTGAGGTTTTACTCGGACAGGTCAACTATCTACTTTGAACAGTTCAATTATTAATCTTTTCTTGAAGGTCTAGTTCTCTTTATTGTAATTTAGGCAGACAAACATATGTGAGAAGTAATGCGTATTAAATCTCATCCAACAAGTTCAAAATTCACTTTCTTTCAGAACTAGGTATCATCTTTTGTTTGTTGTAGCATGTTAGGATGTGTCATTTTTGGGATTCAATTAGTTCATATTAATTTTTAAAGATATTTAATATGTGGGTATTTGTTAACTGTTTCCCTGAGGATGTTAGGATGTGTAGCTAGAGATTAACATCCCCAAACATACCATCATGGATATCTTGAGGCATCACTTTGCTTGTGATGTTGTAGTTTGCATGTGATCAAAATCTTGAATGTGTGGTGGGTTCTTTTTCTTCTTTTTAACTTTTCCCCAAGGGAATCATCCCTTTTAGTTGGCAAGATATTCATATTCCTTATCTAATATTGATTAAGCAGGTACCTAATGGTGAGAACTGAAGGATCATTGGCAAGATTCCTTATTTGTTTGCTGAAATAAATTAATCATGTACAGGCATTTTATAAATGAACGATCGGTTTTACTTTGACAGATCATTAAGAGCAGAAGCTTCATTTCATTTTCTTATTTTGTTTTTATGTTGTTTTATACTGATTGAATTTCCCTAGAAACTACTTATAGTATTATTTTTGGAGGCATTAGGCATGACCTCATATAAGAGTTCTTGGAGGAGGCAGTGGATTAAAGCAGTTTATTGCTTGGGGGAGTTTCAAGAGTCTTTAGATAGATTTGCGGTATCTTTTTGATAGAAATAGGGAGTTTCTTTTGGTAGGGGGAGTGTTGTGTGTGTTTTTTAGTTTGGGAAGCACTTTGCGTTTTTTTATATTTCTGTCTTTAGAAAATTTTGCTTTCTAAATTCTTTACTATACATTTTTCGCAAGTTGGGGGTTTTCTCGGAAACAACCTCTCTGTCTCTTGAGACAAAGGTAAGGTATGCCTACATCTTACCGCTCTTAAACTGTAATTCTCGTCCCACATGGATAGAAAATGGGACTTGTGATACCTTTATGGGCTACCAATAACTTCCACATTTGTTTTAAGTTGGATATGAAGTTATTGGGCCAGCCTGTTGCTTTGGGTTTTGAGGTGTTAAATAAACCCTACCTCAGGCCTCAGGGTCTGATATATTGGGTTTTTTTGGTCTTCTTTTGTAACCTAGTTATCAGAATGATTTTATTATTGAGTAAAGATATTCTTGTTTGTTCATTATTGATTCAATATCCTAGCAACTTGGATATGTAATTGGAGACACAGTGTAACTTATTTTGAGATATTTGCATGTGATAAAAATTTGGATGATTGTTAACTTGTTTGGTTGGATGGAATCAGCTTTTCAAACAGCAAGATGTTCATTATTATCAATCATGCAGGTTCATAAAGGCGAAGAGTGAAGTGTCATTGGAAGATGTGGCTTCTCTTGTGGAATTTGGGCTGCAAGTTTTTCATGCATCACAAGACAAGCTTTATGCTCAGGTGTTCTTTTGTGTCTCAAAATTTCTCCTCTTCCATGTGTATGTATTCTGTTCACTGTCTACCACGATACTGAAATTGGAATCACTTGTATTTGGTCAGGTGAGATGGGGAAATGTTCTCGTGAGCTTGCTGAATAAATTTCGCAAGAAGTTGACTTTGAAAGTTGACTGGCGCCCTTTCTATGATAATTTGATCCAAACACACTTTACAAGGTACTACTATTCATGATTTACTCGCTATACTATGCTTGTTTTCAGCTTGCTTTATTATTATATACTTTATTATATGGATCAAATTATAAGAAATCAGTTAGTAGTTGATCTGGATAAATTACATTGATGTTGATGCCCATTTTGATGGTAATCATGAGTTTTTATTGCATATCTGCTACAGGAATACAGGACCAGAGGGATGGAGGGTAAGGCAAAGACATTTCGAGACTGTCACTTCCCTTGTTCGTTCCTGCCGCAGGTTCTTTCCACCAGGTTCTGCCCATGAGATATGGTCCGAGTTTAGGTAAATTTCTAACTTCCATTTTCAGGTTGGTTGGCAACAATGATGATAATTTATAGAATAAGTAAGAGATGTCATCTGATTTCTCTTGGCTATTGTGAGATTATAAAAATAAAAAAATCCAAATAATTTCCCTTGAATGTTAGTACTGGATAAATGCTAATTAAAGGTACCTTTCGTGAAATATGGACCAAACTAGTAGTTATGATTTGCTCTAGATTCTACCACATAAAGAGCCTGAGGAGTAAATTATCGAGTAGTTGAGGTAAATAACTTGCTGAAAGAACCTGTCAAAGTCATTTTGCTTGCCCAAAAGCCAAACAATAAAATTTATGCCAACTGGAATAGCTTTTAAATGAACATTTAGGAAACGGCACTAGAAAGTGAGGGGCTTATTCTTTGGAAAAATATACTTTTGTTCAAAAGCCAAAGAAGCAAATTTATGCCAACTGGAGATCGCTTTTGAAGCACACTGTAAAGCGTGGGGGATACATTGAGAGAGACATACTTTTAATCTTATTAAAAGAACCTAATTGGTTGTTAGCCACTTAGCCTCAATCTTGTGTTGGTCTTGGATGTTATTTGTAGAAGAGAAGTTATGCTTTTAGTGCTCTAACATCACCTTCTAAGGAATACCTTGTGCCATGAACGCCATGAGTGACTAAAACACTGCTAATGTTTGCCAAAGTTTTTTTGAGCTCACCTAGTTATCTCCAACTCATCATTACACACCCACTAAAATACAAATAGGGATCAGAAATATAATGTGGTCATAATCCTGATTTTGGTCCACAAGATTTACTTGAATATGGGAACCAAAAGTTAATTTCAAGCACACTAATTCGACATGGTAGATGGTATTTTATCCATGACTAATGTGAAGATACTCTTATTGTACGCACTTAGTGTCTATTGTTGCAATTTTATGTGACCAATAGAGTTGTACACTAGACTCTTGGTCGTCACCAACTCATTGAATTTGAATGAAATCAATTTTCAGATCTCTACTTGAAAATCCATGGCATAACTCAGTTTTTGAAGGCTCTGGATTTGTGAGACTCTTCCTTCCTACAAACCTGAATAACGAAGACTTCTATTCACGGTAATTTATAGATGCTTGTTCTGTTATTCTCTTGATGCCGTTAATTAGTGAAACAAATTAATCACCTTCCCTGTCTTGACAGTGAATGGATCAACACATGTATTCTTCAGTGGGATTCTATACCAAATTGCCAGTTCTGGAACAGCCAATGGGCAGCTATTATGGCCCGTGTAATTAAGAACTACAAATCTAAGGACTGGGAGGACCTTTTACCTGAAATATTCAGTCGATTCTTGAACATGTTTGAGGTACTGTCTTGTAGAAATTATCACTTCGCTCTTTTAATAATTACTAGTTACAATCTAAGAAACTTGTACTTTCAGCAGATATCGTCCAATATATAGTGTTGGCTCTAAGGACCTGTCTGTTAGCAGCTTAATGAGCTTAATGAGACTCATAGCTTATTCGGTGAGCTATATATAACTGTTTGGTAGTGGCTTAATGATATAGAAAGTGGCTTATTCAGTAAGCGTCTAAGGGGATCTTATGCACAAAGCCAAGTTTTTTTCAAACCTGCCCCTCAGTTAAAAAAACGCTCCTTTCATCCGTGAAAAAAACCCTCCAAACAAAAATCTATAGACAGATTAATCCACACAAACATCTTTATCCATATAGGGCTTAATGGGAAACCAACCAAACAGTCCCTAAATAAAATATAGCAATGTTTCAACAACAGTTGAATGGACAAGATATTCATTCCCGCAAGTGATATATTATAGCTTTAGGAACAAAAATCAATGATGTCAGATTAAAGTTTGTTACTTTGTTGTGCCTATTTGCTTCTTGAAAAAGTATATAATATTACTCACTTCTACAGGTGCCCGTGGCTAGTGGGGGTGGATCATACCCTTTCTCTATCGATGTCCCAAGAAATACAAGATTCCTGTTTTCCAATAGATCACACACTCCATCCAAGGCCATTGCAAAATCAATTGTAAGATCAATATGCTAATTCATAGAACTGCAATTTTTTCATTCATATTTGGTCCCTAACAGTTCTATATCTCTATCCTGTGTTTTTGATGCTGCAGGTTTATCTATTAAAGCCCGGTAGCTTGGCCCAACAACACTTTGAGAAATTGGTCAACCTCTTAGAACAGTTTGTTTTCTAGATTTTGTTACTTGCATCTTCAACGACATATGTGGTTATGATGTATATTCACATGTTTGGATACTTCTCGCAGATATTACCATCCTTCTAATGGCGGTCGTTGGACATACTCGCTAGAGAGGTTTTTGTTTCACTTGGTATATACATTCCAAAAGCGATTACAACAAGAGAAAGAGTAAGAACCATTTTGCCATAGTTTTTATCCAATTTTATCATCCTTTTCTTTGCTCGCTTAAATATATATGATTTCTTGTAAGTGTGGAATTGTTGGTACAGGAAACCAGATAAACAGATTGAACTTTGCCTAGGACAATCAGAAAGGGAATCTTTTGTCAGTACTGTTCTGAAGTTAATTGATCGTGGTCAATACAGCAAAAATGAAAACCTTTCTGAAACAGTTGCTGCTGCAACGTCCATTTTGTCTTATGTGGAGCCTTCATTGGTTCTACCCTTTTTGGTTTCTCGATTCCATATGGCATTAGAAACGGTTAGTGACATAACAGGTTTTCATCTGAGATTGCTTTATCTAGATGAGCGATTGATTTCACTAACTCCTCTTGCATTTCTTTCTGGTTAGATGACAGCAACCCATCAGTTGAAAACAGCCGTGACATCAGTGGCGTTTTCTGGACGATCACTATTTTTTATGTCCCTATCTGCTTCACCAATGGAAACAGATGACATTAATGATGCTGATATGTTCCGTGATCTTCTGATGATATCGCTGACCAATGCCTTGCTTGGGATGGATGCGAATGATCCACCCAAGACCCTAGCAACTATGCAACTGATTGGCTCCATATTTTCCAATGTAACAAAAAATAATATGAATGATCAAATTGTACCACTTTTGAAGAAATGTTCTATCTAACTGATTTGCCAATTCCAGATGGCGACATTGGATGATGATACAGATAGTTTGTCATTCATGCCTGCAGAACGCTTTTCAGAATGGCTTGATGAGTTCTTATGCCGCCTATTTTCTTTGTTACAACACTTGGAACCTAGTAGTGTTTTGTAAGTATCATCAAGATGCAATACCCTCCTGTTTTTTTTCATGTTTACTCCCTCTAAAATTTGGAATTTAGCTAGTTTGGTCACAGAAGGATTGTAAGATCCCGCATTGGTTGGTGAGGGGAACGAAAGTTGCCTTATAAGGGACTGGATACCTCCTCTATGAGACGTGTTTTAAAATCGTGTCCAGGTGTGTGGACAAAGCGGAAAATATCTTGTACGGTTGGTCTGGGATGTTACAAGTGGTATCAGAGCCAGGAACCAGACTAGTGTGATAGCGAGGACGTTGGGCTCTCAAGGGGGGTGGATTTTGAGATGCCACATTGGTTAGGGAGGGGAATGGAAGTTGCCTTATAAGGGACTGGATAGCTCCTCTAGCATACACATTTTAAAACCGTGAGTACAGTGTGTGGACATCTGGTGCGGTTGGCCTGGGATGTTACAAGGGTATTTTGTATAGGAAACAAAAATTGCATCTTTTCTTATTTCTGTTAGCCTCCATATGTCCAATTAACACTTGGAAAATAAAATAATGGTGTCCTGCAGAAATGAAGATGTTCATTCACCTGCTACATCTGGAACGTTCCTAGTTGAGGATGGACCTCAGTATTTCTGCATGTTGGAAATATTATTTGGAAGACTTTCAAGATCCCTGTACAACCAGGTTCAATCTTTTGTCTCATATTGAACGGAACTGTTCCATTATGTTCAAGGTCGTAAGCTTTTCTATTTATACTGAACAGGCTATTAAAAAAGTTTCCAAGTTTCTGAAGACCAATATTCTACCTGGAGCTATCGCTGAAGTTGGGCTTCTTTGTTGTGCTTGCATTCATTCAAATCCAGAATTGGCTGTTAATCACCTTGTTGAACCTCTTCTATCTTCGGTTATATCATCTTTGAAAGGAATCCCTCTGACGGGTTTTGGTGGAAGTGGAAATTTCACGACCCCATCTTTGAATAAGGTTTTTTCTCTTGTAACTCTTCTAAATCATTTATTTTATGTTTGACTTGCTTCTTGTGTTACTATCTTTAGTATAATTGTAGGCAAGAGCGACACTTTCTCCAGCCCTTGAAACATCAATTGATTACCAGTTGAAGGTCTTGTCAATTGCAATCAGTTATGGAGGTCCTTCACTTCTTCATTACAAGGATCAATTTAAGGAGGCTATACATTCTGCCTTTGAATCCCCATCTTGGAAGGTTTTTTAAATCTCTTTCCATTATCTTGATGGTTCAGTTAACTTAGTGGCATTGCAATTCGATTACAAATGTTATGCATGAATAGTTTATATAACTTTAGACAACAATTGAACCTTGCAAATGCAACAAAAGCCGACCATGTCCATTTTTCCCATATTTCTTTAGATGCCCACATACATTAACTTCAAGTCCTAAATCAACGTTCAGTCGAGGTCAAACTAGGCATAAAAGTCCAACATCGCAATGATGTTCTCAATGCGGAAGATAATACAGATATCCATTCAGTCAAACTTGATAAATGATAGAGCAATAAACTTGAAGCAATATAATGAAGCATAACAGATAGGAGACTGACAGTACCAAGATTTACGTGGAAACCTAATGCAGGAGAAAACCACTGGTGGGTAATCTCACTGAGAGAAGCCCACTAGTAAATGATGAAGTTAGAATGCAAATCCAAGGAGAAACAATGTTGAAATAGTGTTGGAGTTATAGGAGCGTCAATGGGGTTTTGAGATTATTTTTGTATGAAATGTTGAAGAGGGTAAGTAACAAAGAAACCTAGAAAAGGCAGATAAAATATATAAAAGAATAATAAGGAAAAAGAGATAACTTGTCCAAGCAGGATCGTAAGTATCCTTCTTGTTGGCATGGTTCTTGCCTTTTTATTGGCTGTTTTTGCAGTCTTGATTTAGTTTCTTGTAGTTTTTGGATACAATTTTTTGGGCCTAATGTCGCACACACTAACTCGTTGCTACTTTCATAATTTGACAGGTTAACATAGCTGGTGATCAAGTCCTTCGATCCCTCCTTGGAAGTCTGGTTCTCTATTATCCTGTTGATCAGTACAAGTATGTTCCTTGTGGTGGTTGCATAACAATATAATAATAACATTAGCAACAATGACGATAATAACGTTAATAATGATAATTATGATAATCTTGTAACTTGTGTAAACTCTTCTTGTAAATCAGTCTCTATTACAATGTGAATGTGTCGATATTAAGGGGATTGTGCTATTTGGCTTCACAGGTCTGTTTCACGCCATTCTTCTTTGACCCCACTGGAGGAATGGATAAGTATTAAAGATTTTTCAAATGATGAAGCATTTACGGGCCCAAAGTGGCATATCCCTAGTGATGAAGAAATACAATTTGCCAATGATCTCTTGAACCTGCATCTCAATTCAGCTTTAGATGAGCTTCTGAAAATATGTCAAGATAACATTCACTCTGATCCAGGTATACCTGAAACTCCTATCCGTAAGAATTTCTTGTTTTTATGTGTGTGTGTGTGTATATATATAGAGGGAAATTCAGGGGAAACTTCCAAAAATATGAAAAACTGATGAACACCTTCATCTGGACGGTATGCACATGTGCATACAAGTAATTGAAGTTGTTTGTTGGTTTTTATGAACGTGTGCACGTTATGCACATGTGCATACCAAACAAATTGCTTACAGATTACTTGTATGCACATGTGCATACCGTCCAAATGATCAGTTTACCAGGGTGTTCCTCAGTTTTTCATTTTTTTGGAGGGTTTCCTCTGAACCTAACCCTATATATATATAGTCAAGAGTAAGTTCAGACATCTTGTAGCTATTAGTTAAGGTTGCAACTTTATGAATTCCCATTGGTTCTGTTGCACAGGAAACGAGAAAGACCACTTGAAAGTGACTCTTTTGCGCATAGACTCTTCATTGCAAGGTGTTTTGTCATGTTTGCCTGATTTCATACCATCCTTTAGGAACGGTAAGGTTGATCCGCCTTTCTTAATCGCGGGAGCAACGGGGGCAAGTGTTGGTAGTACTAGATTGCGGGAAAAAGCTGCTAATATCATCCATATAGCCTCCAAGTAAATCTGTTCTCCGGTTATCGTGTTTCCCTTCTTTCAATTATTTCTTCTCTTAAATTCATTTCTCTACATGACTTGCCTAAGAGCTTAAACCTTTGGCTACTTGCAGATACTTGCTTGAGAAAAAATCAGATGACAGCATTCTATTGCTACTCCTTATTCGTATTATCGAGGCTTTGGGGAACTATGGTAATGTACACTGCAACTTTATGGGCGTCGGTATCTATTTTCGAGTACTTATTTAGACTTGTTTCTTGACTAACTTGCTGTACAGGAAGTTCTGAATATGAAGAGTGGAGTAACCATAGGCAGGCATGGAAATTGGAATCTGTTGCCATAATCGAACCTCCTGTTAACTTCATTGTGCCATCTCATTCTAAAGGGAAGAAAAGGTAAGTTTTTTATACATAACCCCTTTATATCCTTCAGAATGACGAATTTTTTGTTTTCCTAATTTTGATTTGTTCCTTAATTCCAGGCCAAGGTGGGCACTCATCGATAAAGCATACATGCACAATACATGGAGAACATCACAAGCATCGTATCATTTATTTCGTACAAGTAAAAATGCATCTCCATCAGACCATGTGAATGTTTTGATGGATGATCTTCTAAATCTATCTGTGCATAACTATGATACTGTTCGCACGTGAGTTCTCTTCTACATATTTGCTCTCTTATCTACTTCTGATACCCTTTTGATATTCTCCCCGCTTTGTTATTCTCTCCCTCGAAAGGAAAAAGTTTCTCGTTTCTCTTAATTTATGTTGTATTTATCTCCAGGCTTGCTGGGAGATCTCTTGTCAAAATGATCAAACGATGGCCATCTCTCATTGCAAAATGTGTACTTACTTTTACCGAGAATTTGCGAAATCCTGGCTCACCGGAATATGCAGTCTTAGGTTCTTGTGCTGTCCTCGGAACTCAAACTGTTCTCAAGCATCTCACATTGGTATTTTATCATTTACAAATTTGCAAGGACTTCAATTTTTATATTCCAATTTTCTTTCGTACATGATTTCTTCCCGTTGTCTCTGAATACAGGAACCAAAATCTTTCTCATCTTTCCTTCTTGGAATTCTTTTGAGGTGAGTATATATATACATATATATTATGATACAAGTTATAGTTGTTGAATCTAGTGGTGGTGCGAGATTGTCTTACTCTTTTTCATATATATATATATATATATATATGTGTGTGTGTGTGTGTGTGTGTATTATAATACAAGCTATAGTTGTTGAATCTAGTGGTGGTGCGAGATTGTCTTACACTTTTTCGTTTTCGCTTGCAGTTCTCATCATGAATCCTTGAAAACCCAGAAAGCTATCAATTCGGTAAATGTTCTAAGATGATTCAATAGCCTATTTTCCTGTATTATACCTGCTAACTCTATGACAACCATTTGTCAATATTAACAGCTTTTTGTCAAATACAACATCTATTTTGCGGGAATCTCTAGAAACATTTTCCAGAAATCGGCGGACCATTCTGGGACAGACTTTGCATCTTTGGTTTCTGAGATAGGTTCTATGAGTTTTGAGTCGACTAACTTGCATTGGAGGTAAACATTCTGTCCCCTTAAAATCTGATGATTCATCGTCTCCATATATGGTCATCCAAACTTTCTATTGATGGTTATATGAAACATCTACTAAATTTGTTCAACTGTTTTGTATAGGTATAACTTGATGGCCAACAGGGTTCTACTGTTGTTGGCTATGTCATCTAGAAACGAACCCAACTTGTCGTCAAAGATTCTCAGTGAAGCTGCTGGTTAGTTTTTTGGTTCATGCTGTTAATAAATTTGCAAATTAATTTGGCCTAATTTCAGCACCTCAAGTCCTCTTCAGTATGACATGGAATATGTATATATAGAGGGAGGTTCACGTGAAAACCCCCAAAAAAATGAAAAACTAGGAATACTCTAGTAACCGTTCATCTGGACGGACGGTATGCACATGTGCATACAAGTAATTGAAGATGTTTCCTTGTTTCTATGCAAGTGTGCATGTTATACACATGCACATACTGGAACAATTACTTACAAGTTACTTGTTTGCACATGTGCATGCCGTACAAATGAATGGTTACCAACTAGGGTGTTCCTCACGTTTTCATCTTTTTACGGTTTTCCACTGAACCTGCATATATATATATATATATAGGATTGATTTCCGGTGAGAAAGAGTGTTAAGGTAAGAAGCGTAAGAAGGATCTCCACCCTTGGATGCACATTAGGATGAGATGCATCGAGATGCACCAGATCAATCCTTGTATCAAGCACGATTCATGGGTGGGTTTGAGATTGAAGGTGATCAAGGGTCGAGATCCCTTCTTACGCTTCTCACCTTAACTCTCCTTCTTACACGATGCTTCTTCTATATATGTATGTATGTATGTATGTATGTATAGAGGGAGGTTCTGAGGGAAACCCTCAAAAAACGAAAAACTAAGGAACACCCTGGTAACGTTCATCTGGACGGTATGCACATGTGCATACAAGTTATTGAAGCTATTTTTTGGTTTTTATGCACGTGTGCCTACAGGACAAATTGCTTTAAAATTACTTGTATGTACATGTGCATACCGTCCAGATGAACGGTTACCAGTTTCTCAATTTTTCATTTTCTTTGTGGTTTTCCCATCCTATATGTATATACTATTATATTCTCGTTTGGTTTGGTTATTATTTTATATAAACTTTTGTGTATGGCTTTCAGGTCATTTCCTAAAGAATTTGAAAAGTCAACTTCCACAGACGAGAATACTGGCCATCTCTGCTCTAAATATGTTACTGAAAGAATCACCTTATAAGCTGTCAGCTGAGCAACAAGTTGTAGCTGCACGGGATTTACAAGAAAATACCAAATCCTCTCTTGAAGGGACGTTGAGTAATATATTTCAGGAGGAAGGATTCTTTAGCGAGACTTTTGACAGCCTTTCTAATGTCCATATTATTGGTGATACTGAAAACTCATCTTCCAGAGGCCATGAAAATTCTTCGTTTCAAAGTTTGGCAGATAAATCAATCACTCGTTTCTATTTCGATTTTTCATCTTCATGGCCTCGTACACCCACTTGGATTTCCTTTTTCGGAAGCGATACTTTTTATTCAAGTTTTGCTCGTATATTCAAGCGTTTAGTTCAAGAATGTGGCGCCCCTGTTTTACTATCGCTAAAGAGTGCATTGGAGGAGTTTGTAAACGCTAAGGAGAGGTCTAAACAGTGTGTTGCTGCCGAGGCTTTTGCGGGTTTGCTGCATGCTGATGTTATTGGCCTCGTAGAAGCTTGGGATAGCTGGATGATGGTCCAATTGCAGAATATCCTTCTTGCACCATCAGTCGAATCTATTCCAGAATGGGCTGCTTGTATACGTTATGCAGTTACTGGGAAGGGAAAATATGGGATGAAAGTACCTCTTTTAAGGCAGAGGATTTTGGATTGTCTGATTGAACCGTTACCTCAAACAGTAACTACAACTGTGGTTGCCAAGCGGTATTCTTTTCTTTCTGCTGCTTTGATAGAGGTCTCTCCACCGAGGATGCCTTTGTCAGAAATTCAGCTCCACCATAAACTACTGCAGGAGTTGCTAGATAAAATGAGCCATCCCACTGCCCACGTAAGTATGTTTGTTGATATTTTCACTACGACAAAATCGGCTTATAGGACGTGAATATGTCTAAGGGCTTGTTTGTTAGCACTTAATTAGCTTAACAGAACTCACAGCTTATTCGGTCAGGTATAAATAGACTGTTTGGTAGTGGCTTAATGATATATATAAAGTGGCTTTTTCAGGGAGAGCTTTATGCAGAACACCATGTATATTGCAAACCTGCCCCTACCAATTAAAAAACATGCTCCTTCCATCTATGGAAAAACCCTCCCAATCAATACAGACAGATTAATTCACACAGTCAGCTTTATCTATACAGGACTTAATGGAAAACCAACCAAACAGCCCCTAACTGACCTAATAGACTGCTTAAGAGGACCTAAGTTTATAGGACCGAACAATTGTAAAGGTGCAATAATAAGTTGATGGAACGCTTTTTGGGTCTTAACAAGTTTTTAGGACAATCTTGAAATAAAGCGTCCTATTTGTCTTTTCATATGACATTATTTGAAAAAGTGTTCTATAAAAATCTCTGTACTTGTTGTTGATGTACATGCCAATAGGTCAGGGAAGCAATCGCTATTGCCCTTTCTGTGTTGTGCTCAAACATCCGACTACATGCATCCTTCAATACGCCTGAGGAGGGAAATAGCATGATAAATGGAAAACATGGAAAGAGTTGGGATCAGCTTTTACAAGAAAGAGCGTCTGAACTCGTGGTGGCAATTCAGAACGCTAATCCTTCTGACAATTTGGAGAACTTAGCAGAAATGAATGCACTTTCTGGATCAGATAGCAACTCACCAGATGATGTTCAATGGATGGAAACGGTACTTATTAGTGGAATTGTGTTTATTTCATTGTTATAGCTTTTCAAAAGTATTAAAATCTGCTCTCTTTTATGTGTAGTTGTTTCATTTTGTTATCTCATTAATGAAGTCTGGGAGATCGGCATTCCTGCTGGATGTTCTTGTGGGTTTCCTTCACCCTGTGATCTCCTTACAGGTGAGTATATTTAATAATTCATCAAAATAGTTGATGATTTTCCATTCTTGTACGGTTAAGATGGTTCAGATGGTATATAGGTTTCCACACTTCCTTACGAGTTGTTGTTATCTTGAAGGAAACTTCAAACAAAGATTTGTCAATACTGGCCAAGGCAGCTTTCGAGTTATTGAAATGGAGAATATTCACAAATGGTCATCTCCGAAAGGCGGTATCAATTCTTCTTTCTTCAGCTGAAGATCCTAACTGGCGGACCAGATCTGCAACTCTAACTTTTCTACGGAGCTTTATGTACAGGTATGCAGCTATTTTCTTGAATGCTTTATGCACATATATAGGATCGTATGTTAGTGTGAGATCTCTATCAGACGGGTTTTTATAACCTTGAGTCCAAGTGTGGATAAAAGCGGACAATATCTAGTACGGTTGGCCAGGGATGTTATAACTGGTATTAGAGCCAGGAACCGAACTGGTGTGCCAGCAAGGGCCCTGGCTTCCTGAGGGGTGGATTGTTAGATCCCACATCATTTGGGAGGGGAACAAAAGTTGCCTTATAAGGGACTGGATACCTCCACTATCAAACACGTTTAAAAACCTTGAGGCCAACTGTCTAAATGTGGATAAAGCTGACATTATCTGGTACGGTTGGCCGGGCATGTTACAGTTAGTTTATCTTATGACATCCTTCATAGTATTCTGTGTTGTTTATATTCCCCTGGAAACATCTTTAGTCATGACGTGCTCTCAATTCTCACAGGCACACTTTCATTCTCTCGAATGATGAGAAGCAGAAAATCTGGAAAACCGTTGAGAAGCTACTGACAGATAATCAAGTAGAGGCGAGTTTCTGGCTTCTCCTTCTTCCCAAATATGAATTATTTCTTCATTTCTTGTAGTCTAAGGGGCCGTTTATCAAACACTTACCTGGTAAGTGCTTACCGGTAAAATTTAACACTATTATGTACTTACCGGGTAAGATTTTAGTCCACCAAAACGACATAGTATACAACAATTTACCCGGTAAGCGCTTACCGTGGTAAGAGTCGCCGCCCTCACTTACTGGATAAGACTCTTGATCCTTGTCTCGCTCATACCGGGTAAGATTCTTGGTACTTGCTATATTCATCCGGTGAGGTAATGTTACTTGGTGAACACTTACCCGGGTAAGCGTTTGGTAAACGGCCCCTAACTATAACTTCTCTTACCAGACAGTTTTCTCTTTCAACTTCTGTTTTCTGTTCACATCCTTCTAAAATGAGGCTACGCTTGGTTGAACCTTATGTAGGAGGTTATAAAGTATTTAGGTTAAGGTCTTAAAACAACTAATTAAGCGTTAGGTATTGCTTAGTGATGCTTAATTTTGAAGGTTACAAGTAATTGCTACATATGAACAATATTTTGAAGCTTTCTTGCACTCCTACTGAATCCTTGACTAGAGGGGTTGACGCCATTGAAAATTGGGCTTTTGGTACAGGTAAGGGAACATGCAGCAGCAGTTTTAGCTGGCTTAATGAAGGGTGAGGATGGAGAACTATCAAAGGATTTCCGTGAGAGAGCTTACAGCGAGGCTTTGAAGCTTCAGAAAAGAAGAAAGCAGAGGTCCCCCTTCTGGTTTTTAGGAATTATAAATCTATTATTTTGAGTTCAACCAACCATGGTTATATATATAGAGAGAGAGGGGAAGGTTCAAACGAAAACGCTAACTATTTAAGAAAACAAGAAAAAGGTCGTTAATGTACAAAATCATGTGATTTTGTACATTAACTGGAAACGGGCGACTTTCGAGGCCACTTAAGTCGTGGGACAAAGTTTCCCGGATCATGTATGATTTGTTACGTGAATCATATATGATTTTGTACATTAACGACTTTTTTCTTGTTTTCTTAAATAGTTAGTGTTCTCGTTTGAATCTGCCCCCATATAGAGGAAGGTTCTATGTATGTATGCGTATATGTACATAGGGTTAGATTAAGGGGAAAACCAATAAAGATGGAAAATAAGGAACGCCCTACTATAACCATTCATTTGTCTGACATGTATATGTGCATAAAAGCAATTTGTCCGGTATGCACATGTGCAAAAAATGCACAATTTCATAGAAACCAGGAAACATTTTCAATCACTTTTATGCAGATGTGCGTACCGGATAAGTGAATGGTTATTAAATTTTTCCTTAGTTTTCCATTTCTTTTGTGGTTATCTAGCATGTTTTAATTTTTGGGTAACTAATAATTCTATCCATTTATTATTATAAACTGCAGAAGCTCAAGTAGTGGTCCTTCCATAGCCTCCGTACATGGTCGTGTTCTTGCTCTGGTTGCTTGTGTGCTCTCGGTTCCTTATGATATGCCCAGGTACCTCTTAACAGAACGAGTAGCCTAATTATTTATTTCATCTTTATACTGGTCACTGCAAAAACAGCCGCTCTACTCTCCTGGTGGTATATATTGGGCTCGTTTGGTTTGTTTTGGCTTTCCTGTTCGTTCTCTAAGATGATCCATTAATTGTCGTTATTTTTGTTTTAGTTGGTTGCCTGAGCATGCTACCTTGTTGGCCCGTTTCGTTGGAGAGCCCTCCCCAGTTAAAACCACTGTCACAAAAGCAGTTGCAGAGTTCCGCCGCACCCATGCAGATACTTGGAGCGTTCAGAAAGATTCGTTCACTGAAGAACAACTCGAGGCAAGATTATAATTTTTTTTTCTCTACTCTTAAAAACCCCATAAATATGTTTCTAATTCCTAGTTTAAATACTTGCAGGTTTTGGCAGATACATCATCTTCATCATCATATTTTGCCTGATTTATGTTTGAAGAACAAATAGAAGTACTACAAGCAAGTAAATTTGATAAGTAGTCCAATAGAAACTGTAATTTTTCTCAACAAGTAGAAGAAGAAGACATCAATTTTTCATAATGGCATGAGACATAAAATAAGCCATGCTTATTTACATTTGGTTACCACCGGATTTAGCATCAATATGTATCTGTACGCTGTAGTTGATCCTTCTTTGAGATCGTTCTAAAGTAACAATGACTATTGTTGGTCCATTGATTAGCTCATCTTTGCTTCTATGACCCCTGCAACTGATCCAATAAAAGCCATTGCTGATACCACCATCAGCAGACTGCTGAAGATTTGCAGAACCACCCATTTTCTGCTCCAAGATTCTATCTTTCTTTGAACTATATACATTTCCACTGGAAAATATATTGCCAATGGCCATAGATTCAAACCCCCTAAAAGCCCCAATATTTCATTGAAGTATGGGAACGCCATTGCAATTCCAGTTGTTGACACAACATACGATGTTCTGAAGCTTAGTCTGAATAGATTCAGCTGAAAATGGGGCAAAAATGGCAGCTTTAAGCCGTAGAATTTGTTCAGAAATCCACTTCCTGGGAACTTCCCAGTTAACCATCTTTCTGCATATGCGAATACCGGCTGACTGTAGAGCTTTTATTACCAAAAAAGGATGTAGGTTTGTGTTAGTCAGTTTTAACAGTCAAATTATTTACAGTTCTAAAATGAATATGCCCCTTACTTGGTATCCTCCGATTAGATGTAGTATGATGCAAGCATTAGCAAAATCGATGAGCCAATAAGGCTCATAAAAACCGAATCCAGTCAAGAGGTTTCCTGGTGTATCGTTCCCAAAGGCTGCATATCCGGTACATGCACACCCGAGGTAGAAGAAGGTTGTAACTAGAATTGCAATAGCCGATGCCCTTTTCATAGTCTTGTTCTCCGATGGGGGTGACTTCACAGTATCCTTAAACACAAGAAAAACAAGCATCACACGTCACAGGTCAGAGTCCTATATCAGCCAGATCTAAGACATATTTTTTACGTTCTTTTTCTTCTCAATGGATTTTTTAGAAAGAGATTCAGAGGGTTTTTACATATTCTCACATGGTATTAGAGGCAAGATCTAGCGCTCTAGGCACTGGACCCCTTGGGTCAATTTGTACCTGTCTAGCCCACTCCGGAACAAATTGTGTCCATTTAGCCTCCGTTAGAGGGGGCGTGTTAAAATCACACATTGACTAGAGTGGGAAAGTAGTTTAATAGGGTTCCACGTATTCTCAAATTCCAATTTGTCAACCTAAAATAGATTGCTGACCTGTATTTCAAGAAAAACTATGGAATATGGATAAGCAAAAGCTATATCACCAAGTGCTTGAAAAGCGAGCCATGTTTTCAGGGGTGCACTGATGGTTGGGACTCCTGTGATGCTCCCATATATTTTGCCGTTCTCTGCAGTTACAAACGTTCGTTAGAAACTGTCGAATGGAATTTGACAGCATAATTGTGAACTATTAATACATACGTACCGATTACTTTAGCCACACCAAGTCCAAAACCGATCGTGGAGTAACAGAAGGACATGATGGCAGCAATAACAGATATCCACACCATGCTATGAAAATCAGGTATTTGTGACATAAGAATCTGTATAACTCCAAACAAGAACATATAAAGATTGCCCTCATATTCACAAGAAGCTTCATGCCCTTCTTTATGGTAACAATCTGATTTCTGAATTGCACTGTTATATAAACATCAACATAAGAATCAAGAAAAACACCATTTCATGCCTACGGGTTGGATTTAGGGGAAAACCACAAAAAAGAATTGAAAACTGAGGAACACCCTGCATAACTATTCATTTGTCCGTTATGCACATGTGCATAGAAACTTAGAAACATTTTCAATTACTTTTATGCACTTGTGCATACCAGACAAGTGAATGGTTATTACGGCGTTCCTCATTTTTTCATATTTTTGTGGTTTTCCCCTTAACATGAGTCTTATGCTTAGATTCTGAAAGAACTTACTATCTGTGACTAAAATGATTTCCAAAAGAAAAGAAGCCAAAAAAGGGTGGCAATACCTCATACAAGTTGAAGTTGTAACCACATAAGCAACACCAGTCCCATAGAAGTTCAAATATTGAAGAAAACCACATAACCATGCCTGTTTTTCACCTGGAGTACTATCAATTTCTTTGACCAAATAATAGAAATACAAAAATAAGCGGAACCCCATTAGATTATTCTCCAAAAGAGTACTTGTAGAGAGAAAGGAGGTTCCAACATATATAGAGGAGAAATGATCCAAGTCTAGCTGATGTGGGACTCTTAACACTCCCTCTCCAACAGAGGCTAAAAGGGTGTAGATTCTCCCAAAGTGTCAAGTCCCCCGAGTAGTAGATTTCAGTTTTGATACCATGCAAGGATAAATGGATCCTCATTAGATTATTCTCCAAAAGAAACTTTGGGGAGAGAAGGGAGATTCCATATGTTGAGAAGAAAGGATCAAAGTCTAACAGCCCCCGGGCGTCTAGCTTCCTCTCAACACTTTGGAAGGACGTGTTAGGGGCTGTTTGGTTGGTTTCCATTAAGTCCTGTATGGATGAAACTGTCTGTGTAATCTGTCTGTATAGATTGAGTAGATTTTTGTTTGGGAGGGTTTTTCCAGAGATGGAATGAACTGTTGTTCTTTCAAATCGGGAGGGACAGGTTAGAGAACACTTGGCTTTTCTGCATAAAGCTCCCCCAAGAAGCTTATTGAATAAGACATTTTCTATATCATTAAGTCACTACCAAACAATCATTGCATAACTGAGGGAATAAGTTCCGAGTCCCATTAAGGTCATTAAGCTGCTAACAAGCAGGCCCTTGGAGTCTCACATATGCTTAGATTGGACCCTTTCTTCCCAAAATATAATGGAATCTCCGTTCTTTCCTCAAGGGCTATTTTAGAGTAATCTAACAGGGTCATACGTATTCTCGTAAGATATCTAGAAACTATAAGTAGCTAGATTTAGAAACTTTGAGGAGGTAGTACCAAGGATAACTCTAACTGCATCTATATACGAGCAGTTTCTAGTTCCGGTAACAGGATCAGGAGACCTGTAACAATCCGAAAGTAGCGATGAAGACACGTAGGTTACCAACGCAAAGCAGATCAATGCAACTGGTCCTCCTATCCAACCGAGTTGTGACACACTCCAAGCGAGCGAAAGTACACCGGATCCAATAACAGCAGTGATTATGTGAGCAATTGTAGTCCATAGGGTGCCTGACTCAAAGCAAATCTATTCAGATTGCTATCTTTTCAAGTTTGAATTCAAGAAACACAAAAGGATGTTTAGATTTACCCGTTCTTATCGTTTTCTTATGATCATCGATGGCAAAAACTTCAGTGCAGATTGCATGCTCGACTGTTACGTCTATCAAAATCAAAAGGGTCTTAAATTAATCAGAAAACACTGATCAATTCATAAGTATCTCTGAGAGAAAACAAGAAATTAAAGATGAAATTAAACGAGGGTTCTTACGAGGGGAGGCCTGCAACATCGGAGTTTCCTCCTCCTCATAATCATCTTCTGCTCCGACCATGTTCATGAGTTCTTCCGATTCTGAAACTTGTGAAGAATCTTGGAGCATTTTATTTGGGAATTTGGATTCTGCAGAAAACATCGTTTTCCAAGTTCCAGTTTCAAACCAATCTTGCAGACCATATAAAAGTGGAGTCTTGGTCAACAACTCTTTGTGGAGGAGCAATCTGGCTAATTGGTTCTAACTCAAAACAAGAATCGTTTAAGAATTTACAATTGGGTATGTATCTTTAATAATAATAAAGAAAAAACACAGGTTGTATTCAGACATCGTTGTCTGAAAGGCGCCAATTTCACTATTTCCGTGGGTCAATGTATTATTTCTTATTAAATTGCTTACGATAATTCTTTGCTTTCGTTTGATTTATGGATGCGAATCCGGAAAGATCAACGCTAAATGCCTTCTAATAGTAACATATTTTTCATGGATTTTATTGCTTTTATCATTTTAATTCAAATCAAATATGAACTATTATTATAAATAATTTAATATATATAATAAAGAAATACATAAAAGTATGTAGGTATTTCATCCATTTATCACAGATTCAATTGCATACAATGTAACCAAATTGGAATAACAAGATTTAGGTAGAGGAGGACTAGTTCATCTTTGCTTCAATAAGTCCAGCAACTGACCCAACTAAAGCCACCACTGAAACCACCATTAAAACCCCACTGAATATTTCAAGAATCACCCATTTTCTGCTCCAAGTTTCCATCTTTTTCTGCACTATATACATCTCCACCGGAAAATATATCGCCAACGGCCACAGATTCAATGCTCCTAAAACACCCAATATCTCATTGAAGTAAGGGAACACCAACGCGATTCCGGTCGTCGATGCCACATATGCTGATCGGAAAAGTAGCCGGAACAGATTCAACCTTAAAACCGGCAACAATGGCAGCTTTAAGTCATGGAATCTGTTCAGAAATTGACTGGTCGGGAACTTTTCAGTTAACCATCTTTCAGCAAATGCAAATACTGGTTGGCTGAATAGCTTTTGAAACGGGTTTGTGTTAGTTATTCTCTTAACATTCATGTGTGCCAGCAAAAGAAACAGTTTGACTTTTGAGATCAACTAGAATTGTTCAAGATTCCATTATTTACTTGTATATATGTCTTATGCTTGAGAAAACTTTGTTAATTGATGGAATTTTAATCCAGTATTAGATGTAAAAAACAATCTTGGTATGGAAAAAGTTGATAAAAATCTACTAAAATTCAATTTCAAAAGTCATGTTTTTTATCTTAAAAAGTCAAACTGTTCTTGCAAAACCAAACAGTTTGACTTTTGGAGGTCAAACTAAAAACTAAAGATTCCATTATTTTTGAGGAATCTCTAATATTTCAGAAACACCTTAATTATTGGATCAACCTTAAGAACATTTAACATGTGTGATAGAATCTTGGTTCAAAAAATCTTGATAAAACTCATCAATTTCAACTTGAAAAGTCATAACTTTGACCTTAAAAGTCAAAATGGAATGAAATGGCTTGTTTTTGTTAAGTACTGAAGGTTTACTTGATATCCTCCTATCAGATGTATTATAATGCACACATTAGCAAAGTCGACAAGCCAGTAAGGCTCGTAGAACCCGAATCCCGTCAATAGATTCCCTGGCGTATCGTTCCCAAACGCTGCATATCCGAAACATGCGCATCCAAGGTAGAAAAAAGTCGTCACAACAATTGCAATCACTGAAGCCCTTTTCGTCACCTTGTTCTCCGCAGGAGGTGACTTCACGGTATCCTATTACGAACGAACAAAAGAATTTATCAAACACTCTTACATATGTATATGTAACGGAAAATTCATTTAGAAACCATGAGAACCAACTATTCATGAATAATTCATCATTAATATACTTGTATGATTGTATGATTGAATATACCTTGTATATTCATCATGAATGAATGATTTCATCATCAATATGCCTGTATATTCATCATGAATGAATGATTGAGCATACTTATGAATATACCTATGTATTCATCATGAGTATACCTATGTATTCACCATGAATATATCCTATATATATTCACCATGAATAGTTGGTTGTCACGGTTATCAAATGAACCTATCCCTATGTATGTATAGCAAACATGTAATCCTGCACATACAAACTTCTAACCTGAATTTCTAGAAGAATAAGGGCATACGGATACGCGAAAGCTATGTCTCCGAGTGCTTGAAAAGATAGCCATAACTTCTGAGGTAAACTAGCAGCTGGGACTCCTCTAATGCTCCCAGCTATCTTCCCATTTTCTGCAGTTTTCAAGTGATCCGATCACACCGTTGGCCTGAAAAACCAAACGGAAATCCAAATACAAAGGCATCCGTACCAACAGCTTTTGCCAAACCAAGCCCGAAACCAATGGTAGCGTAACAAAATGACATAATAGCCGCAACAACCGACACCAACACCATGCTATGGAAATCCGGTATCTGTGACATAACAATCTGCACAACCCCGAACAGCAACATGTAAATTTTGCCATCGTATTCGCAACTAGCAGCGTGTCCTTCTTTATGGTAACAATTGGATTTCCGAATCGCCCTGACAGAAATCGAGACCACAAACATAGCGTTAACAGATGACCCAGATTCAAATGTAACCGTCTGTAAGATTACCTCATACAAGTTGCGGTTGTCACCACGTAAGCAATCCCGGTTCCATAAAAACTCACATACTGAAGTAAACCACATATCCATGCCTGTTTTTCACCTGAAACCGAATCCCGCCATGATCACTAATCCAAAATGCCGAAATGTAAAGTTAAACAGCAAAAACCAGAAGTTCCAAAAGTTGGTACCGAGGATAACTCTAACGGCATCCGTATACGAACGGTTTCTAGTTCCAGTAACAGGATCAGGAGACCTGTAGCAATCCGATAAAAGAGACGAAGATAGATACGTAACAAAAGCAAAACAGAATAACGCAACCGGCCCTGCGATCCAACCAAGCTGCGCCGTGCTCCACGCAAGCGACAGTACACCTGAACCAATCACAGCGGTTATAATATGCGCGATCGTGCTCCATAGCGTACCTGGTTTCAAGAATCAACAAAATCTTTCACACCCATTATAGTAATCGATATAATTCACAGAAAAAATCGGTTTTTACCGGTTCTTATCGTCTTATCGTCATCTTTATCAGTCGTGGGATCTCCATGGATGAGTTCATGATCATCTTCGACCGCCATCGCTCTCCACCTCGATCCAAGATCGACCCTTAAGACTTCATGTGTTTCGACTAAGCTGAAGTAGTTAATTAATTAATAGGGTTTTTATTTTCGTTAGAATTAAGATTCGTCGAGATGTTTGCTACCATCGTTTAGCAAATGTGCGAAGATTCTTGGTTTCCTTTCGTTCTCATTTGGGTCCATCTTTCTTGAAAACATGTTGGAAACTTTTTGCAAAAACTAATAATTGTCTTGTGATTTTTGGATGTATTTGAGGTGGGCAAAAGAAAATAAGTGATAAAGATGGTATTTGGGTTCTGAACCAAAGCTTTTTAAATTGCAATAATAGGATACGCCGGCCAAAAATATACCCTATTCCCTTTGACCATGGGGATTTTGGATCTCTTGTATTTTTTCTTTTTTAGTAAATGTGAGTTTTCGTGATAGTTTACAAGCATTAAGGGTCTGTTTATCAGTAGTTTAATCAGTTTAATGGGATTTATAACTTATTTAATTAATTATATATAATTGTTTGATACTGACGTAATGATATAGAAAGTGATTTATTCAGCAAATTATATATGACTAATCGAACTTGTCCCTCGTAATAAAAAAAAACACATTCCTTTCATCTGATGAAAAAATCATCTCAAACAAAAACTTTTTCAATCCATATTAGATAGATTAATTCATACAAACAACGTTACCTATACATAACTTGACTCAAATAGCCCTTAAATCACGACCAGAGATGGTCTAGAATCATTGCACATCATATTCTACAACTACAAAAACTTTGACAATGTTTGGATTTAACTTCAGAAAAGATTACATTTCTTCAACCTTAATCAGTATGTCACAATCTATGAAAATTACATAAGTAACAGAAAAAGAAAAAGAAACATTTTGGTAACATTTGTGTCTTGTTCAGATCAAATAAAACATAAACGCAACAAATGTTCCTAATTTTCGGTAAAACACCTAACCTCCACCTCCCATTCATTTTGCATGCTACAATTATTATAAGTCTATTAGTAGTAAAAATTTACTATTAATATTCGATCAAAAACTAGGAATACTTGAATATTAAACTTTTTATATATTAATATTAAACATTGTACCTTTAAGTTTGAATATTTGATATTTTATTTAAATATTTGAATCTTTATATGTCCGGTTTTACAAACAAAAAGTTTCGTACAATTAAAAACTTTTAGACATGTATTACATTAAAACAATCTTAAAATCTTATAGGTTCAAAAACAGAAAATCTTTGAATTAAATGTATGAAATACGTTGGAAAAAGGAAAACCTTGAATTAAATGTTTGAAAGAGGCCGCGCGAACGCAGACCTCCACTGGCACAAATTATGACGTAGGTTCGACCTCTTGGGCCGACCTTAGACAGGAGCCCCTCCAAAGTGCAATGGAGGTCGCCAACCTAGGCCATGGGCCATCTTGACCACCCATTGACCCCGTCCAGGTAAGTACCTTTTCATTCCCCACCTCCTCCTTTTAAACCCACCTCTCCACCTTTCAATTCTTCACTCACTACCGATGTGGGATCAACAATTCTTTTATTATTACAGACCACACCAAACTACACTTGTAACTTATTCGTTCATAAACTAAACCCTTCGTTATTTGAACTACTAATTAAGCTGTGTCTGCCGTTCTAATCTCCGCCGAGTTCTCCGCCGTCTGTTTCAGGTGATTAGCCCAATCTTTTCCGGTATCTTTCACATTTTCAGAAGCTTTGTTGGCCGTTTTATTCTCCGGTGAGTTCTCCACCGGTTGTTTCAGGTGGTTAACCCAATCTTTTCCGGTATCCATCACGTTCTCTCCTGACTCAACCACCTTCTCTTTCAGTTTCTCGCCGGACTCCACCAACTTCTGTGTCAAGTTCAGACCTTTTAATCCGTCGTCTTTAACTGACCGGAGAACCCAACTCAACGCCGACAGACCTGCGATTGCCATCAGTCCTGCGGCCCCGAACCCCACCAAGGCTGCTAAGAAGACAAAGCTGGCAGCCATGAGAAGAGGACTGAAGATGATGAGAAGTGGAGAAGTGACTACAAAGAGAGCCATTGTTGTTAAGAAACTGAAAGCCATTAAGGCCAGAAGAGGTCCTCCGACTGTAATTCCGGCGACGGTTGCGAGTAAGATGGTTTTGGTGCTGACTTGCCGGTGCCGGTGCCGGAGTGCCATGTGTGTTTGATGCTGGTTCTCCATGTTTGATGATATGTATGGTGTTTTTAGTTTTGAATTCGATTGGAAAAATGGTGGTATATAAAGTTGGGGGTATGGGTGGTGATAAGAATGAAATTTATGAAGGAAAGAATGTGTAATTGGTTAAGTTGAATGGTGAGGTGGCACGTGGCAGGATTTATGGGAGGTGTATAGATTGAATGATGACAAGTGGTTATAATTGGAGTGGTGTATTTAGGTCATAGTACATGCATGCTTACGGATAAAGTAAAATAACAGGCGTATCTTTGGGTAATTTTTAGAAATATAATATAAATAGCAAGATTTGCGGTTTTGATTTGAGAAGTAAAAAAATGATTCTAGCTTTTCATCTTAAAATTTGTGGTTTTGATCGATCAAGATTTGTAGCATTATAAGAGTTTTGTGAAAAATAAAGAGATAGACTCGTAAATTTTACAAATAGACGGTAAACAAATATATATGTAAACTTATGTGATAAAAAAAAATCTTTATATGTAGAATATACAAAAACAGAGTAATTCAAGTATTGTGAAATGAATGCCACAAGCCATACCACAAACATCCTTTTGAAGGAACCCTTTCTAGAAGCCCTATCCGTTCTGGTACACCAAAAATACACGGACCCACCTCCAAGCCCGCGGCTCAATTCACGCCTTTGGGCTATCATAACTATGGACCCTGGTGCACCCCTGACCCCACCCTTCTAGAAACAAACAATCATCTCCCAACACGCAAACAGAAAGAGACCTCCGGCTGGCCATCCGTCATTTTTCTATATATAACACACTGCCTCCCAAACCTTAAAAATCGATTCAAAATTCCCAATTTCCAAATTCTCCAATATCGGAATGATCGGAACCCTATCCACCTCGCTCGGAGGGACATCTCTCGGCCTACTGAATGATACACGGCCATCACCACTCAATTCCACCGGAAAAGTGTCTTTCCGGCGTCACAAAGCTTGTAACGCCTTAATTCATGCCGTAACTGACTCTGTTGAGTCCAGTCTTTATGAAGTTCTACGAGTCAACCGTAACGCTTCTCCGATCGAGATCAAGACTGCGTACCGGAATTTAGCGAAGCTTTACCATCCTGATGCTTCCGATCTCAAGCAACATCATGAACCGAACTTTATCGAGATCCACAATGCTTACGCCACGTTGTATGATCCGGCGGAACGAGCGATGTATGATCGGAAACTGAACATTGGATTAGGACGTGGGTCTACGGCCGGCGGAATGAGGCGGGGGGTTAACACAACCCGGCGATGGGAGACCGATCAGTGTTGGTAGATTCTGATTTATGACCATATGATTGTTCAAATATAAAACAAAAAAAAAAAGGAAAAAACTAGTTGTATATTATGAGGTAATGACATCCACTAATCCCCTTTCTTCTTTAATTATCTTATTTCTGATAGCTACAATTTTTTTACAACAAAATTAAAATAAAAATAGTGTAACAATCTCACATTCACTCTCCTCCTAATGCAATATACAACACTCAAATTTTTCAAAACCAATTTGGAAAAATTACTCATTCCACCTAAAATAGACGTCTACAACAAAAAATGACCAATGTACGATTATTGCACTATTTAATTAATCAAAACACAAATGTACCCTTAGGAATAAACAAAGAGAGTAATCAAGTAATTTAAGGGTGGTTTATCAAATATTTATCCGGGTAAATACCTACCAGGAAACTCAACACTATCATTTACTTAGGGGCTGTTTGTTTACGTCTGAATGATACCATTAAGACTTTAAGGTCTGATTCGGTCAGACATTTTCTTGTTTGGATGGGTTTTTAAAAAGGTCTGAATGAAAACTTTACATCTGATTCGCTCCTTCACCCTCTAGCCCTCCATACGATTCAGATGTCATATTTTTCCAGGTTTACCCTCCCTTTTTTCTCTAATCATCGTTCTATTCTTCTTCATCAGTCCATATGACGCTTGTTCTTCTTCATCTGTAGGAATCGCCAGCAACCCTCGTCGTTCTCTTCTTCTTCATCAGTCACCAGTCTCGCTTGGTCACAAACAGCCCCTATAGCTGTGTTTGGCCCTGTTTTTCAACAGATTTTTGGCCACTGTGTTTGGCCCTGTTTTTTACATTCAAATAGTAGCCAAAGCAAAGGGTTTATACATGATCGTTGAAAACAAAAGGGAGAAGAAATAGATTCAACAAAAGGGAGAAGAAAAAGAAAACCTCATGAGTTCTAAATAGAAAAAGCATTTTAACAAACCTGCAGATGCTTCTTCTAGGTTGATGGAGAAACCACTWTTGAGATGACAATTTGGAGTTAAAACAATCCATGGTTTTATGTATTCCCTCCCACGGTTTTGGTACAATTTRAGTAATATTATAATATTGATGACATTGGAGGTGGGGTGCTTGGAATGAACTTCACATTTACCAAAAACAAGAGGTTGGGTATTAAAATTATATGGTGGATAAAGAATGTGTATTTATTTTTTTGTTGGGTATAAGAATTATATGGAGGACCATTAATTATTTTTTATTTTTTATTTAGAAATTTCTTTCAGAATTGTTGTTAAACGTTAATTTTTATTAAACATAAGACTGAGGGTAAAATGGTAATTTTATGTCATTCAGACAGTTGATTCAGAACAGTTTCCAAACAACCTTTTTCTATCTGACACTAAATCATACAGAGTCTCTTAATCATTCTGACCACTTAATCATACTGCATTAAACCATTCAGCAACTGCCAAACAGCCCCTTACCTAGTAAAACTTTAGTCCACCAGAACATCACCAATTCATCTAGTAAACGCTACTCGTGTCTCACTTACCGAGTAAGATTCTCATTGCTTGTTATATTCATCCATCCGATAAGGTAAAATGACTTGGTAAGCGCTTACCCAAGTAACCGTCTGGTAAACGTTCTAGAAATATGTCAACCAGCAATCTATCAATGTCATACTTTAAGAAGATGAATATTAGAACTTACAAAGTAAACCAAAAAAAACCCAATACATCTCAAACAAAGATGCAATGACATTGCATCTACCCCAAGGGGTAGAAAGGGGTTATTTCCATAAAGACTACTATAAAGTGTATGCAAACCATCAACAAAACGAAAGCGCAATATAGACCAAGGGAGTGTGAAAAACCAAAACAGCCATGCTCAAAATCCAACATTGTGAAAGAACTTATAAAGAACATCTCAAAACTTTGGATTAAATAAAAAAAACACCACCACATACAGACAACCTCTACAAGAAAGGAAAGACTGAATACACAAAGAACAAATGTACAACTTTCACCTAAAACATGCAACATAATAAGAATATAATAAGAAAGCAATAAGAATAAACTCTCAAACTCACCTAACAAATATAAGTACCACCCCATTACAAAATTCTAAGACTTCTTTTGTACAAGCTCCTCTGAATGCATCATCAATTACTTACAGGGTCCTGAGTGTGGAATTGATGAGTTTCATGATAACCCGTATGATTGATAGCTCCGATACCTTAGTAGTCGGAATGCTTACTTGATGATTTAGTATAGACTGAACTTGCTCGAATATTGGGCGTACGTGCATTGCTATCATCCCATCTGTTGGCTTGATGGCCACCACCACATCCATCATCCATCCAAGTTTCTTTGATGGTTCATTCCCAATATCACACGCCAACTGCTGCAGCAAAGATAGCAGTACTCCTTGGCTCAGTGGCAGAGGATTGCTTGTTAATAGCCCCTGTAGGTCAACCTAAGTCACAACAACCAAAATATAAATTCAACCCCATTAGAAAAGAATATGATGCACTAAAAAGTGTAACCCAAAAAGAAATTTACATAACGATAGCAAAACAAATGAGAACCATCAGATCAACACAAGATCAGTTCTGGGGTCCAAGTATGGCCTTATCCCGACACACAAACACCTAAATTTTGCCATTTCAGATGGTCAATCTCATTTTGTTACGGCAGTAAATATGGGAGCTCAACTGGTGTTGCTCCCTGTGAAGATGGTGAGCTTTTGGAAGAATGAAACAAGTGCATTACAGGTTTTGTACAAAAAAATGAGGCACAAAAGACCTCGAAGGTAGAATTTGCTTGTTTTCACAAACCATTCACAAGAGTTCTCAAGTGATACTAGAGAGGCAGCAGATCAAATGTCCTAATTTAGAGGCATTGTAGACATTTGATCAATTACAATTTTATTAAATTATGTGTCAAGTCAAGCGTAACATTTTTTCCATACAGAAAGTAAAATATTGAACAATGAAATATCAAGCAACCTCACCACTTAACAGTAAAAAAAACTAACCAGTACATTATATTACTATATGAAGAAATAAGCTTTCAAATCTATATGTAGCGTTCACAAGGATGATATATGTGTGACAATTATATTGTGTTGGTAACTTAATACATTTAATATTAGTAGAACAAACTGTGCTTGCAATCTATTAACTTGGAGGTGATGGTTTTAACTAAGTATATACCCTATAGATGTCCTTATAATCATAGACGAAGAATCGTGTGAGAATAGGAGTTAAGATGAGAAGTGTAGGAAGGGATTTGGACCGTTGATCACGTTTAGTCTCAAACCAACCCATGAATAGCGCTTTAGAAGGGAATTGATCCAGTGTATCTCATTAGTGTTGATCTAGTGATTCTTTTCAATTAGGATTGATTTAAGGACGGAGATCCCTTCTTATCTTTCTCACCATAACTTCCATTCTCAACAAAACCCAACCCCATAATCAATATGTATGTATAAATTCTCAGGTTTGACAAACTGTTACCACAACCGACAAGATATATATATGTGTGTGTGTGTGTGTGCAAGTCCCCTTTGAGGGACCTACGTGTGTGACAACATATCAGAGAATCATAGGATTTTGCAGACAAAGCATACCTGAGAGCATAACCAGGACACAATCCAAACATCACTTCTTTGCAGAGCAGCAGTGAAAGCCTCCTCGTATTTGTGCTCATATACCAACCTAGATAACTCTTTTGTAGGATCCAAGGGTGCCTCAATCTATTGCAGAAATTAGTATAGATACATAAGGAATTAAGGATATCATTGTTAGTTATTGCAATCATTGCAGAAAACATAACAAAGAGCTATAGTGCTATACTAACCTTCTCATGGAAACTGCCTATAGGTCCATTACTTATTTGGGTCATCAATGGATTCCCTGCTTCGGAATTCGCCCCTGCAAGTGCCAAGGCTACCAACTTTCTTTGACCATCAGCCAATTCACCACTCAAGGTTTGAGTCACAGATGATGCTGAATTGATAGCATCCTGCAGAAATCAGCATACCACCAAAAGGGAATCATTTTAACAACATGCAAATAGGTGAAAAAAATGAGCAGCTTCAATAACTAAAAAAGAAACCCAAGCACTGTAAGGGATTGTGTTGTTAGCAGCTTGATGAGCTTAATGGGACTAACAGCTTATTCGGTCAGCTATACATGACTGTTTAGTACTCACCTAATGATATAGAAAGTGACTTATTCAATAAGCTTCTAGTTAAAAAAAACACTCCTCAAGAAAGCCAAGATTTTCCAAACCTCCCCTTCCCAGTTAAAAAAACATACTCCTTCCGTTCATGAAAAAACCCTCCTAGACAAAAACTTCCTCAATCTCTAGAAACAGATTAATCCACACAGAAAGCTGTATCCATGCATGACTTGATGATAAACCAACCAAACAGAAACTAAGCCAAAATGGGAGAATATGAAAGGTCCAGCTGGCCATTAGTGATTATAATTTGTTACCCTTAAAGCAATTGCCAGAGGAGAATGTGCAGACTCAATTTGCTGCTGAGCTGCACTTGTATGTTCAACCATTCCCTTCTGAAAAGTAGCATCAACTTGATCAAACATGGCCTTGCAAGACATCTCAAAGGCAGGAACAACCGAGGCCTCCATACTCAACTTCAGCGCTTCCTGTAAGAAAGATTGGAGGTTTTGATCAACATGACAACATATCCAAAATCTTTACAATATAGGCCGCATCAGGTCAAACTAATGTTGGCCATTTGTCTTAGAACGCATGCATAAATCCTAGTTACAAGATCCATATAACAGAATTTAGATACAGAAATAAACCCATATGAGAGAATTTAGATACCGGGTAAAAAACTAAGGTTTGTCCACATATACTTGCTACAATGTCTATATAATAAGAGTATACAGTAAAAGATGAGAGTCAACATAGAATGCATAGCTGAAATTTAATCTAGTAATGCCCTGTAACTAGCATGCCTAAGTCAGGTACTCGGGTTATTAACTTGACTAGCCTTTTGTAACAAGAAAATGACAGAAGTGACCTAAAAATACCTTTTTTTTTCAAAAATAACCTCCACTTTCTCAAAACTTTTCACAAAATGGGAAAGGGCCCACAAAATCCATGTAGGCCCAATAAATCTTGGAAAAACGGTGTATTGTTGAAAAAAATGTATTTTTAGGTTATTTTTGTTAAAAAAATTACAAAAGGCTAACCAAGTTAAGAGCCTTGCCTAAGTTCCCCAGAGACGAAAATAAATGCTATAAAATACTTGGATGAACTCAAAAACTACAGCGGATGTCAGTAATAACTCACAAAATTTAGCCAAGAAATTAGCTCAGAGAGACTTGAATCATTGATATACCTGTAGAGCTTGTTTGCCAGAAGTTTGAAACTGGGTTTGGATTTGCCTGGCAACACTAGCTTCAAGCTTCGAATTAATCGATTTCTCCAATTGGTTTACAGACTTATCAGCAACACCTCTCTGCATGAAAATTTTAATTAGACTTCCATTATTTAATATGAAAATAGGGAACTTAGCTGTTCAGATTCAGCAACCTGGAAAGCCTCTGAGATCGCAGTAGATACTGTTTTCTCAATAACTGGAGAAACTGCACGAGCCACAGCTGACACGAGTGCAGATGTTTCCTTCTTCAACATTTTTTCCCATGCTGCAAGCAAGTCCTTGTAGCCATTTGTTACCAAAACAGAAATTTGTTGATTGCGATCTCGGTTTGACTTCTCTTGCTTTGCAAATTCTTCTTGAGTTCGAGCCCAAAGAGCATCAGAATTAGTTTTGTAAGTTTTCTCCATGCTTTTCCCTATGGCTGCCTCAATTCTACGACCTTCCTTTGTAACTGGCACTGCAACCAATGCTGGAATCTGCTTTTGGATTTCCTTTTGATTGATTAAAACCTGCAAAGTAACATCAGCAAACAAGAGCTTGTATCAGCAAGGATTAGATGATGGGAAAAAGCAATTACATTGAAGTATGATTAACTATAAAACAAAACCTCAAACCTATATAGTTCAGAGTAAGTTTAACAGAATTATTTACCGTAATAGATTAACAAGATTAACATGATCACAAGAATGACCAATGCTGGAAGAAATGAACTAGTGTTACAATATGAAATATGAAAAAAAAAACTTTTCCTAAGCTATGAAGGGCCGAATGAGACTTGCAGCTTATTCAGTCAGCTATACATGACTGGTTGGTAGTTGCTTAACGATATAGACAGTGGCTTATTCAGTAAGCTTCTAGAGGGAGCTATATGCAGAAAGCCAAAAAGAAATTCAAACATACCCCTCACAATTAAAAAATATGCACCTTTCATCTATGAAAAAACCCTCCCAAAAAAACCTTCTTAATCTATACAGTTTTGTCCATACAAGACTAAATGAAAAATCAACCAAACAACCCCTAAGCATGATAATATTTTAAATCGTCCTTAAGAAGATGCAACCAATTGAAACCCGAGATGTTTAACTATATTTTCAACCTGCTCCAACTTATATAAGATAAAGGTTTGTTAATATTGATAGATACTAACCTGACTTATGGCTTCTTGCATAGATTGAATCTGTGAAAGTATGGCTTCAGCAGAGGGAGAGCTTGAACTGACTCCCGGTTCATTAGAAGAATCTGTTGAATTGAAAACACTCGGGGAAGGAGAAGAAGGGCTTGATCCCTGAGTATTCTTTCCCTTATGTTTCTTCCCTTTGGCTGAGGTAGCAGTCGCTGGGGAGTGACCGGTTGCTGGTATCACTGTCTCAACCTGTCCCGAAAGATCAATTTTCACATCTTGAACTTCATCTTGGCCACCGGAGGCTTGACCCACTGTTTTGCTTTCTCCAGGCCCATCAATGTGCTTGGACTCATTAACAATATAAGTTTCCCCAGGCAAGACTCGACGATCTCTACCCATCTCAAGTCCAAAATCCGATGCCTGTGAAGAAAACCCATGAAGCTCTCCTTGAGAAATAGGTTCAACATTTTGACTCTTACCCGCTTCACCAACAACCTTAACCTCCACCTCAACATTCTGCGCATCGGAGTTCACAATCACATCCTGAACAACTGGATCTACGTCATTCTTCTGCTCAGAAACATGACTCATTTCAGAGGATGATGTAGCCATCAATTCAGCAGGAGTTACCAAATGAGTTGGATGCTTAAACTTCGTGCCATGACCGGTAACAGGGGAGACGTCCTCTTTCAATGGTTTGTTTTCATCAGTGATGGAATCATTAGCCAACGAGGGCATAGTAGACGTGTTCGAATGAGCGGTGTCAACTGAATATTCAATAATTTTCTGCTCACCATGATTACTTAGTTGGGCACTAGATTCAAGGCCACCGGCTGGACTTTTCAAATCAGAAAGTTTTCGAGATAATGTTGGACTTGATGCAACTGAGGAAGATGCAACACCAGAAATACCTGTATCAATAGTGATGGGAGATGGGTTGGATTTCGATTCAATACTCGGTGCAGAAAATTCCTTCGGCATGGAAGTTTCAACCAAAGGAGAGTTTGAGAGCTGTCTCAAAATGGCACCATCAGAGCTAGGTACCGAGACAACCAACGGCATCTCAGTCTTACTTCCAGATGGCTCGAAACCTTCAGTACTTGGTGCATCACGTAAAACAGTTGTATCGAATTTCTCATATGTAACACTATCAATTGGCGGTGGTAAGCACTGGGACAAGTCCAAAGCATATTGCTGAATGGCCTGTGTCTGGACACAGTAAACCTGAACAATCTGCTCCCCATGAGGTAATAAATCACTAGTGCCTGTAAAACTCAGTATAGGCATAGTCACTGTAAACTCAGCAATGTAATCCATGTGGGTGGCTTCTGGATTGGGACCATATTCCAAGTGTACAACGTATATAGCATTTTTCTTCGCGTTTGCTAGTAAGAGAAGACCTGCTTGGGATAACGCAACCACTTGATTAAAGAATGCATCTTCAACTCTAGCCTCAGATGAACTCTTCAATTCTAATGTCTGCAAACAGTGCCATGAATCTGCATCACTGGGAAGCAACCATCCTTCTTCACTGTCTGAGGCCCATATTTTCACTTCCCGATTCAGGGGTCCCTGCGATCATCTTCAAAAATCAGAATATGAAATATATATATATATATATATATATATATATATATATCGACAGTCCATCCATCAAAAGCTTATAAAAGAACAGAACTAATTCAGGAAAAACTCAATAAAGCCAACAACAAAAACAGGCTGAATTGCAGACGAGTCCAATTTTAGTAAAGGGGAAACCCATCCCTATGCCTGTGTACATGAATAGCATCCTTTCGAAATCTTCCATCTAAGTCAGATTCTTTGGCATGTTCCAACCATTCAAATCTTACCATAACACAATGGTCAAAATTTATATAAAATATAATGCTACAGATAAATACTGTGTATCCAACCATATTGATTATCTGATGGTTCACAGATGAACATAAAGGAAGTAGAAAAAATATGAAAAGCACATACCCCGGTGATAAGTATGATGTGATCTGGGCGATGAGGAGCGGTCAAGAATGTAACAGAGTTAACTGGCAAGCCATCATGCGGCCTCAACACTGCAATCGGTGAGGACTTCCGATCTTCCCAAATCTTTATCTGTTCAACAGAAAGATAGGTCATGAAAGAACAACTCATTTAGGTAACAATTTTGACATTTAATGGTTAAAGGTGTAACCACAATTTCACAAGAAATAATATAAATGAAAAAATAAGTCCTTGATCGTGTACCTCAACCTTGTGTAGGTTTAAATTTCATAGGTTCAATGATAATCCAAGGCAATTAAATAAAAAATATATGGAAGTAACTATTAGAAAATGCACATTAAATATTGACTACCCTTACATTCGGATTACAAAACGCAAACAGAAAAATCCCTAGATTAAGATTACGGGGAAGGAACAACATTCTTCCATTCATATCTACCCAAGACCCAACTCATTTGGTAAATTTCACTTTCACAAAGTCTCTGCAGTAACTGAATTAAATACAAACTTTCACCTCTCATTTCTTTAGCGAAAGTTTTGAAATCTACAAGAGTGCGTTTTTTGATGAACCAAAGACAATGTATACATGAAAACAGTGCCAACTGTTCATATGTTAAGACTTAGACCATGGTGTGCTCGCAAAGGGAATCACCACAAAAGAAACCCAAAATATATTTGTTAAGAACATAACACATAAAACTCAATAGAAATTGAAGAACAAAAGAACAACTCGGTCAAATCATGTTGAAAAACAGCGCCTAAAACCTTTACATACAAATAGAGCTATGTTTTTCAATTGTCTTCACTTTCAGTAGCTTAATGCTTATGTAAGAGAAAAAAGTAGGGACCAGATACTATGAAGAAAGGAGATCAAACGAAACTAACGAGCATAAAATTAAATTGTTAACATAATCAAACCTAATTACCTTATCCAAGTCCCTCTCAAAAAACATAAGTATCTTACTATATTTCCATCTATATATGTTTTACATAATCCAGCAAGAAATGCACCCTTTTTTTAAAAATAGAATACAAATCGGTTTATCCAGTAGTGTAACCATCTACCCCAAAACCATTTGGGTTTTTTAAAAAGTCGTACCATGCACATGTGTATAATTAATACAAGTATACGCCAAGCATAACGAACGTACTGCAATCAAGTATATCATACCAAATGAGACTACACTAAACGAATACATCCGAATAATTTCCTTACAGTGAACCAACCTGTACCATTAATTAGACAACATTGATTGGAAGCTCCCTACTTAGAGGCCAGCTAAAGGCTATTCCTATCAAAACCTCATTTTATATAACCTATATACTTGTGGGCATAGCTATGAGATAGAATTTAACTTTAGCTAGCACTGACCAATAAACCACCTGAAGGTCGGGGAAACAAAAGAAGTTTGACATCACAAAACATGTAGCCCAAGCTTATAAGATTATGGGCCTGTTCATTAGCAGCTTAATGAGCTTAATGGGAGTCGCAACTTATTCGGTCAGCTATACATGACCATTTGGTATACAAAGTGGTTTATTCGGTAAGCTTCTAGAAGAAGCTTTATGCAGAAAGCCAAGTTTTCTCTAGACCTGCCCCTTTCAATTAAAAAAATGCTCCTTCATTCTATGAAAAATCCCTCCCAAACAAAGATTTCCCCAATCTATACAGACAAGTTAATCCACACAGACAACTTTATCCATATAGGACTTGAGGGAAAACCAACCAAACAATCCCTATATGTGATGCAGACAATAATGCAATGCCAAGTGATTATAGCTACAGCAGTAGATCATTACATGTATTTGCCAAGAGAACATTTCATGAAAATATTAAGAAGTTCACTAACCGTTCCATCTACAGAGGCAGAAACCAAACGAGTAGTCATCCACTGGCACATTGATAGATCTGTCACTTCACCATCATGATTGCCAACAAACTGAACTCCATTGATCAACTTATCAACAGGACATTTCAGAGGTTCCTCTGCAGAATACACTTCACCTCTCCCAACCTTCGTAGTATCAATTCTCAGAACACGTTTTCCGATTCCAACAACAAGCACTTCCTGCAACGGATGAAAAAAACCATCAACTAATGTTTTCAGCAATACAAATTCTACAGAAAATACCAGTATGATACCGGAAGTGGAAGCACGTAAGCAAAAGGATCTAAGAATTGATATCAAATAACAAACATTAGGAAAAAGATGTACTTGTTTATGACAGTGCCAACAAACTCGGGGATGAACAGGTTCCCCTTCTCCTACAATCTGGATTGCAATAACTATCTTCCCTGTAATTTGTGGTTTATCATCCTCATCTGTGCCTTCTGTAATTTTCCACACATATACTCGTCCATCTATGCTTGCACTGCACAGGATCACTTCATTACAACTTAGAACCCAAAGATAAAACAACACAAGTGATAAGCAACGACTAAATTGGTACCTAGCTAAAAGATGAACATCCTCCGCGAAGAAAACCATATCAGTAACCCTCTGAGAATAATAATTTGGTTAATTGAATCAGTGAGAATTCAAGAAGCAAGATTATACTAATCCAACCGTCTATCAATTTGAAATAGGAAACTCAGCAGATCCAGGAACCATCAAGACAGATAATTTATATCTATTGAAACGTTGATAATAAAAACGAAGATGCGATATGACTTCAACACTCAAGGCTAACACACAAAACCACTCAAACTCCATCAACCATGCATTTTCAGACTTGTTGATGACACTAAACAGCCAAGCATGGCAAATTATAACCAGAGATCTGATACCACATGAGGCTGCAACTTAGGATTGGATAAAAAAACAAAACCAAATCATGAAAACAGAAGGGTAGACCTTACATCTACACCGACTCTGATTGCAATGAAAATGAAAATATCATAATCTACTAAACCTGAAAAAAGAAAGTAACAAACCTGAGCTAGACCTTTAAGCAGTGATCTTAAAGCAGTGTTTATATTAAGAACCCTAATCGCTCCCAGTTTCAGACCATAACATATGTAAGTCTTGTTAACAGCAATTTGACGGCCAACAACAAGACCAGGATCAGACCCATACTTGGTAATGGGGGTGACCTCAAGTTGAGGCTGAACCTCTCCAGGAAACCTAACATCAATATCATATACAACACGATCACCGGTCAAATGACGTCCTTTCGGGAGCTTACTGCTCGGCATCCGCAAAGGACCGGACCCAGAATGCAATGCAGGAACCAACGACGACGGAAGCATAGGATTAGTAGGTGGAGCCAAAGGCATGGACGATTGAGACGAATTGTCAAGCGTGGTAGGCGGTGGAGAGCTTAAAAGAGCCATTAGACGAGCCCCATGGTTAGGGTTAGGGTTGCTATTAGGGCTAGGAGGTTGGAGAGGAGGTGTAGGATACGGAACGGATCGCTGATGTTGCAGGTTAGAGGAAGGCATGGGGTTGTCGGGTTGTTGTTGAGGATGAAAAGGAGGTGGTGGGATGTGAAATTGAGGGTGGTATAGAGGGTTAGTTTGAGGAGGGTATGAGTAAGGTGCGCCGCTGACGGTGGGTGGAGGATACGAGGCGGCAGAAGATGGTGGAGGATAAGGAAGGTTAGGGTTTTGGAAGGTGGTGTTAGGGTTTGATGAGATTGGTGGTGGGGAAGAAGAAGGGTTGAAGAATCTTTGAACATCAAATGGTCCTCCACCTGGTTGTTGGTTCTGGTTTCCAGGGGAAGCCATGAAATCAACACAACCAGTAAGAATTTGTTGTTCTGGATTCGATTGAATTTGCAGGTTGAGATCTGAAATGGAAAATTTTCGAAAGGGGTTTAGGGATTTTTAGGGTGTCAATCGAAGAGAGAAAAGAAGGATTGGATTTCGTAGAACACTCTCTTCTATGTGTGCGCTGTTGTTGAGTGAGATTATGGGAGGTGGAGAGTATGACTTTTGGGAGACCAAGCCCATGAACAACAAGAAGAAGAAGACGACGACGATGCATTTCCTAATTTCTTTCGTGATTGGAATTTTTGAAAAGCACACTTTTAGTCCTTTGCTTTTACAAAATGACTACAACACTCTTCATGATTATCAATTTTTGAACATTTTCGACTCAGCCGTCTTTTTGTTACCAGCTTAATAAGTTTCATGGGACTCAACCCTTGTTTGATCAGCTATACATAAAAATGATTTATTCAGTAAGCTTCTATGAAGAGCTTTATATATAAAGCGAGGGTTTTTTTCTTAGTTTCAGAATTACAAAATGGCTATTGTGGTTTACAAAAACGTTCGGATTTGATCGCTTCCTCTAACGGTTGTTAAAAAACTTCATTAAATGAGGGGCATTTTATCGATCTTTTTGTTCTTTGTCCAATCAAAAACCACAAGGACCAAAGTCATAAAATCAGTTTTGATCGATTAAAAGACAAAAAATGATGAAAATCCCACTCATCTAACGGGATTTTTAACAGTCGTTAGAAGAATATATCAAGTTCGGACATGTTTACAATTCATAATTGGGATCTTGTAATTTTGAAACTATATGGAAAAAATTATTATTTTTAACAAACCACAAGGACCAAATTTGTAGTTTAAACTTTTTTATTTTATAGATTTCAAAATCAAATATAACACATTTAATAGAACAATAAATTTTATATAAATCATTAAGCAACTGTTAAACCATTCAGTAACTGTCAAACAACTCTTAAGTGGCTCTTACAATATAGTGCAAAACAAAATATAATTGTTTGATAATTATTTATAATGAAATTATGGTGCTGAATGGTTAAAGAAGACACAATATACAAAAGCATTCACTCTCTTCTTAGTGATTCAGATACTACCTTTTAAGGGATCTATTAAGAGGTAAACAAACAACTTCTTAGTGAAATCAATAAAAAAAAATCATTTATCTCCTTTGACAAGAAATTTTACAAATTTTTTCAAATTTGAAATTTGTAGACCCTCTCTCATGATTTATCTATTTTGCATAAACTTTTACAAACTCTATTGAAATAAAGACTCCTGTTTTTTTAAAATCAATTTAACAACTAAAACTATTTTCAACTCGACAAAAAGAAAATACAGCTTTTAAATAGATATATAGTTTAATTAATATATAAATGATACGTAACACATTTCTTTATTAGCTAAATTAAGGTTGGTTATGGACATTGATTAATCTTTATTAATTGCTTTTATCATATTTTTAATATTCAATTTATACCTGACAAATTTAACAATGATTTATTTGTATATGTAATAAAAATTACCTTTCTACTTAACTAATGGCTTACCAGTCAACTCTGTAGCGTTTCTAATCACTCTTCGTCGTCCATATCATCCGGTATGTGATATTCATATATGTGAAGGGGGCATGACACTGCAAGGTGGGTAGTTTATCTGGGGCGGATAACAAAAAAATTAAAATTTTGGAATATATTAGAGTTGTTTTAGTTCTTTGAAAACGTTATTTTAAATATGTAATGTAATAATTAAGTCATGGATAATGTTTGACCTTATAATCGTAATATGAACAAATGATCATTATGAACCTCCTTAAACCAAACAAAAAGGTTAGTATCGCATGTGATCTCTTGGCCACCCATCATTCATGTACTACTTGGCCACGTGACCATACCACAATATATATTATCATATTATTTTTATAAATAATTTAAGTAAAATTATTAAATTTTAAGAATGTGACAACTCTAAAATAAAAATATACATATATTAATGTCTTGTGAGTTAAGGAAAATTGTATTAAAATGTAACCAACTTTATCTAATATTTGTCTCGGGAACGAACTTTTAGAATCTCGTCGGAGACACTCACCACCTCTTCTCACTTGTAGTATTTATATTTGGTGTTGTCTTTAATGACGATTGAAAAAAGGTAAAATAGATTACATCAGCTACTATCGTGTTATGGTGGAATCCACGATCTTTCTGAAGGTGCTGGTTGATTACAAGGCAAGTTGATGGACATGACGAATGTAACACAAAAGCTCGTTAACAAGAACACATCTTTCGATACCGTTTCTCTTTGACAGATTCTTCTCTACCACCATATATGACGAAATAGACGAGCTCTTGGAGGCGTTAGGTAACATAGGTGTTAAGATTTACAAATGCCTTAGGTATTTTGTAGGGGTGTTAATGGTCATTTCTTAATATTCCCCAATATCGAAGATTTTAGTATATCAAAACATATCGAATACAACAATTTACTGGGTAAGATTTGTCATTCTCACTTACCGGGTAAGACTCTCCATCATTATCGCCCTTACCCGGTAAGATTCTTGGCCTTTTTCATATTCATCCAATGAGAAAATTTATGCGTTAAACACTTATCAAGTAAGTGTTTAGTAAACGGCCCATAAGTTTTTAGTATACCAAGTTTTTGCTTGTTAATCAATATTCAATGATTTTTAAGTTCTGCTTGTTTTTTCATAAGTTACAACGATGGGTTTTTTTTTTGAAGTATATAATATTTATATACAACAAATGTAACAAATAAACTCACACACCCTCATCATCTTTGTTGAGGTTTGAACCCTTGACTTCCTATGAAGCCAAGGGCTACGATACCGCTAGGCCGATGGTTTGTAGTCAAGTTAGGGGTCATTTACCCAAACATTAAAGTAAATTTCAACACTATCACTTATCTTACCGGGTATGATTTAGTGCATCCAAACAACATTGTATGTAACAATTTTCCCGCTAAACACTTACTGGGTAAGAGTCATCGCCCTCTTTATTGGATAAGTCTCTTGGTCATTGTCTTCACTCTTACCGCATAAGATTTGTCGGCTTCCTTACTAGATAAGATTTTAATTGGGTTGGTAAAGTAACACTTCGTTAATGGCTGGTGTTGGTTTTGTTTACCGGTGGTATTAAAATGTTGATCCAATCATCTATTACTTTTTGTTTGACTAAGGTCGTATATGTCAAACAAAACTCACTAAGACCCTCTCTAAAGGTGATGAAAAATGAGACTAAACATTTTTAGTGTCAAAAATTGTATGATAATCAGTCAACACTTATAATGCATTAAATACTACTACTTAATACATTTAGTCTTAAAATCTATTAATCTACAATTAAAATAACATATAGTACAAGTTACCGATGCACATTATTACTTTTTCTTTTTATGTTCTTAAGATACTTTTGACATATTTCGCTCATGTCTTCACCCTCTCATACATCTATGTCTTCTCAACATCCCCTAAGGTGAGATTTAAAATTAAATTCACCATGAGTTATTAAAAGTTATTTCATTCAATTGCTCTAGAATTCTCAGTCTCACTCTCGATCTCTTGATTATTTGTTTTTGGTGTAAATCGAACACATTTGTTGAATCGTTTAAATATGTTGGCTTTTAAATATATTGAATTTTAAACTGTCATACAATTTTTTTCATTAATAGACTGTAATTGGAACTATAACTCTTATTTATTCAAATTGTATTAATATGTAAAGACAAATAATAACTTATATCATCGTTAATTCTTCCCTAATAAAACCAATGAAATTTCAAAATCATTGAAAATTCACGACTCAACCCTATTGCATGGATACACAACTGGTTTAATGAATCTATGACATATTTTATATTATTTTTGAATAATCAAGCAAAGGAATCAAATCGACGGGTGAATGAAAGGACCATTTTATCCTAAAGTGTCACATCCTTAGAGAAAACAAAGCGTGCAGTGAACCGCTCCACTATCACCACTACGCTACCTGCAACCCCCCCCCCCCCCCCCTCCAAAACCATACGATTGCTCCACTGATTGCTGCCATTTTTCTTCAATTCTCCATCTCAGATCTCGCAGAATTCAACATGTGTTGTGGGAAGATATGCATGATGTGTACGTGCTTGATCCTCGTCGTCATAGCAATCGGTATGTTATTTGGATTTGGTGTTTTCGGCAAAGCTTTCCACAAGGTCAACAATGAATTGCATTATTCTTATTCTCCATCATTTCAACCGGATCCTGATATTCCCGCCGGTCGGCCGTTCTTCGTTTACGCTGCCCCTCCCCTTAGTGGTTAGTTTTTGACTAGGGATTTGTTCGTGATGTTCCTTAATTTCAAGCGACAACAATATTCTAGTAATATGAATATTTTTACTTATTTCTTATATTCTGCTTTCTTCATGTATATTGTCTCTACATTCCATAATTCACATTGAATCATGCAAAAATTATTACTTTTAACAATCCCTCGTTTCGATCTGTAAGATCTTTTTTTTCTTTTTTTCCAGAAATTGATTTGTAATCAAATAGTGTGTTTTTGTTAAATATCTTAATCTACCTTTGTCTAGCCAAAAAAATGTAAAACAAACGCAGAACTTCAAATTTAAAACACCTGTTGTGATGATCAAAAGTGCATTATACCATTTGGATTCTTAAATCCGTGTATTGGAACCTAATCAGGAGTACATATAGATCTTATTGCAGTTGAATTGTGAATGGTAACAATGATTATGGCGTTAAGGGAAAGGTAATGGTCCTGAAGCTAATTGCGCAATGATGTTTTTAGCTTCCAGTTCTATGTAAATTTTAAAATTCCCTTCTTCCATTTATGTCCATTGTGTCTTCTGATAATTGTTTCAGTTGACATAATTGTTTATAAGAAATTATGGAATTATAACGAAGCTTTAATTGCAATGTGAAATTAAAAAACATATCAAAGATTTAAATAGAGATGGAGAGACATGGGCTCACATGTACCCTTCATAAAGAAGCAATGCACTGTGATATCAGTCCCCTTAACTCATAATATGTGTTCAATGGCATGACCCATGATGCCTCATGATTCAGCATTCACACATCTCTATACACAGCTGAAACAGTTGCTAAAACCAAGCCCTGTTCAAACATCAAATTAAATTAGCATAAAGATCAAAAGTTCAAAAAACTTCAGATATCCACTTGCAGAATAGCTCTCATTATCTTTGTAGAACACGACTCGAGAGTGTGCTATCAATCTGGGGTCTTGTAAGCGTGCACCTTAATATCAATGAACATCCGAAGCAGCAGTTTTAGGAAGGCTATTGGTTATGATAATTGACTAGTAAATCAAACCAAGTACAGGGAAAGAACACCCTTCACATTATTCATCTAAAAGCTAAACTATAATGGCCAGTTTCTGAGCTAATTCCAATGATTTACAGCCAATAAAAATGAATATTTTTTGTTTTGCTTCTGATCAGAACAACAAACGCATGCTGTCAAAATCATTAGGTACCAACCTAGGTGGTGGATTATGGTTTACGTCATTGCCAATATCTGATGCCATGATCAAATCATTCACATCCAGTGGTCACATTTCTTTGTATTTGCATACCCAACTGAAGTTACCCCGGGAAATAGTTCTCCAACAGGGTATCAATTAACTATGTTGATGGTGGGTTAAAGATTCTGACACCTAAGTTTGAACTTCCAGTGAACTTCTGTCCAGCTATGAATTTATGTATTTTGCATCAACCCCCTGCAGTCGATGGCAAAGGGGAAGATGGGATGAAGACAAGGAAGGGGTAGGGGTTCTTTCTGCTTCACATGAAAGGAAGTTAGAGGGTTGGGTGGCTTAAGGAGACTGTTCTTTTTTTGTTGCAGAATCTGTGTTTCTGCAATCTCAAATGTTTGTACTTTTCAATTGTTTATGGTCAATTTGTTAAAATAACATCAAAACAAAAGAAGTCTTGTTGTATAAGTAATCTTATATTATTCTATCTCTTAAGGATTACCAATTACACGGTCAAAATTAATAATTTAGATTGTTTTCTTTTCCAAAGAAACTTGAATTAAGTTGCAGCAACGCTGAAAACCAAAAATGTTGCAATAACTTTGGGACGAATGAAGCAAAAAATGGCAAATAACTTGACACAAAAACCATCTCTTTAGAAAACAAAATCCACCAAAATCATTTGTGATTCAGGTAGTACAGGATTAATGAAGGTTCATTCTTCTACTGTCTCCTGGGAAATCAGCTTGGACCAAAGTCTCCAAAGAATATGCTTTCTTTAAGAAAAAAAGGTACTACATAATATTCCTCTTTATATGCTTTACACACCTAATAAAATCTATCTCCCTATTTCTCCCCATGAAAGACGAGAAGCCGAAAGAAGAGAAGCTGCAGAGGAAAAATCAAGGCCCAGGAAGGATTACAGGTATATATCATTGAATCTAAGAACTTGATGATTATCTGGAAGTTATTCAAGTTCATTGGAACACCTATTTTGCAGCCATGACTCAATTTATCAAGCTAAGGTAAGCGAATTCCTATGTGTCACTAGTAATTCTTGAATCATGTCAACATGTTAAGCTAAGCATTTCAGCCTTCTGCTTGAATTTTGTTAACAAATTAATCATGGAACAGAGCAAGATATGCAAACAGGAAAGAAAGAATAGCGACAAAGTTAGGTTCAAACACAATTTATGTATATTCTTTTCATTGAGCAAAGCTATTTTGTACATGTACACAAACGGATGCAATTCACCGTGTAATCCAGTTTATATGACAATAAATTATGTACAAAACAAATCTTGAGGCACAGCCAGTTTCATAAATCAATAGATGCAACAAATAATCAACTTAACAATGCTACATATATCTATATATTTTCAGGTTGAGCAAGGTATTAGAAACCTTTCCAGACCGAAAGAACTTCATTGAAGACTTCTCCTATTAGTTCCCTGTCTGCAGACTCTATAAATGCATCGAATTCTTCTAAAATATCAAATATCTTACCAAACCTCACAAGATACTGCATGCAGCAAATCTTCAGCTTCGGCAGACAGTACAGAGAAGCGTTTTGAAGCCTCTCGAGCACATTATTCGTATCAATATCTTCTAACAGACTTTCATGGCATGCTTCTTTTAAATCCATAATATCGTACTTATCAGCTGCTCTGAGAAGGTCAAGCCTGTGAGTTAGAAAGTCTTGATCTACGATGTTACCATATATGTAGCTTAGAAAAGCTTGACAAGATTCACTGGACATGTCGGAGATGTTTATGACAGACATTTCTTTTTCTTTCAGGTCATGGGAGAACATGCTTCGAAAGACTGGTGACCGTGCAGAAAGGACAGCACGGTGGGCCCCAATGCTTCCATCGGAAGCATTGATGATGATGTCCGTGTGAATACTTTCTGATAACATTCTGCCAAGGGATGATAGAGCTGTTGCTCGTGATTCCTTTTGTGTAAACACTTCAGTCCAAACCGAGCAAGATTCACCACCCTGTTGCATTATGTCACATCAAAAAGGTAACTTTCATAAAAAAGTTGCATAATTTAACATCTCATTTCAATATCCTATCGAATTCAAAGTTGAAAAATCAGTATATTCGACCTTAGGCTATGTTTGGCAAACTAGCTGATAAGCTAATTGTTAGCTGAAAAACTAGGTGTTAGTTGACAAAGTAGTAATATTCGGTAAAATTAGCCGAAAAGCTCTACGTTATAAAATGACCTACAAAGACATGTTGAAAAAATAATCGTAAAAATGTAAGAGGCATAATTGGAAAAAAGTGGAAAAGAGTCTCTGCAAGTAGCTTTTCAAAAAGCTAACTTATGGCTCACAAAACAAGACTTTTTCAGTAAGCTCAAAAAACGAGTTACCTTATGGTTACAAAACATGGCCTTTAAGATTAGCCATTTAAGAGGAACATTAGACCTTGGTTTTGTAGCAAGTGAGTTATATAAGTAGCATTTATTGGTAATAGTAGGAGCTGAAATCGACCCGTGACCAAACCTTAAATACTGGACCAAAAATGCTGGCTTGTCAACTAACACAAAATTTAGATGCTGCAGTCATAACTTTCGGTTCACCAACCAACAATTTAATGATAGGTTCAAAGTGATAACCTTGTAAAGAAACAGTAAGCATCACACAAAAGCTTAAAATTTCTGAAGAGATAGATGGTTGAATTACATTTGGAGATGCAGTCTTAAGATCAAGAAATTCAAGATCGATGATAAATTTGCCCGCAAGTGGAACCTCAAGTGCCCAAACAAAATCCTCGCTGCTTTTAAGCGGCTTATCTCTAATTTCTGCAATCACATAGTAATCGGGGAATGAAAATGCTAGAGAGATGCTTATCGAATTCAACCTACAAATCACACCTATTCAACTTATACAAAGTTTACCACAACATAACCATTAGTACCCATAAATGTGTCAATCTTGGTGGGTCTCAAAATTTGACTCATTTGACCATGAAAGTAAGGGTCCTTTTGGTTTGACTGGATATTTTTTAGGGATCTCGTGGAAGGACTTATATCGTTTTCATGTGTTTGGTTTATAAGATTTAGAATGGAATTGCATTCAATTCAAGATGAAAACAAATTATAGAAAAATATATAAAAATAATTAAATTACCTTTTATTAATTGATTATTAATAAAAATAAGTGTTCTTTAACGTATTTTAACACTATTACAAATGAAATCCCGTAAAAAAACCTACCCTTGGGATTTCTAAATTCCATGTTTGTGTAATTTTATTGAAATCTTCTGGACTTTCTTTAGTCAGAACATGGGATTGGCGTCGAATCCCATTCCAAATTCACCAAATCCCACAAACCAAACTAGGCTAACAGAAAATATACCTGGATGAACCAAGGCCTTACGACCTCCCAATGAAGAAACCACCCGAATAATGAAGGAAGCAATCGGAGGGTTGTCTTTCGTAAAACTCGTGATCTCCGGGTATAATTTGATGAACAAAGATCGATTCTTCTCCAAAACCAAACGCCTGAATTTCATTACAAAACAAAGAATTCAGGTGACCAACCTTAAAAAACATCTAGAAAAACTGCAACAAGAACAATAATTCAACTACTACCAAAATAAATAACCATTGAACATACAAAAAAAAATCTAATCCCAAATCAGGTACTATGTGATATGTTGGTGAATTACCCAACAACAAAAATGAAATAATTACCAGTTCCAGTTGCCGATCTTAAAAGGATCCGATTTCCTGTAAGTACAAGAAGCCAAATTGTCGATTCGCCATTGCGCAAGGCGTGAAGTGGTATCAACACGATAAGCTGAGTCGGTAGTCATCCTAGCAAAAGCAAGCGCCGTCGTGATTTCATGGAAACAATCCAGAATTCCCAACTCCCCGTGCTTTCCCAGGTTGTCGTTTAAGGTTCCAACTCTTCTTCTTCATACACTTATTCCAATATGATCATCTAAAACACACTCACCAACTGTATCTCTTCCTTCCTTCCTCCTCCCATAATCTGTGAACTATTAATCAATTATTAGAATAAATAAAATTCCACTTATTTCTTGGAAATTGATTTCTTGAAATCTTTAGTGATAGCCAATGGGAGGAAAAGAGAAATGATTCAGGGGTTGGTGTAGACCATTCTCACTGGTTTTTTGCCATTTTAAACTCATTTGTTTGCATCTTTGTCAATCTTTTCCCCTAAACTATTAAATGCATCTCCCCCTTATTGGGTCACATCTATTTTAAGTTTTCTTTTTAAAATTTTATATCACGATAATGTGATGGGAGAGGAAGGAAGATCTTTGTTGTGTTTAGGTCCTTGGAAGCAAAGCATCTTTAAGATTCAATCCATCAAGGAAAAGGGTTAGAGGTTGGTGGGTGTTTTCGAAAAAGAAAAAAGTGAAAGGGGGGGTTGTGAGTACTTCTTTTAAAGTGAAAGTCTAAGCGGTCGTTTGGTTGGTTTTTGATCAAGTCTTATATGAAAAAAAATTGTTCGTGTGGATTAATCTATTTTAATAGATTGGAAAGTTTTTTGTTTGTGATAGTTTTTTAATAGATGGAAGAAATGTGTTTTTTAATTGGGATGAGAAGGTTTGGAAAAAACTTGACTTTTTAGATAAAGTTCCCTTAAAAGTTTATTAAATAAACTACTTGCTATATCATTAAGCCATTACCAAACATTCGTGTATAAGTGACTGAATAAGTTGTGAGTCACATTAAGCTCGTTAAATTGCTAATAAACATGTCCTAAATAAATGATGATTTACGACACTACCTTTAGACGAGATATATTAGGGGTGCTTTTTGTACATGGATGAGACTGGACATGATTGGATGGGTGGGAAATGAGGTAAACATGTGTGAAATTTTTTTGGATATTAATTTGATATGAATAGTTTAGTAATTTTTACTTGTATTGTTTCATGTTTCTGATTTTTGTTCTACCAGAATGAATTTTAATCTCACTCAATCATATCTTATCCCTGGACAATACATCTTTGTTCTGTTATATTATGTCTTGTCTTACCTATCAAACGTAACTGTAATAATTATTTTCTGTATGAACTGAATACTATACATATACTTACATAGATATGTATGTATAATAGTGGATGATGGAGACTAGTTTTATATTATTAAACCCCATTGGCTAATCAATGTTAGTAGAGTGCAAACAAATACTATGACTTGTTGAAACAATATAGAAGAAAAATGAAATGTGGGGCAAATGATGGAATCTTGAGGAAAATTAAATAATTGCAACTTGGGTTTGGATGAATATTGTGCAAACGGACAAGAAAAGAATCCATTTGTGTGGGTCATCTCTCCATCCAACCATCCCAATTCCACAAGCAACCTCCCTCTATCTATACATACATAAAATATATCTATACATTCAAGATTTACAAATCATATGTTGGTTTAGTCAGATACATAAATGAATCCATTCAGTAACTGAATCATTATTTCATGATCACTGTTATCCAAACATCTGGATTCAATGTGTTTGTTTAGTCATCCATCATGTATTTACATGTGTCAATATCAGGAACACATGTCGTGCGTTGAGACAATGAAGTAGTACAAGATTTGTACTACAGATACCAAGTCATCTGTAACAAGAGGAAAATAATGACAAGTGTAAGCCTCTTTCACTTCCTTTTAGAATAGGTAATTGGTAGCATCAAACCGCTTTTACAATGGGCCATTCCATATTAAATGAAAATGAAAAGCCAACATGTTACTCTCATCATTCTAATATTTCAAACCTACTTATTAAATCTTAATCATAGTGTCTGCTATTTGATCGACGACTAAATATATAGAAAAAGTAGAAAGGAATAAAATCATAAGAAACTCATATAAAGTTATGCCTAAGAACAAGATGTATCAGTTGAAGTGTATTTTAGAAACAGTAATTTCATCTGATTGATGTTTTCGTTCTTGTTGGCTATTTTAGTGTCATCAAGCCATTTAGTATGATCGGGGGATTAAAATGAGACAAGCCGAAATTAGACTTGGCTATAATTTAAGTGCGAAGGTGCAAGGTGCATGCTCGGATAAGTTAAGATGATATCGGATACACAGGGGGGTTGGGGGCAGCGCCCCTGGCTGGTCAACTATGATTTCGTGGTACCGCTGGCTATAGCGTTGAAATTACAGATCTGGATGAATGCTCTTATAGAAAATCATTTCCCTAATCAATGCTTATTTGATTAAACTTGACTTTGGAAAATCTTGTAATCTAGCTTATATATTCTTTTGCCACACAAATTTTCATTCAGCCCTCTTTCCATCCAGATTGACAAGCCCATACTTTATAATTATAAGATACTAATGAAATACTTTGTATATTGTCTCAAAGAAACCAAATCGACACTGAATTCAAACCAATAGAATTGCAGTTTCAGTTTAATTAGTTAGATTTGGTGCTCTCAATTACTACCTTAGAACCAAATAACATTGGCAAGCACCCTCCAAAAGAGAAGATACTGTTCGTATAACAATAATTGAAGAACTGAAGACTCGTTTTTTATGAAACTTGTACATTAAAACTTACAAATGTTGCATTTATGTAATCAACGACAAACCCATCGGTTTCCATAATAATTGTAAAAAGAATTTTAATCGATTTAGGACCATTTTTTTTATTTTTCGTCAAGATAAATTCATTATAGCACATTTGTCCATTAAACTATAGCATAATATAACAGTTAAAATATATAAAATAAAAATTAACCTAAAGAAGAACTAAATTTATTTTAACTTATATGTTTCAGTAAGATGTGATTTCTATCTAATCAGTTTAAATCAATTCGATCAGCTTATTTTGTCAAACAATCGAATTTTGTAAATCAAATCAAGGATTATAATTTTTTTTTTCAATCCAAGAAGGGGCCATGTTATGAAAAATACAACCAAGTAATTGACAATTTGGCTCGTATTTATTGTTTGACAGTTTAATTTATATTCAACGTGTTGTAAAATAAATATAATATCTACTTAGAAGTAACTATTTAACAAAATCCGACTGTATTAAATTATCAGTAGAATTTAATCGTGTCAAATTACATTCAAATTAAACTTCTGTAAAAATAAAGTGTCATATTTATTTTAAAAAAACAAAAAGAGGTCATTTAGTTGGATAGATTGCAATAACACAAATAAAATAAACAAAGTAATATAAAATATAATATTATATTTATCAATTATTGAAATAAAAATATTAATCACATCACTTTAATCAAAATTTTTAGTATAAATAATCAATAATTAAGATGATTAATATTTTCACCATATTATTCTTTATATTGTTTATGGTCTCCAATAATTATTGATATTAATTGATTTAAATAAAATCAAGAGTGTAATTTAACCTTTTTCTTTTATTTAAACATGTAATCATGATTAATCCTTTTAAAATATATTTAAAGACATTAAGCAAGAAGATGAAAGTTGTTGCAAGGTTTGATCCATTCGTAAATCGTATCATCAGTTTATCCCATTACAGTAGTTTAATAGTTCAAAATCATATTTTTATCAATCAGGTCCCACCTAAAACCAAAATAATGTACCCATTTTCACTTTCTGATTACTGTATTATTTGTTTATTTTACAGTTTCGGTTTCTATTAATTTTAAGGTTCCAAAATGACAAATACCTTACACTAATGACATGATTTTCGTTCCAAAATCCCAATCGAGAGTACGGATCGAACCGAACCAAGTAAGGATTTTTGCCCCTTTCCCTTCACCTTAATCAAAGGGAACCCCTTTTTCCACTTTATGTAGATTCAAACAATAATAGTAGCTCCCAATAATTTGCTTTCTTTGGCCCTTCTCTCCATTCCCATTTCTTAGCCACCAAGCATCGCCACTTCATTCCCTCACAACCCTTTCGTCATGCAATTTTCTTAAAAGACTGATATAATACAATAAACCAATCAAATTTGTTAAATCCAATTAAGGACAAAGACAATGTCCCCACCAAAAGAGCCTACTTTCCTCTTTTGGTTTCCACTTTACTTTAATCACACCTTCTTAAAACTCCATTTTCTAATCATTCATGGTGTTCATATCTCTACTTCATTCCTTCATTTAGTGGTTTTTTCCTTCTTTAAAGAAGATGCATCCACAGCCACCGGAATCACCATCGCTCTATTGCACACCTTCATCGCAATCCCGAGCCGCCACCCCATCTCCGGCCACCCGTTTCTTCATGACAAAACAACAACCACCCATGATGACACCGACACCGGAATATCTTTACCAACATTTTCCAGGGAAAACCAGAGATAGACTCCTGCTAAGAAACCACCACCGGACAGATCCTGCCATTTGGTGCACTGCAATCATCTGTCTGATCTTCAGCATACTCATCATCTTGTTTGGAATCACCACCCTGATCGTTTTTCTTGTCATCAAGCCAAGAAACCCCGTTTTTGACACCAATCACGCCAGTCTCAATGTCATATACTTCGATTCACCCGGGAATTTCAATGGGGATTTCACTTTTCTTGCAAATTTCTCCAACCCCAACAGGAAACTTAACGTTAGATTCGAGTATGCTGTTCTTGAGCTGTATTTTGCTAACAATTTGATAGCGAATCAGTCAATCAAGCCTTTCAGTCAGCGGCAAAGAGAGACGGGTGTAGTCAAGATTCATTTCATATCCAGTCTTGTGTACCTGCCATTGAATCATGCCATGGAACTTCAAAGGCAGGTATTGAGCAACAAAGTTATGTACAGTGTGAGAGGAACTTTTAGAGTGAGAGTAAGTATGGGTTTGATTCACTTTTCGTATTGGTTACATGGCCGATGCGAGTTGCAGATGAGCAGTCCACCATCTGGTTTCCTTATGGCAAGAACCTGCATCACTAACAGATGAAAACAATCATTCTTGCTTTTATCATCTCATTCCCACTTTTGATTTCCTTCAAACTGTTTGGATTGAGATCTAAAACCGACTCAATTCTGCGTGTTAAGAGAGATTAAGCAACTGTAAAATCAAGATTCAGCTATATATATATATATATATATGAGGCCAGGTTCAGGGAAAACCGTAAAAAACCGAGTAACACTCTGGTAACTGTTCATCTAGACGGTATGTACATGCACATACAAGTAATTTCTAAGGAATTTGTCCGGTATGCACACGTGCATAGAAACCAAGATAAAATTTCAATTACTTGTATGCACATGTGCATATCATACAAATGAATGGTTACTGAAATGTTCTTCAGTTTTTTGAGGATTTTCCCCTGATTCCCTGAACCTCCCCCCCCCCCCCCCAAACTCTCTCTATATATGTACCCATATGAAAAACCCAAATAAAATCTATATACAATGAACTATTTTCTGATACATCAAGAAACAGTTTTGTGATTACATGTGAAACTCCATTATCCAAAAGAGCCCTCGATGAGAGAAGATTCCAACATGAAAATGGTCCAAGTCTAGCTGATGTAGAACCCCAACATACCCTCTCCAACGGAGGCTAGACGGGCACATATTGTCCCATAGTGTCGAGTCTCTAGAATGGTAGACCTTGGCTCTGATACCATGTGATGATATGTGGAACCCTATTAGATCACTCTCTAAAGGAGCCCTCGAGGAGAGTTCCAACATATATCGAAGAGAAATGGTCTAAGGGTCCGTTTGTTAGCAGCTTAATGAGCTTAATGGCACTCGCAACTTATTTAGTCAGCTATACATAGTCGCTTAATGATATAGAAAGTGACTTACAATAAGCTTTTATGAGGAAATTTTATGCAGATTGCCAAGTTTTTTCCAAACCTGCCCCTCCCAAATAAAGAACACACTCCTTTTATCTTTGAAAAACCCTCCCACACAAAAACTTTCCTAATCTACAGATACAAATTAATCCACCCAGATTGCTTTATACATACAGAACTTAATCGAAAACCAACCAAACAGTCCCCAACGTAGCCGAATTGGAACTCTGACACATGGTATCCGAGGTCAATAATTTGGAAGTACAGTCAAGGTTGCAGTCCTGAATCATGCAACATGGGATTTGGAAAGTGGTCGAGGCACCAGTGCTACTTCGTTGAACTCTGGAATAGACCTACTTTGTTTGAAAGAGTGATCAAAGGCATACTAGAGTGCGGACAACACAATCTACTTCAGATACCAGTTACAATTTCAACAATTAGATAAGAAGATATGACGTATCCATTAAAGAAAATGTCATAAAAATGAGATCTTGGGTATCTTTACCCATTACCAAAAGCAATATATTTGAGGAACAAAATAACATAAATGTAAAAAGCAGATATATATATATATATACACACACACAGAAGGTATGTATTTTGACATTTGTAATCAAACCCGCTAGTTACAGCATTTAAATATACTTATAAATATAGCCTTTTCTAACATTCCGTGATCGTTATGAGTTCAATGTAGTTGATAAACATGTCTAGAAATTAAATAAACTCATCTCAGTTTCACGGTTGAATGTTTGTGTTACACCTTCTTCCCGAGATAGAAAGGGAGGTTACATTTGAACCTAAAACCTACAAATAAATGGTTTTAAGTTGATTTGGAGGTTATTGGGTCAGCCTGCTTCTTTGGGCTTGGGGTGTTACAGTTAGGGGCTGTTTGGTTGGTTTTCGAATTAAGTCCTGTATGAATAAAGTTGTTGTATGGATTAATCTGTCTGTATAGATTGGGAAGGTTTTTTCTTAGATAGAAGGAGCTTATTTTCTAATTGAGAGGGACGGGTTTGGAAAAATCTTGGCTTTCTGCATAAAGCTCCCCCTAAAAGCTTAGTGAAAATAAGTCCCTTTCTATATCATTAAACCACTACCAAACAGTCAGATATAGCTGATCGAATAAGTTGTGAGTTCCATTAAGCTCATTAAGCTGCTAACAAACAGGCACTTAGTCCTTTTGACCTCATACATGAAGATGACCTCCTCTCTTTTTTTGAGCATAGGGTGCAATATTCTTCTTGCTTTCAAAGTCTTCTTAAGTTTCAATAGCAATGGCTGGGCCACAATTATCATCCAAAACGGTAAGCTGTAGATGGTTCATTTATAACATCAGAAGACTTGAGTACAACGAAAATATGAAGACCCAAGAGCATTTAGCAGACAATTTTATCATGTTTGTTCTAAGTACTCTAATGTAACGGGAACTCATCTACTTTACTTCAAGTGCAGGAAAATTGAGGTTAAACCAAACAAAACAGCGGCGGTTCAGCACTCCCCAGGATGAATGCAGCCCACATCAATCAATTATAAAGAATTAAAGATTGCGAAACTAAAAAAACCAAATTTGCTAAGGCGAATGATGCCATGTGACTTGATCAGTGTGCAGAAGATGTTAAAAGACGGAGCGGTTTTAAAGCAAGTCTCATATCCAAACTGAAACCAGCAGCGGGAATTTTCTTTATTTCAAAAGTAAAGCAACAAAGAAAAAAGTATTCGACCAAGCGTATGGCTTTAATCTGAAATAAAACAGGCATTAGAAAAAGACCAATAAATTCGTAAAAATACAAAACTGAGGGAAAAGGAAAAGCTTTTATAAACAAGCAAGAAGAGCTTCGAATATAACAGAGTTGCAAATTCCCTTGCCAACATAAAAAAATTCCCAATCTTTAGCAACACCCAAGACTAAGGGTGCGTTGGCATCCAGATAGAACGGTTGTTCAGTGTTTGATAAGACATAATTGACAGGACAAAACAGATAAAAAGACCAATTTACCCCTAATGAGTTGTTTATTTTTATCATTATTAGTATTTAATAAATTACATAAACTGATCAAAATATAGAAACCGTATAAAAATAATATTTTTAGAACACTAAAGTGAAAGTTTAAAGAGTATAAAATACGATAAATAAAATTTAAAGAATGAATAAAATATAAGGAGGAAGGCGCATTTGATGTTTTTGAAGAGAATTAGGTTTTCTTTTGATTTTACAACGGTAAAAGTAAAACATAACGGGGTAGGGTGGATAACGTCTATTCCACATAAAAATCCTTCCACACATGAAACAATGATCCCTATTCTGTTATGTCCTGTATACCAAACGCACCCTAAGTGTTAGGATCTACATCACACACAAAATAAAAATTACAAGAAATGAAAGAAACGAACATAATCATTTTCTGACAAGATTTGAACAAAGGACCAGTTTACAATCCAATTATCCAAATGAAGAGCTCTATCTAAAACAATACGAATATGAAGTATGCATATTCCTCAAGTTGAACACATATACATACAAAAGCTCATCTACGTATAAAACATTATGCATTCTTTTATCCCAAATGAAGCAATAATAATCATACAAACATAAATTCAAGCATCTATGGTAAAATGGTATGGAAATATCCAAAGCTATAGCATTAACTGAATCAAGAAAACTATTAATCAAAAAGTATACCATCATTTCATGATTGCATAATGACTAAATACCAACTTCAGATGGCGTCTTTGCCTCGATCGATAACGCATGCAATCCACTCTGTAACTCATTGTCCAATAAGGAATAAATAAGCCTATGCCTCTTAACCAAACTCTTGCCTTCAAACTCCTTTGAAACCACTTTCAAATTAAAATGTGTCTCCCCATTGCTACCTCTGACCCCTGCATGACCAGCATGCTCATATGAAACATCTTCTACTTTCAATTCAAATGGTTGAAGCTCCCTTTTTAAAATCTCAGTAATTCTATGTCCTCTGTTCCCTAATATCGAACCATTCGGCTCCGAATCATCGGTATTTGATCGAGACTCAGAGCTATCAATTCCCTTTTCAAGTTTTGGATCAAAATCCACATCCTTGGTGGGGTTTTCAACAATCCCAGTTCCTGATTTAATCCCTTTCTCAGCTTCAACATACAACATCAACGCCTTTTTTTGCATCAATTCAAACATATTCAAGAAACCATTATTTCTTGAAGGTGATAAGCTTTGTTGCAAACCCAATAGCACGATAAAATCAGGCGAAATTCGCAAGATTTCTTCAACAGTGGAACCGGAAAGACCTTGAACTAGCAAAGCAGCTAAGCCCTTGGTGATTAAAGCATCAGAATCAGCTTCAAATACGACGGTTTTCTTATCAGAATCATCAAAATAAGCTCGTAACCAGACCTGAGAAACACAACCTTTGACCTTATTCTTGTCAGATTTGAATTGGGGATCGAGAGACTTTAGGTTTTTGCCGTAAAACAATAGCTGTTCGTATTTGGCTTTTGGGTCTTGTACCGATTGGAAGAGTTTGACGATTTCTTGAAACTTTCGAGGGAGTTGTTCGAATGTTTGAGGGTCGGATGAAGTTGGTAAGGAGGGATCAGTGGGTGAGGGTCTGATGGGTGTGGATTGGACGGTAAATGATTTGGAAATTAGGGGAAAACGTAAAATTGGGAAATATGATGGTGGTAAGGGTAGGGTTTTGTAGATTGATGGTGAAGGTGGGCGGAAATTGGTGGAGATATGACAGAAAGACAAGGAGAGAGACATGTCGACGGCGGAGGACGATGGCGGAGAAGAGTGGCCGAGAGCTTTATAGAAAAGCGGTAGCAACATCTCTAAATAAATTATAGAAACGGTCTGGTTTTAGTCCCTATAAATTTATTTTGTACAGAAACGATCCTCAGACAATAGTTTTGGTCTGGTTTTAAACCCTATAAATTTATTTATTTTACAGAAACGATCCTCAGATAATAGTTTTGGGTTGGTTTTGGTCCTTCCTACTAACTCTATCTATCTCTCCCCGTTAATCGTCTCACGTGCCCTGTACACAAGGGCAAGCATGCCATTTTAGAACACAACTTTTTCTCTTCCACTCGGTTCACGTTTACCCTATGGTCTCTCTCCTCCTCTATCCTTGAATCTCCTTGGTAGATGGCTTCAAATTCAATCTACGTTACTAAACTTGAACTCAATCTTTTCTAAATTTAATCCAGGGTTCGTGTCTTAATCTATAGTTAGGTCAATGAAGATTGGTCCTCTCTGTCCCCGCACTTACTGAAAATGCACCAAATCTTGGATTCAACATCAAAAGAATCAATAGTGATTAATGTCGAACTGATATTGATCTCCTTTGATCGTTAATAAAAACAAGTAGTGCATTCATCACCAGTCTAAAAAAGTTTGCAACAGATGTAACTAAATACTATTTTTATAAACAAAAAACTTTATTTGACCTTCAAATATCAAAACCGATGCCAAAAAACCAAATCAAGAAACGAAGAAAACTCTAGCAGAGAAAACGACAAAGTATAGAAAAGCACAAATCCTTAAACATTTACATTGATGAGATACGAATGGAAAGACGAAAGTTTTAAATGAGGGGTTTAAAGATTGGAACTTTTGGAGTAAGAAACAGAAAAGAGGAAGAGAGAAGCCATGGAGACATAGCATGTAGCATATATATATCTACGATTTTTGTCCCTATCGTTTGTTTATAACTATGAGTCTATGACTTCCGTTCTTGTACTCTCAAACTACGGGTTTTCATCCTTGCAGTTTGCATCTTATTGTTGTTTTCATCTCTGAGGCAATTCAGTACAACCAAGTATGAGAGCTTGAAATAGCAAACACTGTAAACCACATGGACAAAAAAAATCAAACAGAAAACACAAGGATTTATAAAAATACAGACGAAAACCGTAATTTCAAAAACACAAACAGGAACAATAATTCTCAACAAAGTACTGGGACGAAAAACGAAGTTTACTCTTATATATTATAATGGGTGTTTAGAATACCACATATCAATATATCATGTGTATATTAAATCCTTCCAAAACCATCTCATCCAACCATCCATGACTCACTTAGGACTCAACCAAGTCCACAAAGAAACACATGTCTAAACCAGAACCAAAGCCAAAACCAAAACCAAAACCAAAACCAATCTCGAGCAGACCACACCGTCTTCCGAAAACAACTTCATTCATCGTCAGTCCCAAAATATCTGTCACCGAACTCTCCCATCCCCGGAAGCACACGGAACTCTTCGTTCAACCCTGTTTCTATCTCTGATGTCACTATCTTTATTCTTGGAAATCTTTTGCAGACTACATGCACTCCTTGTGGTGCCTGTTAACAACATTTAGGACCTTTTCATCAGCAGTTTAACGAGCTTCATAGGACTCGCAACTTATTCAGTCAGCTATAAATGACTGTTTAGTAGTGACTTAATGTTATAGAAGAAAGTGACTTATTCATTAAGCTTTTAGGGGAGAGCTTTATGCAGAAAGCCAAGGTTTTTTCCAAACATGTCTTTCTCAATTAAAAAATACACCCCTTTCACATATGAAAAAATCTCTACAAAAAAACCTTTCCAATCTATACAGACAGATGAATCCAGACAGGACTTCATGGAAAACCAACCAAACATTCCCTTATTTCTACTTGTTAAATTTCATATATTTGGTCAAATCACCCCAAAAATATGATTTTGTGCTTACAGAGATTAGATTCAGGAATATGATGTTGCCCTCTGGTACCCCTTTCTTTAGAAGCAAAGATATAGCCTGAACCGCGGAATTGCCTGAACAAATTGTTTGTAATTGTGAGCACAGAAATTGGTTTGACAAGTGGGAAATAATCTCAAATGCTAACCTGTTCCGAGTATAGGATCCAACAACAACACGTGCCTATCGGATATGTCTTGTGGCAGTTTTTCATATATTAACTGCATGATAATTCAAGCATAGGGATAATGAGGTCTCATGCTCGGTTTTCAATTTTAATAAAGATAGTGTCACTGGTGGATCTTGTGGATATGGGGTTCACGAACCTGTTGGCCATTGTCGCCTTCTCTATGAATAAGAATCTTTCCGATCTTGATCCCCTTACAACATGCTCGCAATGCGTTTTCCATACTCTCACCGCTGCAAACAGATTGAAGTTTCAGATTGAAAAACCAAAAAATAAAAATCAACATAGAAGTTAATTTGAATTCAAATACCTCCTAATAACAGAAACACCACATAATCTCTTACAAAAATCCACGCCTGTGTATACCGACCCTGCATTTACACAAACCAAAATATCATTAAGGGTCTGTATGTTAACAGCTTAATGAGCTTAATGGGACTCACAGCTTATTCGGTCAGCTATAAAAGACTATTTGGTAGTGGTTTAATGATATAAAAATTGGCTTATTTGGTAAGCTTCTATGAGGGAACTTAATGTATAAAGCCAAGTTTTTTTCCCAAACCTGCCCCTCCCAGTTAAAAAACAGGCTCCTTCCATCTATGAAGAAAGCATCCCACACAAAAATCCACCAATCTATACAGACATTAATCCACACAGTCAACTTTATCCATTCAGGACTTAATGGAAAACCAACCAAACAGCCCCTAAATTTGTAACTTGCTATCCTCTTACCTAACAGGCAAAGATTTGCCTCGGGGGAGGCCCCAAGTACACAGATAGGGCGGTCCTGGGAATGAAAGTCCCAAATCCGCTATATATTTGACACGGCTTTGCCGTAATGCTGAAACTAYGGCGAATGCATCTATCGTCAATTCATCATTTCGGGTTAAAAAAGAAATAAGCCTTGGGTAAAACAAATGTTTGGCTGTTCACTAGCCTATTCCATTTCGCAGGCCCTTTAGAGAGCAGTAGAATGTTGGGCTAGCTCACTGCTGCCCCCTGCGGGAGTCCGGGCCGTGTCTCGGTCCCAATTCGCTCCAACAGACAGGCATGGTTCCCCTTGCCTCTCATTCTTCGAGAATCAGAAAGATCTTCTTTCATGACAAGCTCTGGTCCCAGGTGTCTTCCGAAACATTTTGTTATGGTGGGAAGTGAAAACACCATTGCAGCAGAGAACGTTAACCAACATGTTAACTAATCGATTACGATAAATTGGATCGGATTTTGCATCCCCGGAGTCTTTCTCTCCGTCAAAGGGACTCTCTCTTAAAACTTGTTCTATAAAAACTGGATGTTTTCATGACTCAAGAAATGTGGTGCAAGAATTGCTTTCTATCATCTTTTGTGAAACTTGATGAGACCATTTTTGTCTATTGAGCTTATAGCTAATTAAAGAGACTAAATTCAGTCGATGCATTTATATGATATCATTGTATTAGTAAATAAGAAACCAAGATGGAAGTGGGAATATATTCAAGGTCTAATAGTAGGATTAATGGCTGCAGAAGCTTACCGGTTGGAGTTATCACCTGCATTTCTGTAAATGGTAGATGTCCCAAACCATGTTCAACAACCTGATTAGATGGAGTCAACTTGTCAAACCAAGTGACGGTTATGCACACATTAACATAAAAAGAAATGACCTTTCTCACCCCCGGGAAAAGAACTCACCAAACGGATCAAACGATCCGCATAAAAGACAAAATCATGTTTTGTTGTTTGAGCATCACGTATAAGTGTATGCATTCCACGTATCTGCAAATCATAAGTAGGAAACTATATTACAAAAGAAATATACAAAAAAAAGATATAAAAAGATTATGGAATTTGAAAGTGGTACCTGAAAGGTTGAGTGGATGACGTATAAATTAGGATATATTTTACAAAGATCATGTTGACCAAGTTTTGTCCGAATATGTTGGACAATCAAATCAATAGCTACATGGTTGTCTCCTCCACGAGGTATTATGATGTCGGCATACTTTTTTGTTGGAAGTATGAAGTCGTCAAAAGCAGGCTTTACGAACTTTGAGTACTGCATATAAGTCAAAGAAATGAACAAAAAGAAGACAACAACTACAATTAAACAATCATACAAAAGGAAAACTAAATTAAACAGAAAAAGTCAAAATAAGAGTCCATTTCTGAGTCTCTAAAAAGTAGAACCTTTCAGACCTCAAACATATATCAAGTATTTTATATTTTGAACATAAAAAATTTCGACCGAAATACATACTTTATGTTTTTGTACTTTGATTCCATCCTCAAATCTTAGTTGAAGCAATCAATTTTGAAATTCGGTTGTAGGTTTGAATCTAAGGGGTTGCTTGGTTGGTTTTTCATCAAGTCCTATATGAATAAAACTGTCTGTGTGGATTAATTTGTCGGTATAGATTGGGATGGTTTTTGTTTGGGTGGAACTTTTCATAGATAAAATGAGCATGTTTTTTTCTAATTGAGAAGGGCATGTTTGGAAAAAACTTGGCTTGTTGCATAAATCTCCTCCCTATAATCTTACTAAATAAACCACTTCCTATATCATTAAGCCACTACCAAACAGTTAGATATAGCTGACCGAATAAGCTGTGGGTCTCATTAATCTCATTAAGCTGCTAACAAACAGACCCTAAGTCAAATATAGACTCTATCTTGGATCTCTTAACTCCTAAAGGGTAGAATCGTCAACTAACCTGATCAAGTACCATACCAATATCTCGTCCCTTTTCGCCTGTATCACGCCTTATTCTCCTTGCCAGGCGCACGTCAGCATCTGCACTGAAAATCACAATTGTAAATACTGACAAACTCAATTAAATCAAAGAAATCCATGAATAATATGTTATAAGTATGGTAACAAGCTCAGGAATTCACAACAACCAAAAAAATGAAATACCGTTCTATGATATTAAACTAAATTGAAACCTGGACTGTTCACTGAAGAACGTAGGAGATAAAAAGCACCCAGAAGCAAAATCCACGAGTTTGAGTAGCATTAACTTGTGTCACATGGCATCCTATAGGGCACAAGAACTCAGATGCCATGGACCACAATTGGTGTTATTTCTTTGTGAAAAAAATCAACCCCTAAACATCACAAATATAGAAAATCCATCAATGGGCCTTTAAAAGCACGTTTCATCCTCTACTATATTTGGGCTTTTATGCTCCTTTCTTTGTGTCTATCTCGTGTAACATATCAAAATATCACAGACATGAGAACAACTATTGGCTCTTTGGTTGGTTCCCATTTAAGTCTTGTATAGATAAAGTTGATTGTGTGGATTAATTTGTCGGTATATATTGAGAGGGTCTTTGTTTGGGAGGGTATTTTCATAGATGGAATGAGCATCTCTTTTAATTGGAAGGGTAAGTTTGGAAAAAAAAAAACTTGGCTTTCTGCATAAAGTTCTCCCTAAAAGCTTACTGAATAAGTCGGTTTCTATATCATTAAGCCACTAACAAACAGTCACGTATAGCTGACCGAATAAGGTGTTAGCCAATTAAGCTCATTTTTCGGGTAACAGGCAGGGCTGCAAATCTCCATTTTAGCTAGGTCAAACACAATTTTATGACTTCAATAAGAATCTCTATACTAGTTACTTCTGTGCCACCATGCCATGCTAGTATATTAAAACATACTGAAATTCAAACTACAAAAGCACCAAACTCCATCAAAGTTCAAACATTTGATTTTGATCTATCAATGGTTGGATGTTTTGAAGATAAGAATGAAATGTACGACGATTCTTGGTCCTTCTATTGGACAAAGTTTTCGAAAATCAAACTAAACAACTGGGACCAAAATATTAAGCCTGTTGCCAATAGAACATTCTACATTGGACACATGTAGCAGCTTCAACCATTAATTATCAGTAATGTCTACATATGACATACTCTGGAATCATAGGAAGCTCTACTTCAGTAGATTGATGAATATTAGTGGGCATTGGTTGGATTGCAAGCTAAAAGAATACAAACTAGAAGAGAGGCATAGAGATAAATCGGCCAAATAAAAATGATAAAATCAATTAACCAATTCTCTTATCTTATTTAATGAGTGTATAGAACCTGTATCAACAAAGATCTTCATGTTCATCATATCACGTACACGGGGATCATGAAAAATTAGTATGCCTTCCAAAATTATGACATCTGAAGGATTCACCTGCCAATTGAGTTGTGTAATATTCTTAATTAGATTATAATTCACCATAAATAAAATAAGAGAACTTCCTGCTGCAAATGCTAACAAAAAAGAGAGACAAAGAAAGAAGAGAGATAAAACCATTTAAGTCCTTTTTACTGAAAAGGCAATAAGAAATGTTTGGAAAAAGTAGCTTATAAAGCTTGTCTATTGTGCAAATTACCAGCAGAATATTCATGACAGCATAGATATCTCTTGTATTCATGAATTAATTAATTATTGTTTCTAATAAACCTCTTATTTGGTTGCAGCATTAATCTTGATTTTCCCTTCAACACACGAGCATTGAAATAACAACTTCAGAAAAATGTGACTACAAAGTATTTTTCAAGGCAAAAGCACATCATTTTTCAAAAGATCCCATTTTATTACAATGTAACATCCTTTTCTAGGGTGATTTGATTCCCTTATGCCGTCCACCAAGCAATTCAAATACCAACCCATTTCCTGGGCCTCAACTTTAGTAGGAATAGATGGTGAAAGCATGTAAAATTGGAATTTGATGATGTATGCAAATATATTAATAGTAGTCCATAATAATTCAGAACTATATGAAAGAATATTGTATTTTTTACATGTTAGTTTAATGGCTGAAGGTTTTTCAGTAATGTGCCAACCGACAAGGGTACAAAAATCATTTAATTGACTCGAACTACTGTTTTTATAAACAGGCCTAACAAGGAAAAACTAAGACAATGGCTTAACATGCCACATTGAGAAAAACAAACGGCATTGGTGCACTTTGTAAACCCTTCGAATGTGATAAAATTTTAGACCTTTCTAAGCTAAGTAAAAAACTAACCCTTCGAGAGACGTTGTTCTTATAGCTCCTGAAATTATATTTTGGAATATCCACTGCTTCCCCATGCTTCAACATCTCCATAGCTGACAATAACTTCTCATTATCGAAAGCATCTGGAAAAACAAATAGGGAAGTACCATAAGAAGCATGAAAACAAATTTCAGTTTAGAAAGATTACAACAAATTACTCCACCAAAAGAGATTGCAGTTAACGGCATATGTCAAAATGCCAAAGCTTTATGACGACAAAAAGATAATAAGGAGGTCCTCTGAAAGATTTGGAGTAGCAAATGATGCCTGTCTATCAAAAAGAAGATGGATGATCCCTTTTTACTTCAATATTATTAGGAAAATAGCCAGTTTAAGTAACAAAACTTGCCAGGATGATCGAAGTTGTACTCATGAACCCTTGTAAGTTCTTCAGCAGTCAAATTATGATAGAATGAGTCCTGTCAACACACCCGTAGATTCCTATGTGTTAGATAACCAGCTTTTGTAGGATCAAAATATAATAGAACAGAGAACCCTATTCATAGACGAAAGGGCAGATTAACAAGATCATAAAAAAAATGCAAGAGAAAAGGGGATATCATTTGAGCAAGGCCTTTTGCATACTCTATACATTAATTCTTAAATTGTCAGTGAAGGAGAGATTAAAGATACCTGGTTGACAAGTACAACACGTTGATCATGAAGCTGCTCGATGATCATATCACAAACTGTTGTCTTCCCTGAAGCTGCACCTCCAGCAACCCCTGTATTTTTGTCGGATCATTAATAATGAGAACACATCATCATAAAGAATAACATGTATGAAAATCTCAACCTTCCAAAGAGAAAAGGAGAACGTACATGCAAATGATACACACACAGAGCATTTTGTATGACAAAGAAGATAGATCTTATCTATCTCAGCTTCAGTAGAAGGATGATTTTAGGTGTCCCCTTAAACTTGAAAATAATTTGAACATCCATATGGTAAATTTAGTAAATTTAAAGAGCTATGCAGCCAATACTCATTCCCTAGCAAAACCTTGTCTAACTTGGTTATGCATCATAATAAGAAAATGAGATTAAACTGAAGCTTTAGTTATTGCCTTCAGGAATTATTCTGAAGCAATCAAATATCAAACTTTGAGCAACACACTTCACCAACTCTATTATAAGGTAGATGGCTCAAGATAAACATGAATTTACCATACACATAACTCTAATAACATGACATTCTTGGTTCTAGAGAAACCATACAAGTAATCAAGTACATTATGGACTTGTTCTTGCTGCAATACATACCAATGACAAAAGGTTGCTTGTGCACATTTTCAGTCACTGAAGTTGTTGCCTGCCCCGCCTGTGAATTTCTTGCCTGCATGCCATCCATGTGAAATCCAGAAAAATGTGCCCCTGATGAAGCCTCTATCAAATACTCTACTGGTTTAGACCCCATTTGCAATTACAAACCTGCAGAGATAAGTTGAGCAATCAAATATCCAGGTTATAAAATAAAACTAAATTATGATAATAATAATAATAATAATAATAATAATAATAATAATAATAATAATAATAATAACAATAATAATAGCAGCAATTCAAAAGAATCACATGAGACATGCCCACCTTTGGCATGGAGATTTGGTTTTTTTTTCTTTATTGAATCATATGTTTCCTGTCTAGTTGATGTTAAGGGTTTTTCTCTTTTTCTGTTTTTCTGTTTTCTGTTTTTCGGTTCAATCAATGCTGTATGGTTTCATGCAAGCCTGCCATGGAAAGGATCAAAGGGTGCCTAACATTTTTGATGGTTTTGGGGGTAGACTCAAACATTTTCACTCACCTCGTACCTCTCCATTGATTTAAGGTCATTGGCATTCACCTTCACTTTGGGCTTTCAAACTCGCTTTGACGAGTTTCAGACCTCTTCAATCTGATAATTATCAATTCATGATGCTAGTTTAGTTTCAGTGATTGATTTTGATGCAAAAAAACACAATTTCATGGGCAAAGAGGGTCAAGGGCTTTCTCAAGGGTCGTCAAACATCAAGGGTTTGAAGGGTCGGTTAATCTTCAATATATAACCATCAATTTGCAAAAAAATTGCTCTTGGATGCACTTTTCATGGGAAAGCCAGTTGCCTCTTCTTAAGACATTTAAGGTGTTTGTAATCTTCCATTAAGGATGTCATTCAGATCTCTATCAATCAATGCAGCCAATAAATAAATAAATAAAGCATATAGTTGATGCAAGTTTCATCCTATAAACTTCTAGGAGAAGCCGAGAAGCTAAGAACTACAGTTGGGATAAATCAACCCACCTGGCGCCAATTTCGAGTGTAAATAATCCATCTTGCTAGTCCATGTAATTTAAAACTTAAAAACACCCTGATGATCATCAGTGATCTTGAACAATCTTCCCAACTCCATGTTAATCATTGTCCTTAAACCCATAGGAACTCAACCTCCAAACAAATTCCTAACCTAATCGATCTCAAATCAAGTATAAATTCTTGTTCATCATCGACCTTTAGCCTTGGTAAATCCCTCCTACCACCATCCAAATGATCCAGCACTATATCCACCAATAAACAACAACGATTACATCATTCACAATGCCCACAAGAAACAAAAAAACATGCATCCCCAATAAATCGACGGTTAACTATAAACTATTCCAAGTACTGTTAGGCGCATGATGTTTGTCGACATAACAATCGAACTACTCTCAGAAGCAATCCAAGTTCTAAATCCCGATCTTCGCCACATACAACAAACGAATAACATCAAGTTGATATGGAATCACGGATCAAAACATGCAAGAAACATAAAATGCAAGATACAGGACCACAAAGCAATATATACATACAAGATTTCAATAATGTAGAGATCCTTAAATATACCTTAAAAAAAACTCGATTAGATAGTTGCGAGATTCAAGATATTTTTCGATTTCTTTCAAGATTTGATTTGAAACTTGAGCTAGGGATAGAAGAGACGAATCAAAAACGAAATCAGCTCCATTTTGTACTGATACATTGAATTTATAGGAAGAGGCAGGCTCTGTAGTGTTTTTGTGAGTGTGTGAGAAGGGCAGTAAAAGAGGGTTTGAGAATTAGGGCTTGAAGTTGGACATAATTACGATGATGAACCTAACGATTTTTTGCATTTCGATATCAATTTTGGTAGCAGAATTAGAGATGTCAAAATTACGCTAAACCCATACGAGGCTGACGTGGTGCCTATTAATTGTGGGCCCCTTTTAATAATTACTTATTTTATTTTAAAAAAATTAGGGAAAACTATAAATTTGGTCTATGACAGGAAACATTAGGAGACACGGTGAGACCACAACATTTTTTTAAAGCGTGACTTATAACGGCAAATATCTATGTCATATATATAGTATTTTGTGTATATATATGTATATTCAAGATTGGATTCTGGTGAGAAGATAAGTTATGCTGAAAAACGTAAGAATAAATCTACATTATTTTGGATCAATCTTACTTAAATGTTAACACTAGTGAGGTGTACTCGGATCAATTCTCTTACGAAACACAATACATTTGTGGGCATGAAACTAAAAGTAATCAGTTCATATATTTTCTTACGTTTCTCGCTGTATTTTCGCTTCTCACACATCTTTCACCTATATATATATATATATATATATAGAGAGAGAGAGAGAGAGAGAGAAAGAGTTGGGTTTTAGTGATAATGAAAGTTATTGTGAGAAAGGATCTCCACTCTCTCATCAATCATAAATTGAAGATCATCACTAACGCAGTGCACAGAAACGCATCGGAGCAATTCACGTGATAAACGCAATTCATGAGATGGGGATAAAATGAAAAGTGATCAATGATTAAAAAAAATTGTATTTCTCACATTAATATCTATTTTCACATAATTCGTCATCTCTCTCTCTCTCTCTCTCTCTCTCTCTCTCTATATATATATATATATATATATATATATGGGGTTAGGTTCACGTGAGACCAATGATTTTTCATGAGACTCGTAAGACCAATTTATATTCATTAATCAACTTTATAAATTAATGATCTAATGGTCTAAAATTACGCAGTGGCAATTTTGTGATTATTGAGAAGTCTTGTGGCAATTTTGTGATTATAAATGTTCAAATTGTAGACTAATCAAAAGGTTGAAAATTAGTCTTATAGATCTTACAAAAAATCTTTGGTCTCACATGATCTCAAATCTATATATATATATTAAAACCTAACAAATAAAACATTAAAAAAATAAAATAAAATATTATATTACAAAAACCAGACATCAAATCAAACACATATCATATGATAATGATCGTAATCTTATCATATGATATGATATGTTTTGATTTAATTAAAAACTTTATTTTAACAAATAACATAAACCAAGATATATAATTTACTCTAAACAGTAGAACACATGCCACTATAGATTTTTCCCATCATTTATTTAATATTTAAATATTAAAATATTGTAATTTTTAGACAACTCGCATTTTGTTAAAGCAAGGGAGCGGTCACTCAGTTAGTCGGCGTATGAGTCAAAAAAAAGAGGGCCCACGTGGATGGTGTTTCGTTTCTCGAGGTTTGAAAAAAATATCAAAAACAATTATAATTTAAATGATAATTTTAGTTCCAAGTAGTCTCTCAAAATAACATTTATTTTATATAAATAATCTCTAAATTATAAGTCATGTCTGTTTATCTGGTAAATGTTTATCAAGTTATATTATCTTACCAGATGAATTTTGTAAGGACTAAGAATCTTACCCGATAAGTGAGATCGACGATTTTTATCACGGTTAATGCTTACTAGGTAAATTGTTGCGTACGGTATTGAATATAGATAAACTAAAATCTTACCTAATAAATAAATGATAGTGTTGAATTTTGTCGGTAAACACTTATCCGGATAAACGTTTGGTAAACGGCTCCTTAGTCATTATAGTTTTATAAAAATGTCTTGAATTAGCCCTTTTTTAAGGACAGTTAAAGGAGAGTATTTTTGTAGTTTTTATCGATTCTTTGTCTTTTATCCGATTAATATTGATTTTGGTTCTTATGGTTTTTGATTGGTTACAAAATAAAAAATCAATAAAAGAACAAAAATGTCATTTATTCAACGAAATTTGTTAATGGATGTTAAAGGCATAGATAAAATGTGGATTCATTTACAAATCACGATGATTGTCTTATAATTTAAAAAACGTAAAGGATGAAAAGTGTAACTTTTGATAAAACCTACATGACCAAAATTGTAATTTACTCTATAATTTATCATATTCACATATATATTATCATTTTTAAAATGGAACTGTAGAATCTCAGATGAATGTTATTCTCTTTCAATCAGATAAATGGAACTAATAAGAGCATATCTAACAGATTATCTGAAATAGAAAAAGGAGATGTTTCTGTTATTTATTCGACTCTAGCAAAATTTATATATCTTCTATATAATAGATAATTTCGTTATTTGGCAAACATAAGTTAACTTATAAGATAGCTTTTAAAATAACTTATTGATAAGCTATTTGAAATAATTTATGAGAATCTTTTTGACATTTCTTTAATTATAATCCTGATTATTATTAATTATAAACAAATATTAACTATTAATTACAAATAAATATTAATTTGTAGTAATTAAAATCATTGATTAATTTTAATTATACAAAATATATTAATGATTATTCATAAATGTCATTAATTACATCAATTATTATTTTTAATTATTACTCAATATATTTAAATATCAAAAACAAATATAATAATTCTAAAAATATTAATGTAAGTTATAAAAAAATTAAAAGTGTAATATAATAAATATGCTAAATGATTTAAAAGAATTTGTAGTTTAATTATTAATTTTACTTTGAAAAAGTATTAATTAATTAGGTTACGTAAAGTCGACTAATTTTATTGTCATTCATATTATTTTTTAAAATTTGATTTAACAAAATCAAAATTTATAGTATATATATATAATAATTTTTAAATTCTTTCAATTAACATAATCTATTATTTAGGTTTTTTTTTACTATTTTGTCTATATTAATTAACATATTATATTAATAGAAATTTGTTTTAATTATGTTATCAACAATTCATTTAAATTATATTATGAAATATTCGTAATTGACTATTTCTTTAAGATTCCCTTTTTAGTCATTTTACATGCTTATAAGTTAGTTTTTATCAAACTTTATCAGCTACCAACTAGTTTATCAGTTATCAACTAGCTTATCAGTTAGTTTGCCAAACATAGTCAAAGACTAAAGAAAACTGAGTTTAGAGAATTTTTAAAAAATTAATATGTAAAGAGAAGAAAGTTTTTTGTTAATTCTCACCAATTAGATTGATTTATTATTGTCTTGTATTTTTAAAAAAAATATATTGTGACGATAAATTTGTAAAATATTTTAATGATATAACACACGTTGAAATCTTTAAAATGTAGACTCTGTTGAAATTATATGTAATTTTTTTTTGGAGATTTTAACTATTAGTTATGTATTTTAGAGAAATTATAAAGAATATGGTAGCATGTAATTATTTCAAACATGTTTGATGGATTTTGAATCAATTTTAATATCAATTTAGTAACGTCATTTGGTTTATGGTTATATTTGAGTTGTGTATTTTTTTTTATTAACTTGGATATCCAACCCACTATGTAAGCCGACTAATCCCATGACGATCATCTGCTTTACAGATAGCGCGAAATCACCGCATTTGAACTTCCATGGCCACAAGGGAATTTTTATTCCTTCTTAGATTTGAACATGAGACTTACTGGTACTTTTGACTTTTGGAGCCAAATTCAAACCAATTAGGCACCACCCATGTGTACTTGTGTATTTTTATATTGTTTTACACATTAGAATATTTAATTATTATTTTAATAAAGTATTTTTAGTTTAAAAAAAATTAAAATAATTAATAATTAATATATTAAAATATTTTAAGTTTAAAAAAAATAATTTATCAAAAAATGTATTTTAGTCATTTACCATAATTTCATTACAATTTCAAAACTATATTCTGTGAACCAAACAGACATAGTTCAATTTCTTTAATAGATTCAATTCCAATTATGTCAACCAAACAGTGTTCAAATCTGACAACATTTCATTTCAATTCATTCAAAGTAAAATTATTTGATAGATTTTATTCAATTCAAAAACATTGTGCGAACCAAATGTAACCTAAGTGTTAGAGAATGAGATGCATAGTACAAATCATTAATAGTCATGAAATCCATGTGAATGAGATGCATAGTACAAATCATTAATAGTCAAGAAATCCATATGTATCACATGTAAGTTGATATCAACTTTATTTAGACTTGACTTTCTAAAATAATAAAATTAGTTATACTATAAATAACCTTAACAATTTGATTATATGTTTATAAAACTATAACTGATCAAACTGGAAGTGTTATAACATATTCCATCGGTTTGAATTCATCTTGCAATACTTTTTCGAATTTTATAAACAATTAATATATTTGAACATGATTACAAAAATTATCATCAAGGAGTAATTAATTTGTTGTTGAATTAAAATGTAAATATATAAAAAGGCATATTATATGAAAAAGTAACGTATTTTAACTTGATTCATATTTTGAGTAACATACTTTTAAAACTTGTATTTTAGTATCTAACATATAAAGTTTTAAACATTAAAGTATATAATATGTAAAGTTTTAAACATTTAAGTACCCGACTAACCGGTTGAAGGCTAATTTTAGATTTAAAAAAATCTTCATCACTAACTACGTCAACAAATAATATTGAGTTGGATATCACATCAACATAATAACCAATTAATACTTCAACCGATTAACCGGATAATTAAATATTTAAAACTTTACATTTTAGATATCAAAATGAAAGTTTTAAAAATACGTTACCCAAAATAAGAATAAAATTAAAGTACGTTATTTTTTCATGCAATTTACCCCGTATAAAATATATTTGTTGAATTATTTGTTTTTTAGCTCGATTTTAATTTAACACCCACTTTCTCATGATAATCCAAAACACATGGCTTCTCGAATGCCCAATAATTCACTTTCAAGATCTCAATATCCAATCTTTGCAATTTGTTGAAATTTCAACATTCATAAGAAAACAAGACATTTATTAATTTCGAGTTTTTTATTAAATCATATATTAAATATAAATAAAAATATCTCTTCATTTAAACCAAGGAACCGTTCACCAAATACTTATCAGATGGATTTACGTTTTTTATATAAATAAACAGATATTAAAAAACTGGGTCTTTGTACCGGTTACCCAACTGGTTGTACCAGTTACAAACTTACAATCGGTCCTCAATTTTTCATCCAACAACGGTTCAGGTCCAATCGGTTCCTTCCGCTGGATATCTTAACCGGGCCCAGTCGTAAACGGATACAGGCCCGACCGGTTACCCTTTTTGCCCATATGACTTACCAACACAATTCAAAAAGATGGTAAAGAATGGCAATATGAAAGTGCAAATCATTCAAAGTTACCAGTAGGTAGAATATGTCTTAATATTTCCTTCAAATTCACAACAGAATCAAAATCTTTAGTTTTACCTAGTTGAATCCATTATGCATCTTCACCTCCTGTCATCCCTGTAGGGGCCCTCTTTTTCTTGATCCTTAAGAAACCCTAGAAACGCAAGAAACCCGAAAAAGAAGAACCCACCTGACCATCCACCACCACCACCTCCACCACCACCACCTCCATCATCATCACGTGGTGGAAATCCAGTCCCACCGTCATCAAGGTCTGGAGACTTCTCTTTACCTGTTTTTCACTTAATTCTTTAGAAACCATTCAAACAACATCGTCATCTCAAATAAACAAAAACATAATACAACCTCTGCTTTCCAAATAAAAAGATTCAGGCTAATTCATATGAAGAAATTTAATTGCCTCCCCAATTTCTTTTTGCTGACACTAAACTCCATCTATATTATTCATCCTTAATATCCAGCTATTCCATGTTTACTAAGGGTGCATTCGGTATATGGATGGGACTGGACGGGTGAGAGTGAAATAGGTAGATGAAAGAATCGTAGAATGTCTTTAGGGTTTTGATTAAATGGGCAGTTTAGTAATTTACCAAACTTCTCCCATCTTCTTGATTTTTATTCCACCTATTTTGGTGGGACAAAAGAAATGGATTTTGTCACACTCAATCATGTCGTGTCCTAGTCTAATCCCGAGACAAATATGGGACAAGTTTTTGACCTGTCTTGTCCTGTCCTCTCCCGCATTCCATATGCACCCTAACAAGATTATGAGCAGAGGTGGACCCACATGAATAGATAGATACGGTGGAACAGGCCATCGCTTCAAAGTTCCATCGTAAGGGGGAAAATTACGTTTCTGAAGGGTGCCACCATATAGTTTTTTGAAACTAAAATGTTAACACAGACTTTAATGGTTAAGATGGTAAATACTCCTGCCTTTGTACAAAATGACCAGGTTTGAGTCCCACAGTTGTCAAATTTGTTGTTTTTTAGCTTAAATTTTGGTGTTCTTTATACACCTCTTGTGTTTTTAAATATATGTAGACCGGACTCGAACACGTGTCTTTTCTATGCAAGGATAAAAAACCAACCAAAAGATCTATACTAATACTGTGAAAAAAAAAGTAGATATTTTTTATAGTCAAATCGTGCCACCACTTGAAAAAATTTCTAGGTCCGCCTCTGAGTGTAAGGTCCTTGTCCATGCTCCTGGTTTTATGCCAACAGGAAAATAGTAGCATACCATAAGAAAACATGTGCTTTCTTGGGAGCGGATGTATTTGTGACCATTAGTATTATAAGAAAAGGCAACAAATGTTTTCCAGGACCACAAATTTGACTACCTTCGGTAACAAGGTCCAAGAGAAGATGAAACGACAAGGTTCTGATGAACATAAGCTAATTTTTTTTATAATTTTCCATGACAAAGGAACAAAAAATTTCATAAGCGTAATGCAGAAGAAATTACGGGATTACCTTGAACGGGAGCAATGGTGATTGTTGATGACTGACGTGTTACGGTTTGAGTCTGCTCTGCACCACATCTAGCATTCTGCATGGAAGAAAACACAAGATCAATAAACAAACTTACTAACATCGCTCTTGCAAGTTGCAAGTATGCATTAAGAAACATGGATAACAAAAGTAACAAAAAAGGGTTCAGCTTGCCATGAATGAAGTATATATCATGTCTCCCAGTTTTATATTACATGTTAAATACAGTCTCTTATCCGACTCTTAGCAAGGCAAACAGCAACAGAAAAGCTACATATCCCCCCTACCATATGGTCATTTGGTTAAATGACCTTCTGACAAGTTCTTTTTTAAATCCATGACCTTCTGCTAATAAGAAGAATGCCACTTCCATATACAAGAATGTCTAGAAGCTGTCAGAAGGTCGTAGATTGTAATAACACCTGTTAAGAGGTCATTTAGCTAAATAACCGTCCTACCATACCTTCAGGAAATTCAGGCTTCAGAGAGAACTTGCAATTGCCCATGACTTTAGACCAACCTCCAAATGTTTTCTAAAATTATGGGACTTGGCATTTGAGTATAGAAGAAAATTTGTTCAAGAATTTTTTTCAGCTTTATATATTCGATTATCATTAATATCCAAGATTTCTTGTCTTACTTAGTAGATTGTAAAATATAATTGCTTGAAATAAATCCAGATAGAAAGTGTTAAGGGTGTTATGATAATATGCATGCCAATTAGAGAAAGAGAATAATAAAGATGCAGATCTTTTGGGATTTCAAAACTGATGCTTCAAAATTCATAAGGTTGAAATATAAAGCCCCATCAACAGTGACATAACCGACATCATAAAACAATCTAATACAAATAATATGTGGCAGGTGAAACACTCACCAAGGCTGAAGCACAAATAAAAGCAGCAGACTTCATTTGTGAAATGTGCATTTGTCTTCCAAATGTTGCAGGCTGTATTGTATGTGGTCCGAGGGCCAAGGGGCTATGACCAATAGGCTTGATTTGCCCCCCTCTCTGTATTTCCGGCCTCCCTGTGAAAGAAAAATCAATATCATACAAACCTAAAGTCAGTCATTTTAGAACCTTCTGATAAGAAATAGAACAAGTTTGAAACAACAATAAGAGATTTATTTTTTAAAGAGATATCCGATATGAAATGTCAGTATCCTACAGTTTTAGCTTGTGACTGCAACACGTCAAAGGCCAAGTTTTAGCAAATAAACATCATACCTAGTTGGGTAGTGGAGCTAGGAATCAGACTTGCATTCAACGAGAACATCTTGCTACCAACCTGAAAATCGTCCACATTAGACCATATACCTTTGTAGTGTGAACTTGTATGAAATCCATACATGAGTTTATGCAACTAGAGAGACTAGAATAAAAACAAAAAGGTAACGAATGACATGGAAAATATGCAACCATAACCATATCTTCTAGTTACACTATTCAACTAACAAACTCCAATATAGTGTTGTCATTTAGCAAGTCTTCACGTAGAATTCTTAAATATTGGCAACAAAGTACTAAACAGACAATGCATGGAATCTGTAATCCAGACAGTACGCTCACAATGAAGCTTTACATTTGCGTCATATTTACCCAAAGAGCTTATCTATAACTAACTAAAATAATGAAATCTTCTATTAGTCTGGACATGTTCCACAATAGAACAAACCAAGTTTGGCAAAAATCAATGGATAGTTTTATCCTTTAAAACAGTAGTCTGTCAACCAAACTAAAGTAAGCAACTAAACTTCACATCTTTTCTAATTTCTAATTTCCTACCAAAGTTTCATCAGAACAAAACTGACAGATAAAGAGAAAAACATCAAGTCAGCTGCAAAAATTACTAATTCATATGTTACACACTTACACAAGAGTTAAATGATGCAATCTTGAACGGCAAATACAGTTAATTACAAATCACAAATGCAGAAATGATACAACAGTCAAATGATGCAATCTTCAAACCCATAAAGATTTTGTTAAAGCTTTTAAACCAACATTGTCCCGTCTGCACAGCTGGTTTTAAAGTTTAACATTACTACCAACGTATTCTTTACAACTTCAATTCTCCAGAGTCCAAAGTAACCGGTTGCATACCCAAAAAAATTTAGCCCTCTTCCCGTTTCTGCGAACTGGGGAATATACGAACTCATCCGATAAAAACAATGTAAGAACACCATAACTTAATCTAATATGATTGTTTTTCTTTCATTCAACAACTATTTTAGACATAACGTCTTATATGTTAATGAAACCAGTTGGAATTGGATGATAATTACAACCACGGTATTTGAATTACAGTGATACGATGATGAAATATTGGAACCCTAAATCAACACTGATTGTACCTTTTATCGAATCAAAAATGCTCTCTGTCGATCAGGGACCTTTCCGGCGATATTATCGACAAAGAAACACGTCGCCGACGAGCTAAGAGAATGCTTGACGGAAACCACGTCGACGTAGAATTGGGTAACAGAGCGAGCGACTCAGAGAAGAGGCTGGTAGAAGATATAGCTGCTTCTTATATAGCATCGTACGTTCTGTTTGTGTTGCATTTAAGCCCCCTATACTTTGTGCTTTTGTCAGTTCTTTCCCCTGAACCAAAATAAATTGCTGTTTGACCCCCTGTACTATTTTGTTTTTTTGGGTGTATGATAGCGTCGTCAAACCAACGCGATTCTTCTCAGGGGTAGTATCGTCAATGGTTATAAACGATACGACACATTTACTTGTAGTTACATCCATTTTACTTGTGTACGAATTTTCACTTATTTAATCATCAGTACTTGATTATAAAAATCTAATCTAAAAAACAGTTTAATGATTTCCTTACTTTATTAAGTAAAGTCTGCTCACACTTTTTGTTCATATCAACCAGAAAAACCAACCACAAGGGTGGTGTTTGATTGGTTTGAGCTTAACTCCAAATGTCAAAAGTACCAGGAGATCTTAGGTTCAAATCCAAGGAGAAACCTAAATCCCCTTGTGGCCACAGAGGTTCAAATGCGGTGACTCTGGACTATCTGCAAAGCAGGTGGCCGCCCTGGGATTAGTCGGCTCGCATAGCGGGTTGAATATCCAGGTTAATAAAAAAAAAACAACCATCATGATTTGGTATCATTAGCAACGAAACTACACGTACAATGATTATAAATTCTTATTGACTCTATAGGAAAATATGACAATTTACAATTATGTACACATTTTATAAATTATGTTGATACTTTTTATAAAAAACCGGTAACAGAACAATCATTTGTGATTCAACCTATGACAAGGGGTTGCGATTGGATGCATCACATATTCATATGTGCAACTCACGGGTATAAAAGTACCTACTTGATTCGTGATTGCATAAAAATAGGTGTAATTTAAATTTGCGTAAAATGCTTGTAATTTATAAGCCTATCCATGATAACCATGCACGGTGGATATAATTTAGTAGGTAAATATTAATCCAATGTGTGTTGCATTAGTGGACACAGAGACAGGCTACAATTATGGTCTTAAATACGATAATAATTGACCAGTAATTTACTAAAAGACAAATTTAGTATGTTCTGATGTATTTAACAAAACCTGGTTTCCTTCTTTCCTCCTCCATTTGCTCTTCAAATTGCTTGATTCAAACACATCCATCCCCCCAAAATAGAAGAATTTTGCAGCAATAACAGGTACGTTACCAGGTTGATTGTTGTGAAAATTAAAAGTTTTTCAAACGTGACCATTTTGCAAATATTTTTATTATGATCACCACATGTTTGATGAAATGCCTCTTACGATGCTTGTTTCATATGTATTTAATTATATGTGAATATGTTGACGTCATAGGTGCAAATCAACCTGCAATCATGAGCATTCAATTGAGAGCAGATCAGATGGAAGAAAAATACGAGCAACCAAAGTTTGAGCCATCTAAACCATCCATGGAAGAAACCGGAAAGCAAATGCTTGGAAGCCATAGTGCACAATCACCGCGATATGGTCTTGGTTGCATCAAAACATCACCCCAAAATGTACAGTCATCACGACCTTATGTTGGTAGCATCAAAACACCACACCAGGGTGTACAATCACCACGACTTGGTGTTGGTTGCACCAAAACACCACACCAAGGTGCAAAATCGCCACGACATGGGGTTGGTTGCATCAAAATAGCACATCCGGGCGTGCAAGACAGTGATGGCATGAGAAGAGTACCTTCGGAGGGAAAGATCAATTGTCTTTGCTCCCCCACTACCCATGTTGGATCTTTTCGGTGTCGCTTCCATAGAAGTAACAGTAATCTTAGCAACAATTCAAGGTCTGCCGGAAGATCATTTAATAGCTTGTCTAATCTTGCTGATGCCCATGATTAAACCTTTGAAGTCTACTTGAAATGGATTATAAATCAATCTCCCGTGTAATATGTAAGGATGATCGATCCAACACTGTAAAATATTGACAACCATGTCTTAGAAACAATTGATTGCCATGTACAAATTATTATTTTGTCGATGTCTTGCCCAATAAGCCACAAAATTATTCATGCTGATTCAAAAATAGTAAATGTCCTATTATGATCGATGATCAAAGTCTTAAATACAAGTTTTAATGCATTGAATACAAGCTTTTAAAGCACAAAATAAAAATTCTCTTAATTACAAGGTTGTATGCATGATGTACAACTTATCAATACACTGATTTTTCACCACAACCAAAAATGGAGTCCTAGACTCCCTTTTCTTCTACAATTGTCTCAAAAACTCTCATTTGGTATAAGCTTTATTTTCTCTGTTCCCTATAAAACTTTCTTTTATTTTCTTCAACATCCATTTTTACACATAAATACCCACTGGAACACAATATACAAGCATTATATGCATGTTTTGAATTATTTAAAAGCTTTTGACCATTTTTGTCTTCATAAGAGACTAAAATTTTAGGTTGCTTTCATTTTTTTGGTCTAACTCCATCGATGCTCCGCTCCCAATACCATTTACCTTCCTCTTTTACTTTTTGTTTGAATTTCAAAATTCAAATGGAAGAAGTAGTTTGTCATTATTTTATAGTCTCCTGGTGATTCTTGTCACATTTCAATTTTGCTTATCTGGTGCATTGCATGGGTACACTGCTAGTTATATTAAAAGGGTACTCGCATAATGCAACGCGATACATCTTGATTTTAATGTTTTGCTTTATTTTCGATTTTCGTTGATAGTATAATATTGTTTTATGTGGTTTTGATAAAATGATAATGTTTTTATGTTTAATCAGTATAAATTCGAATATCTCATAAAAATTTGAAAAAATATCGATATTATTATCAAATTAATTATTTAAAAGTTTATGTTTTATGTAATTTCGTTAATTCAATTTCTTATTACAATTTAATTTAAATTTGATAACGAAGCAATTTTTTTCGGTTTAATACTATAATTTTTTTATAAATATAATATTTTAGTGTTTTCTTAGAATTATTTTAATTATATTTTAGATTTTTTTATATTTAAAATGAGATGTTTATCTTGTATTAATGTATTTGATTATGTTTATCGACAGTTAGTTACACGAATTCAAGCATGAAACTTTAATAAGTCGTATTTACACAAAATTTACATGCAATATTGATATTTAAATATTATGCATCAATAAATATTACTTGATCATCAAAAATGTTTTTTAAGAGTTTGTCTCATATGTTTTATAATATTAGAAGGGTACTCGCACAACGTAGCGAGATAAATCTTGATTTTAATGTTTAGTTTTATTTTGTCTTTACCGATATAATACGATTTTATGTGATTTT